ATATTATACAATAGTTTGCTCTTTAGACTTAGTTAGCTTCTAGCAAATTAGCTATGTTGTAGGTTAAAAGGTAATTTCTTGAAGCCGCTAAGAGATCTATTAATAATAGACGTTGTAGGCTGCTGCAGCGCGTTAAATGCTCTTAAACTAGCCTATATAATAGGCCTAAACAGCTAGAGTAAGCCTACCTTCTTGCTAAGTTAATATCGCGTTCTGTTGTTAGGGCATTATCTTTCGTACGTGAAGTTCGTGATGCCAAGAAAAAGTGGCACACTTGGTGATGTGGCCCGCTTGGTGATGGAATACGTTATATAGATATATATATATGTATATATAGATATATATATATGTATATATAGATATATATATATATATGTATGTATGTATATATGTATATATGTATATATGTATATATGTATGTATGTACCAAGTTTAAACTTTTCTGAAAAGGCGTATGTATGTACATAGCTGGATACATGTGCGTTGTAACGATGTTACAACTTCGCCAAGTATTGAGCCAATCCCAGAGCCGGATCGGAGGAAGTACCTGCCGCCCTTCATCAGCCATTCGCCCGAGGTCGGATCCGAATTCGGACCCGACTAGGATAGGTATATATTGAGACACTCCCTGTAGCTAGCTCTGTAGACTTTTGATATCCTTTCGTACAAGGCCTATAGGTGGCTTGTTGAATCTAGGCTCTTTGTGATCCCACGCACTCCCATATGCCTCTGAGTGATCCTACGACCGAAACAGATCCGACCTGCCTTACCTGCGCCGTTACATGCGTGAAGTACGTGTGTTTTGTATATATGCCTAGCTACCTAGCTAGCTAGCTAGCTAGCTAGATAGATAGATACGTACTGTGTTGATTACATACGTATTAAAAGGATTTATTTCTATCCATCCATCTATTCATCTATCCATCCATCTATTCATTCATTCATCTACATATCTTTTTCTTCCTGGGTACTTTTTTCTCTTTCTTTTTTCAAAGAGTAAAACCTATGTATGTATGTATGTAGCATACGTGTAGGATAAGATGAGGTAAGATAAGATAAGGTAGAATCGATACTTATATGAAGATGTAGTGTGGGAGAGAGAGAGAGAGAGAGAGAGAGAAGAAAAAGCCAAGGGAGAGAAGAGAAAGAGAGAAAAAAGAGCAAAGTACGTAACTAACTCTACTTACATGTTTGAAAATAAAGAAAACTGAAAGGGGGTTCGGAAAAAGAAAAAAAAGCGCGTGTGTATTTCTGTTTGGATTTGTCAGATAACTGATAGGATCCGGGTGTGATCGAGCACCCGGATTCTGTGACTCGGGCCAATTAGAGCCGAGTGCCAAGAATTATACCTAGGCGAGGCTGATACTCAGCCGCGTACCTGAGACAGAAAAAACAATAGTAATAGCACTTATAAGGCTGCGCGCGTGCGCGCAGCTAGAGGACACAGAACAACTCAATACACTCAGTTTCTATACTTAAGTTTATCACAGTCTTTTATCACAGTGACCCAAAAACAAGTCCTTGATCAGAAACCCCTTACAGTCTGACAGGATTAGAAACTAAGTAATAAAAAGATGTACTGTATATAGTGAGGTGCGTACTATATATACACAACACTACACTACACTCTACTCTACTCTACTATATTACATTACATTATACAAATCCCTATTTTCCCCTTTTTTTTGTTCCCTTTTCTCCCTACTTACACATGCTTCTTTTTTTTTAGTGATTCTTTTTTTAAAAGCTAGGCAATCTACTTGGTATATATTAAAAAAAAATGGAAAATAAAAACTCACTACTTACAAAAATTGAAAAAGTGGAAGAAGGAAGAAGAAGAAGAAGAAGAAGAAGAAGAAGAAGAAGAAGAAGAAGAAGAAGAAGAAGAAAAAGGTTATACTGTACTACAATAGATAAAGGAAAAAAAAGGTATATGTGTCTGTGTGTCTGTGTGTGTATAGGTATAATAATAAATGTAGTTCATTCCAATCGTTCAGTCATTTAGGTTTTCGCTTCCCCCTCCCCCAGCACCCCTTTTCTTCTTGGTCGCTCACTCTCTCTCTCTCTCTCCCCTTCCCATGGACAACACTCACTCACACTCACACTCATAATACAACAACCAGCCTTCCACCCTCCCGCACACGCTCTCTCGCCATGTCCCCTCATCCACTCGACCAGATACAACAATGTACAGAGTGAGAAACAAGTAGAGAAGGAGACGAAGAAAGGGCCAAAGAGAAAAAAAAGGGTTACAAACTGGGGGAAAAGGAAAAGATAAGAAAAACCCTCTCAAGTGTAATAAAAACAAAAAGAAAGAAAGATGGATGAATGGATGGATGGAGAGGTGGAGAGAGAGAGCAGGAAAAAAAAAAGAGTTTCTTTACCAGTTTGGAGCTCTGCTCAGTCTGCCCCACTCCGCCTGGAAGAATGGGGAAGGTGAGAAAGGAAAGAAAAAAAGGAGAAAAAAAAGAATAGAGCGAGTTGAGTCCTCGTAGTAAGAAAAAAACTCGACTCTCTCGCCGTGGTATATCGAATATTTCTTCCAAGTGCAGAAAAAAGGAAAAGAAAGCCAAAATCAAACCCCAGGACCAGGACCAGGACCAGAAACCAGAAACCAGAAACCCAAAAGCCTTTTCTCTCTCTTTCCTTCCAAAAAAGGGTATATATCAGTTGTTGAAACATGGGGAGAATCAAGGTTTTCTCTAATCCCCACGTTCCTTTCTCACTTCTCAATTGCCCTCTCTCCGATGATGCTTTGTGATGATGGATATAAGAAGGCCATTTGTGCGTGAGTCTTCCTCTCCATCTCTTCCTTGGCCAATGTCAAATGCTTTGGAAAAAAAAAAGAGACAAGACCCTTCTTGCCCCGATAATCCGGTTAAATGCCCATGGATCACCTTGGGAAAATAAAATAAAAAAAGAACTCCCAATCCATGCCCCCTCCCAAAAGGTGTGATTTGTCCGTATATATAAACTCCCAAATGCAGGAACAGCAGCAGCAACGTATAACACAGTGACTAGCCTGACCAAATCAAGATAGTCACCTTTGACAGAAGAGCTCAATTTCGCCGAGCCCTGCGCCGGGATTGAGATTGCTTTGCTGCTCTTTCCAGTTTTCAAACGCCTCTTGAACGTCGTCGTCACATTGTATGCTAACATATGTGTTGTCGCTATCCAGGTACTTGAGCTTGACTTGGCCGGATCCAAGGGACACTGAAGTCGATCTCTGCAGTTTTGCGTCGATGCGGTCTTTGAGTGACTGGTAGCTGATGTTTGTGCTGACAACCAAGACCATTGAGCTCCCCGCCGAAGGGCAGTGCACCTTGACCTTGAGCTGAGTCGGTATGCTTGGGTCTTGGCTGAGTGGCGGGGACATGTTGCGAGAGTCCATGGAAGCAGGCGTTAATGTACCTTGACTGCGCTCAAAAGACGATGCAGGCGTCATGGTGCGGTTCATAGCCGGGTAGTTTGGTTCACGGCGCATGGGGCCATTGGGGAAGTCGCTGGTTTGATTGGCCAGCTCTGAGGCTGTTCGCTGTTGAATCAGGCGGTCTCGTTGAATGGCAGGTGATTGCGTTGCAGCTCGCGGCGGTGCCGGCTGGTTGGGAGAGTTGCTGTTACTACGATTGACAATGGCTGCATTGTAGGCGTAGTGTGTTGGGAAGGGCGGCACCTCGGGTACAGGTTGCTGTGGTGCTCGACGAGGCTGTCCTTGGAGATGCGAGTTGATGTCAGGGCTACTAGCCGCCCGCATCCGTCCTTGGGCTGAAATGGTAGCATTGGCGGGTAGCGAGGGTCGTTGGGCACGGGTTTGCGGATGCGGAATGTTCTCCCCCCTCGAGGGGTGGCGGGATTGGGCGGGGGCAGTGTGTCTGTTGTTTTCTTCGTGGGAATATCCATTGGGTGCTGCTTGCCGGGGAAAAGGGAAATTGTTGTTGGATGACGAGCTTGTCCGTGCATTTGAATGTGTCGACATTGGTGTCTCGGCAGTCGGGGAAAAGTAGGATTCGTTATTGGCTGAATTCTGTAATTGCTGAGTACGCAAAGTTAGTGGAGGCTGTCCGTTATACCCCATAGGAAAACGCGCAGGCGGTACGCGGGAATCTGGATCATTCATTGGAGGGCCGCTTTCGCCGGTCGTCGAGCGTGATCGCATGGAGGGAGTGGAGGAATTTTGTCTTACACCGTATGAATTACGAGGGTAGCCAGTGACGGGATCAATGTCCTCGTCGCCTTCATCGTCGTCGTCTTCTTGGTAGGGGTTCTCCAGGACCTGGTCGCGCATGTATGCAAATTGGGTATCCGAAGGCTTGGAGTGTGTCGTGCTGGCACTGGTTCGTGCCTGGTCCTTCCAGATGCGTCGTTGGGTGTCGACCTGCATGGCCCATTTTTTCATTGTTTCTTCCGAGGTGAATTTGATGATGAAGTTCTCAATACCAGGATCGCCTTTCCAGAAAATCTGGCACGTGTATGAGCCTGTGGTTGTTTTAGTTGGGCTGTAACCAATGGGTGGTGCAAGTAAATCGTACCTGGCTTCTGGAGCGATATTGTCTCGGTCACGTTTTGCATGAAGATGCGGCCCTTGAGCTGCAACTTTGGCTTTCCGTCCTTTGTTACCAAGGATCGCGTAGACATTTTGTTTTTTGGCTTGTTGACATTAATCTCTTTGCAGCAGAGCAGAATCATCTCAAAGAGATAGATTTTGTACTGAAAAAAAACAACGAGTTAGCACCAAAGCAATAGCCAAAGACATGGATTGCCTTACCTCTCGCTCCTCATTCTTGGAGCTCATGCCTTCGCCCTTGAGGACCGTGTACTGGCCGTGCAAAAGGAGATCACCAAAACCTTCTATGCGGTGGCCCTTCCAGTCTTCGACGAGCATCTTGAGCTCTTCGACAGCCTCGACACGCTCCTCGCGGGCAATGGCATCGTTGGTGCCTGCGAGCACGGAAGAAGCAGCTTCGATACCTCTTGAAATGTCTTCACGCCGGCCTTCGTCCAGGTCGCCCTTGTCGCGCAGTTGCTGCACATGGTATTAGCAGGCGCAATTTTTTTTTTTTTTTTTTCGTTGATTGGTAAAGAATTTGGCAACCATACCTGAAGAAGAAGCGGATACTTTGTTAATCGCTGAAACGGTTTCAGCAAAAAGGAAGCGAGCAGCGTCGGAGATTCAACCATCTGGCGCATCTCTGGCGGACCGCCCGTCTCCTTGAGCTTGTCGAACTCGCGCATGGCTGTTTGCTCGCATTTCTTCTGATTGGCAATGTAGGGCTCGTACACTTTGAAGGCTTCTTTGTAGAGCACAAAGAGGTTTCCCCAGTTTTGCTCGCTCGCGGGTTGGGCATTCGTCTGCTCGACGCGGATGAGGAAGCGGCGCTGGAAATCGAGGAGGGCATTGAGGTTGAGGAAGATGTCGTGGACCTGGTCTCCGCTAATGACGCCCTTTTCCTCCACCAGCTTCTTGAACTCTTGCAGGAGCTCGAGATGCTGGACGTATGTGCGCTCCGTCTTGACTAGCTCATCAATGATGTGCTCGCGCTGGGTGCGCTTTGTGCCGACGCCTCCTTCGCTGTCGCCCGAGTCGGTGTTGACGCCCGAAATCTTGCCCTGGGCGACGAGCTCGTCCAAGACGCGGTTGACTACATTGGTGACCTGGAGAGACGAGGTTAGCAGGTGGTTGGGCGTGGGCGTGGAGGGGGTGGAGAGAAGAGAGATACCTTGACAAAGCCGGTTGTGTCGTCACCGTAGAGGTCACCGAGAATGAAGCAGCTCTCCTGGGGGATGCCGAGGTCGGCGACGCAGCTCTGGATGAACTTGTAGCAGGCCATTTTTTCGTTCTTCTTGAGGCTCTTCTCATCCTGCTTGGAGTTGGGAATGGTCAACAGGGTGGGGGGGCCGAGGGCGTTGTAGAGCTCCATGAGGGGATAGCCCCTCCGAAAGGTCCTCCACAGCAGGGTGACGGGGTCGGCATCGTCGTCGGCCTTGTCCTCCTCCTCAGTCATCCAGCGGTCGAAGCCGGGAATGCCGCGCAGGCGCATCTGCAGGGTGAGGCATCGCTGGAAGAGCGAGGTGTCCTTGTCGGCGCGCTTGTTGAGGACGTTCTCCGAGGCTTCGACGGGGCCGCCGTTGACGGGCGTGGTCGAGGCCGACGTCGAGGCGGGGTGGGCAAAGGCGGCGGCGGAGGCGGCGGCGGCGGCGGCGTTGGTGGTGGGCGGCGGGCCAAAGAGGGTCGACGTGGTGGTGGCCTGGGTGCTCTGGGTGTCGCGCGCACTGCTGTGCGAGTAGCTCGAGTAGGTGCTCTGGAAGCTCTGGTGCGACATGAGGGCAGGCGGCCCGGTCGAGGTCATCCGGGCGTGTGCTGTCTGCGGCTTCGTGGTTGGCGACGGTGGAGGAGGATGGGAGAGGGTATAGGTGGTGGTATGGGCTCTCACCAGACCCGAGTGAAACGATAGTCCGCCCTCCATGGTGCTTTCATGGATCTCCTTGCACTCGGCGCTAGGCTGCTAAGGCGGTCAGGGTCGCTGCCAGCTAAACCTCACCGGGCGCCGGGCAGGCCAAGCAAGGGCGGGCAAGGGCGGGCAAGGGCGGGCAAGGGCTGGGGGCTGGGGCTGGCACGCGGCTCGTGGGCACTGACTGGCGGACGGACGGACTGACTGACTGACTGGGTGGGTGGGTGAGTGAGTGCGTGAGTGCGTGAGTGCGTGCGTGCGTGAGTGAGTGGCTGCGTGCGTGGGCTGCAGCCGGGCGGGACTTTTGTAGAGCGGCAGTAGCAGCAGCGGTAGCAGTGCGAGGGAGTGGGTGTGTGGGAGCGGGCGCGGGTGTTGGTGTGTGGGTGAGGGCGGGCTGTGCGGCGTCGTCTCCCAAGGCCCCTTTGCGTTCGTCGAGCTCGCAGCCCAAAGCCAAAGCCAGCGCCAGAGCGAGGGGCGGCGGCGTTGGCTGTTTCACCCGGCGCGGCAGACTCGACGGTCACGTGCCGGCCTCTTCACGCGCTCTCGTCGACGTGCGCTGCGCGCTAACACTGCGCCCTATGCCCGGCACACATCACATCGCACTCGCACTCGCACGCCCACGCCCACGCCCACTCGCCCGGCGCGTCGTCGATCCACCCACTTGCAGTCGACGGCATGTGCAATAAACAATGCCCCAGCTGACTCACTCGCTCCTTTACCACTCACCCTCTCACCCTCTCACCCTCTGCGGCATAACACCCACGCCCACGCCGCCCCATGCCCTGGCCGTGGGCGCGGAGAAATGCTCTCCTCTCGTGCTGGTCCCGTCCATCAGTCGGTCGCCGTGTTCTGCCGGCAAAAAGGGCGACGCTGCCTTGGGCCGCCATCCACCGCCTGCCCGCTGCCCGCTGCCCGCGCCGTCAAGGCTGCCACTGCTGCTCCCGCGACACCAACAGCGCCATCACGTAGCACATGTCGCTGCTGTCGTTCGCCGCCTGCATTCCACAATTAACACGCGTCGCTATATGCCCAGCTTGCCGCCGGCTCCCCGTCACCAGGCGTGACATGTGGGGGGGGGCTTGGTCTGGTCTCTGCTCGCCCGCCGCACGCTGTCAACTGTCATCTCATGCTATGGCGCCCCTTTACCTGCGTCCATCACGACAAAGGCCCTCGCACCCCGCCCTGCAGCGCCGTCGCACTGCAGCCGAAGCTTCTACTCTGCCCGCTATCCCCATCCTTCTACACGTACAGTAGTGCTAGTACCGTATGTTCTAGCGTAGGCCTGCGTCTCATGTCTCACAGCCGAGCCAGGTCGCCGCACCATTGCCATCAGTCGCCCGCCGCCCGCCCCCCCATGTGCCTAGTCCCCCCAAGCCTAGCCGCAGATCAGAGTGAATCGTCTCGCGTGCACGGCCGCCTTGGTCGCCACCGGCAACGAACAGGTGCTTCCTCGAGGCCCGCCACACACACACACACACACACTTACAGTAGACCACTACACAATGCATGCCCACTCCAACACCCTCGACCCTCGACCCTGAGATCCGTGATAGCCTGCACCCACCAACCAGCCCCGTTCCGCCCACCCATCCATCGCCACCCGCCGCTTTCCGTCTCGTCTCCAGTCTCCATGCGGTCATGACCAAGGCCACCAGGCAACACTGCCCACCCCCCCCCCCCAGCACCTGCACTACCGTAAACACACACACACACCCCATCTTGATCCCTCCACCACTACTACCACCATCACCAACCCCATCCCCCACCACAACCACTACCAGGCAAAACCAAGCAAAAACCTGGGTTGCTTCCAAAACACACAACACCGCCCACCCGCTAAGCTGTAACCGTCTCCACTCAGCCAGCCCACCCGTCGCCCACCCTTCGCGTGCACCACAATGGCAGGCCCTCTGGCCAACGCCCACGCCCACGCCCACGCCCAATTTTCCGGCCCACCACCCTACATGCATCCTTTCCGCCCCGCCTCCTCCATGAGCGCAAACCGCTTCGACGAGGGCTACTCGGAAGACACGCGTAGCCAGAATGAGAGCGACATGGTTATGCACACCGACGTGCGCCTCAGCGATGCCCATCGGGAGCCCGCCTTGCCCTACAGCCTGCCCGACTGGGTCCTGGCCCTCAGCGAGAGCGAGCGCAGTGGTACGTCTGCCAGTCTGCCAGTCTGCACATTTCCCCCGCGCCATGGCTAACGTGCCCCAGAGTTTGCATATGCCATCCTGCGCTCGCTGCGCACCTCGTCCATAGCCGCCATTGTCGACAAGCTGAATCCACTGCTGCACCTCGACCCCGTCATACACCTGCCTCCCGAAATCACCTTTCAGATTCTCTCGTACCTCAGCCCCGAAACCCTGCTGCGCGCGTCGACCTTGTCGCGAGCATGGCGGGAACGCGTGCTCGACAGTCCCCTGTGGAAGCTGCTCTTCCGGCTCGAGGGCTGGAACTCCAACTTCTCGCAGGTGCGTGCCTACGAAGAGTCGCAAAGACAGAAGCGCGCCGAGTTCAAAGAGAAGGAGCGCAAGACGCGGCACAGGGCAGCAGCCGAAGATACCGACTACGGAAAGCCATCCCACAAGAAGCGCGTGCGGGATCGCCAGCTCTTTGGCGACGGCACATTACTAGACAGCGGAGCACAGAATGTAGCCGACCCGCTCACCACCCGCGCCGCCGGAAGCACATGGGGCGAGCAGCACGGCACCGTCGAGGCCGACGACAGCCCCTCTGCCAAATCCGAAGACAAGATGGAGGGCGTATCGTTCCACGACGCCTCGCCTCTGGCCTCGCCTACCCATGTAGCACGCCGCGAAAAGCGCCAAGGCCTCTTGTCCGAAGACACGTCCTCGCCGACAACAGCATCAGCCAGTTTCGCCGGGCCTCCCATACACCCTTCGCTTCTCCTCCCCGGCGCCGAGGCCAGGATCAACTGGCAGTTTTTATACAAGCAAAAGAGACGGCTGGAAGACAACTGGAGCGCTGGGCGTTTCACAAACTTCCAGCTCCCCCACCCAAATCACCCCGAGGAAGCTCATACCGAGTGCGTGTATACCATACAGTACTCGGGCAAGTACCTTGTCAGCGGGAGCCGAGACAAGAGTATCAGAGTTTGGAACCTGGATACGTTGCGCTTGATCCACGCGCCGCTCATTGGCCACTCCGCCTCGGTCCTGTGCTTGCAGTTTGATGAGCGGCCCGACCAAGACATTATTGTGTCTGGAGGCAGTGACTGCAGAGTCATCTTGTGGCGCTTTTCTACTGGCCGAGTCATCAAGGAGATTGAAAGGGCGCACTCCGAGTCGGTCTTGAACCTCCGCTTCGACGACCGCTATCTCGTCACGTGCTCCAAAGACAAGACGATCAAGGTGTGGAACCGCAAGGAGATGCTGCCGACGGATGACACATATCCTGCATCGACCATCAAGTCGGGCGCTAAATTCCCATCCTACATCATCAACATGCAGGAACACGTCGCTAGCCAGCACCTGCATTTCAAGCCCCTTGCCCCTTACAGCCTGGTCATGACGTTAGAGGGCCATGGCGCAGCAGTGAATGCCATCCAGATTCTCGACGGACAGATTGTGTCGGCCTCGGGCGACCGGAGCGTCAAGTGCTGGGACGTCCGGACAGGTGCATGCACGCGAACCTTTTCTGGTCACACAAAGGGCATCGCGTGCGTGCAGTTTGACGGACGCCGCATCGTCAGCGGAAGCTCAGACGAGAGCGTACGCATCTTCGACCGTGCTACCGGGGCCGAGGTGGCTTGCTTGAACGGCCACAGTAACCTTGTGCGCACCGTGCAAGCGCAGTTTGGCGACTTGCCGGGCAATGAAGAGGAGCTCGAGGCCGAGGCGCGTAGCGTTGACCGGAGCTACTTTGCTGCCCAGGCTAGCGGCATGCTGTCTGACCAGAGCCTCAGCAGAGCAGAGCGCCGTGCTCGCAACGCCGGTTCTCGCGACCCATCCAAGGTCTTTGCCTACGGGGCCAAGTTGCCACCAGGCGGCGGCGGTAGCAAATGGGCGCGCATTGTTTCCGGCTCGTACGATGAAACCGTCATCATCTGGAAGAGAGGGCCTGACGGGGCGTGGGAAAAGTCCCAAACACTGCTCCAAAACGACGCAGTGCGCGCTGCCGGCGGCCGCCCCAGGAGGCCTGTTGTTCAAGCTGCAGCCAATGCAAATCCTGCCGCACAGCATGCCAACCACCACCACCACGCTAATGCCCCGAACCCTGCGCAACAGAACAATTTCCAGGCACTGGCACAGCAGGCGCAGGCTCAGGCTCAAGCCGCGCAGACCTTGGCCCAACAAGCCCATGCCCTTCATGCCGCCTCACAAGCCATGCACGGCCCGGGGGCCACCACCGCAGCAGCAGCAGCGAACAACAACGCTGCCGGCCCTGGGGCGGGGCCGCATGCCGCCGCTGTTCAACCAGTCGGCAATGCAGCAACGGCACCGCCAGGCCCTGCAAATGCCCAACCGCACCACCACCATCACCACCATCACCATCACCACGCCCCGCATCCGCTTGCTGCCCCGCTCAATACAAATGGCACCAATTCACGAGTCTTCAAGCTGCAGTTTGACGCCCGTAGAATCATCTGTTGCAGTCAAGACCCCACCATTGTAGGCTGGGACTTTGCCAACGGCGACAAGGACATAATAGTCGCCAGCCAGTTCTTTGGCGATTCGTACTAGATGTTTGAGAAGAATTGGTATCATCATGTGCATGACTTGGGTTGCATCTTCTTGTAAAGTACACTCTTAGGGCTCAGTAAGTAATTGAAGAGGAAGAAGAAGAAGAAGAAGAAAAAAAAAAGGGAAAAGTCAAGCATGACACGCTACCAGGGTAAGGGCTTGGAAAGCATATAGAGGTGGTAATTGGAACGAGAACACGGATCAAGAATGAAATGTTATCAGACTATGCATTCACGTTTAATGTTGGGAAGGCCTTGATTATATATATACCTTGGATCACTACTATTGCTGTCTCTGGCCATGCTGTCCACCCCCGCCAAGCCGCTAGCTCAAATCATCCATCTCATCTCATCTCATCTCATCGCCTTGCCACGGACTACACCAACTAGCTAACTCTTACGTATCAAACTACTCCAGCGCATCCTCCCTCCCAAACACAGCCCTATACACCCTGTCCCTATCGCCACGCACCACCTCCTCGGTATGTATACTATGCACGCTATATACACCTTCTCGCCGCCGTCCTGCGCAACCCCGCCAAACACGCGCACGTGCATGCCATATGCCCATGTGGCAACGCGCACGGCTTCGAGGGTCCGATGCAGTCAAGGAGGTTAGCGCGTGGTTGGATATGTGGTGGACGCGTTTTGCGTTGGGAAGTAAGTAGGCGGGTTCGTGCTCTGCATGGGTGGCGTGGTTAGAATTGTGATTGTTGCTGTTGCATGTGCAAGTGGTATCAAGTATAGGCAGGGCCTAACCAACTACGTACTACTTATCATGGTCATGACGCAGCTTCACCACGTCTGCTTTTTCAGCGCATCGAGCATCGAGCCAAATGCAAATGCAAATGCGGCGAGAGAGAGAGAGAGAGAGAGAGGCTTGGTGCGGGGCATGCGCGCGGCCGACATCAACCGTGTCTTGGGTGGCCATCTTTTTTTTTTTTTTTTTTGTGTGTGCCAAAGCATCCTGGTGTATATGTCAGTGTGCGCGTGGGTATATGTGCGGGTGCATATGAGTGTGGAAAGAGAAAGGTTACGGATGCCATGTGCGGATGGGGAGTACGTAAGTCGTTGTCTCCCCCCCCCCCCATGTAAACCCTAACCAACCCCTCCCATCCATCCCTCCCTCGCAGAACCAAGATTCCCTTTAATCAAAAGATTGGAGATTGGAAACAGAAGAGCCTGTACGTAACGTAACGATTTGGTCACGAGGACGCCCTTTTTTTTTTGAACGTGCAGTATATAAAGTTATCAGGGTTGGCTGGCTGGCTGGCTGGCTGTCTCTGCTGTATATACATATATATATATATATATATATATAACGTGGAACCCCTGTATCTCATTCAACTATACATACCTTGGCTTGTAATGCTGATGACAGGGGCACATACATTACTATATAATTAATAAGAAGCAAACCCCCCTCCCCCCCCCCTCCATAATTAAAAGCCAAGTATTGACATGTCGAAAAAGTTCAAAACGTGGGAATTGCACAGAGAGAGAGAGAGAGAGAAATAGAGAAATAGAGACATGGGGGGGGGTTGGGTTCAGGGATTTCCCATACCAAGTCCAAGTATATACACTTACTTACAAGGCCCCCTTTTGTAGTGTGCGTCAAGTATGACGTGTATATGCTTTTGAATTGCCCCTTTGTTTTCATTTCTAACTCCACTTACTTACTCGTGTCACTCGCTGCTGCTAGGTATGTATTATAGTACATAATGAATTAATACCAGATGTACACGATTCGAGGGATAAGGACGAGGGAAGAAAAAAAAAGAAAAGAAAAAACAGGTTTGGGTTGTCAAGCTCATGTGTGTGTGTGTGTGTGTGTGTGAGAGAGAGAGAGAGAGAGCAAGCAGCGGGGGGGGGGTCTAGAACACACATGAACCCTGTACTTACTTACTTACTTACGTATGTACTTACAGCTACTTACTTACATTACCGTACTTGTGCATAAAGGAACACGAAAAATAAAAACGCCAATAGCTAAATCAACTTCAACTGGAAACTCCAAATACAGCTTGCTGCTTGCGGTGGTATAAACTACATAGCAGCTGCAGGCTGACATTGGCTTAGTTATGCTTATGTAAACGAGTTGAGGTGCAGATTGCTATGTATGTATGTTGGCGAGGGACCATGTATGTATGTCTGGGGTGTGTGTCAGATACATGCATACGTATGTCTCATTCGTAAGGATTTATATACCATTTGTGGTGCGGGTGCGTGCGAAGCAAAAGCGTTGCAAGGGATACGTTGAAGAGGCGGGGGAGACGCGGCGGGGAAGAAGCGGAGGGGCTGTTGGTACAACTACGTCAGTGTATGTTAGTGGTAGTAGTAGTAGCAGTAGTAGTAGTAGTAGTGGTAATAGTACCAGGTGGGGAGATTGTAATAATAATCCAGAATAAGGTTTTGGGAATGCAACATGGGCTGGGGTTGGGGTACGTAGTACGTGGTAAGGTAAGGTAATGTCGATCTTTTGGATTCTAGATTGGACTAGACTAACGGGATGGGATGGGGTTGGGGGGTTGGCCATGGTAGGGGTACTGGGATAGGTGGTCGATAGCTGGTGGGGTAAAGTAGAGGTTACGGACAGAGGTACTTACAGGACGAATCTGGTTTAGACTGCTCCAACGACATCGAGTTGCCGCCTAGACGCTGTAGACGCGCGAATGTATCTATTTACACCTTACTGAGACAATGTGATATCGACGACGGAATGGCTGCGTGAAGAAGAGAAAGCGGTAATGCTGGGCGTACTACCTACGTGGCTCATGCGGGTCTGTGCAGATGCAGTGCTTGTGTCTTGACCTGGCTTGACTTGTCTGAAAGAGGCGAAAGGGCGCGATATCTACATGTCCATGTGTTTCCGACGGGTAAGCAGCTAGCATGATGGATATATAGAGGGGTATTCACTGCGGTTCATGAAGAGACGGGATTTTTTCGTTCTTGGGTAATATCAGAACGTCTTTGCAGCGAACTCAGGTACTTACGACTTTGTATAATGGCTACTTCGACCGCCGTCGCAGAACACATTGACTTGACGAACTTCGCTGTACCGCCCACAACAACGCCCTTCACCGCGCCTTTAGCCAAATCCTCGGAATTACCTCATACATCTCGAGATGAGGATTTACCCCCGGACAATGCCGCATATGCTGTTTCTGCAATCCCCGATGGCGGCTACGGCTGGGTCATCGTGCTGGGCTGCTCCATCAATACTTTCTGCCACAACGGCATCATCAACTGCTGGGGCGTCCTGCAAGCCGCGCTTCTGCACTCTTCGCTCGAACAGGTGGCGCCGTCGACACTCGCCTACGTCGGGAGCCTGGGGCTCTCGGGCTGCGCGCTGTACGGGCTCGCGGCCATGCGCCTGGTGCGGCACGTCGGGTGCCAGTCGACTAGTTTCCTGGGGATCCTGCTCATGGGGCTCAGTCTGGTGGGCGCGAGTTTCTGTACTGCCAATCTCCCTGGACTTTTCGCTACATATGGCGTTGTCGGCGGCGTCGGCATGGCCATGGTATATACCGTTGCCAATACGCTCCCCGTCCAGTACTTCAGCGCGCATCTCGGTCTCGCGAATGGCCTGATCGCGCTTGCGCTCGAGGCGTTGTACCGCAGAGTCGGCATCGAGTGGACGTTTCGCATTCAGGGCTTGCTCACCATGGCCTTGGGGCTGCCGGCCGCGTGGATGCTGAGGGACAGAGTGCCGCTGCGCAATGTGCCGTTTGTGGATCTGAGCATGTTCCGTAGCGGCACTTTTATCGCGACCTTCGTGGCGAGTACGATTGGTGTTTTCGCGCTGTTCGTGCCAAATTACTATCTCCCGCTGTTTGCGCAGTCGATTGGCTTGAGTCCGACTACCGGCGCGGGCCTCGTCGCGGCGTTCAATGCGTGTAGTGCGATTGGGAGGTTTGTTGCTGGGCCGCTGTGCGATAAGCTGGGGCCGTTGAATATGTTTGTTGTTACAATGGCGTTGAATGCCGTCAGTATGCTTGCCATCTGGCCTGTTTCGAGTACGCTGGGACCCTTGGTTCTGTTCGCCATCTTGAACGGAGTAGCCAACGGCGCCTACTTTACTACTCAGCCTACCGTTGTTGCGGGCATCTTTGGGCCGGGCCGCGCGGCGGTTGCAATGAGCATGTCGGTGGCGGGGTGGACGGGCGGTTATCTCATGGGTACTCCGATTGCAGGATATTTGTTGCAGGCTGCGGGTGGGAGACAGGATGCTGCTTCAAGACAGAGTGTGGATGTTTACCGGCCGGCTATTTTCTATGCGGGTGGCACGGCGACGGTGTCTGCGCTGTGTGTTATCTTTGCGCGACTCACGGTTGCGACGCAGTTTAGAAAGAGAGTGTGATGTGATTGCTGATGCTGTACTCTAAAATAAATATATGTTCTTACATAACCCGAGCAGTGTTACAAGTCTGATATATCTCGTTCAAGAAACCTCGCTTCTGCAATCAAACCGTCAACCCAATACTTCCTCCGCATGTTCCACAAACACTAAATATGTGCCCAAAAATGTTTACAACTACGATACCTCTTCACTGATATCATCCCTCAGCATCCTCTCCATCTTCAGCGCCTCAATTCTTATCTGTAATGCCATGGCACGATGTTCCACAGATTTAATCTGAGCCATGCGCACCATGTCAATCTCCGCCTGAAGCGCATCGATCCGGGAAAAGAGACTGGCAGCTTTCAACTGAAGCTGCTCAAAAGAAGTATTCAAGTTCTTTACCCTAGCGATTTGATCTGCGAATAGTGTGTTGCTTGACATGGACGCCTGGTCAGTGTTCTGCTGGGGCTCTTGGGTAGTCGTGCCAGCTGCCGAGTTAGTTACTTCGTTTTTGACGGGAGAGATTGCATTTCGAGCGGTGTCTTGGATAGATTTGGGTGATGCGACTTGTGATTCTCCAGCAGTCTTGTTCAAAGCTGTTGCGGTCTCTGGGATGGGTACTGCGATGTCTAGGTCATCATGCATGGGGTCTTCTTCAGCAATGGGTGTCAGAGGCTGATAATCTGCGCTGAAACTAAATTTACCACGCCGCATACTTGTATCGACGCTTTTGGAGCCTTTTGGGGATTTGCAATTTGTTAAGATTGGCATAGGATGGTGATGGTGGTGGAGAGGACACTGTGAGCCTGTGTGCTTTCGAGGCGGCGTCAACTGGGTGATGTCCTGTGTTGTTGATTGGAGAAAAGTTCAATTCAAAGTTGATCAATGGAAAATCATCTCAAATATTCTTGGGGAATTGAGAGTTTGCTGCGTGTGCGAGCTGTGTGAGACTTTGATCGGTGTCTGAATGGTGGTTAAGACACATCTGGTTTGCGTTTGAATGCTGTAGATTTATCGTGGTAATACTAAATTGATGACTACTGATGTAAGTTGTTTTACTAAGGCTTTCCTAACTTTAAGGCTTTTAACTTTAAGGGCTTATATTGATGGGCTGAAGGTAGACTCTAAGAGCGCTGTTGTAAGTTTGGGATTTGAAGTGGTCTGGTGCGAGGAAGAGTTACTGTTTGCTTCTAATGGACTCAGTTTTTCATCTCGAAGTAACAACGTGGATAAATCATTCTCATCTGATAATGTCATTGCTTATGACATTCCAAGGTCGTTCGCACCATGTCTAAGGCCGGCGGAGATGGGCGAGCATGATCGTGAACGATATTGTTTATCTTGATGTTTCTGAGCTTTCCAGTTGTGCTGCTATCTGATCAACACTCCAGGCGCAGCAAATCCACCATCGAAATCCAATGTTCAAAGTAATAATAATAATAATCAGTTGCCCGGCAAGATCCGCCATCTTGACCATCTCAGTAAGCATTAGAGGAGAGTACGAGGCTTGTTCACTTCCGTCGTCACGCCAGTTTGAACATCTCCATTGTTCTGGCCACTCGATAATTGTCAAAATCAACCCGATTATTGAGCTCCCTACTACAGGCGATCTTTGACTGCTTACAGGTTGTCCAGACTCGGTTTCGTAGTCATCCTCTATTACTACTCATACCACGTCATCTTGGTTTGTCATCGCCGACGTGCTGAAGATCACTATTAGCCATGTGATAATGGGATCATCCAAGCTTTAGAAATCATCTCGGCTAGTGCAGGACGGTGGATTATGGTTTCTCGAATCCGGGGGTCGGAAATTAAAAGAACCAGGCCGCACTGACACTATGACTACCGGACGGGTAAGGGAGAGGCCGTTGTTCATACCCGCATTCAGACCAAGAGCCCCAAGAAGAAAGTAGGTAGAGGCTTACGCAAGACGAGATGAAGATCTTTTGGCATCCAGCCCAGGTATTGCCATGCTCTTTGTAGCGCAGTGTTCACTTAGCCAGAGCTCCTTTGTCGACATTGTGCAGCGGCGTTTGGCACTATCTGGACAATAAACACCTAGTACCACGGCTTTCGTACCTACTACTCGCAAAACTGGCGCTTGGCATCTTCTGGACATGCGAGTAAGATGCTGTTTGTGCAATCTAAGTTCAGCCTGTCTCTCGGCTGCGCACATCCGCCCACAGGTGGTAAACGTACGACATGGTCTGACAGTGAGACAGCTACCTCAATCCGGGATGCGGAGATCAGCGAGGACGCGCCTGTTGACGCTGGCTGTGCGCTGCATATTATCCAGAAACTAGGCAATGTACATAGCTGTTGGGCACGTGAGGCATTGCTTATTTTCTCCACACAAGCGCCTCTGATAGGGGAAAAGTGAACAGCATGATGCTAGGCCGTATCAAACATCCACCAAAGATGTCAGTATAGGTCCATCTAGACCAACGTGTGCGCGCATCCTGGTTTGATGGTACCAAGGCACGATGCTGGTCCCATGAGGAGATGCTCTTGTCCCTGGCGGTCCTCCTCTGATGGCGTGCATCTGGGCCTCCTTGGCGGTTGGATACGAGGCGTATGTACAGGGCTGGTTGCATTGTGCGCAAATCCTTTGAGCGGGTCGTGTTCCTGTGGAAAGTACCCTGTAGATGGTGCGGAGATGGGAGGCTGAGGTCGAGTCCGGCTTCCAGTCGTGAACATGTCCGACTCGTAGGCTGTGCTGTCCGAGTAGGCTAGCAGCTTGTGATGACTCGTCGACAGAGGGCAGTCGAGACTACATCCTGTGACTTGGGCGTTCTCAAGTACAAATGTATGTGAACTGCCGGCGCGCTGACTGGTGGCTCGGCCGTTTGCCGGCGGCATGGGAATCGGGCCGGGCAACACCTCGGCCTCCCTGAATGATACGCACGAGTGGCGCTAACGCTTCTGGGGGGCGCCCATATAGGCGGAGTGGACGGTCGCAGGGTTGCGCAGAGAGATGGAGTCGTCTTTGCAACAGGAGTGGGAGGGTGAAGCAGACACCGGGCGCGGGCGGGGAGACGGCGCGGGCAGCCAATGGCAGGCGGCGGAAGCCGAAACCCCCCCCCGCGTTCCAGCTGTGTGCTGCGATGGGTGCTACTCCATTCACGCTCACCATCAGGCCCAGTGGGCGAAGCATCGCCATCGACGCTATCTCTGCCTTTGCCTCGCCGGCCGGCCATGTCCCATCGGCGATGCAGACTGCGACTCTAACGACTGGCGCGCAGCAGGGCATCGATCGATTGGCCTCGGCTCGCAAAATAGCACGCCAGGCCGTGTGGACACGATGCAGCGGCCGATATTCCACGAGGCTGGGAAAACATGGCCATGATGCAAAACCAGACTCGCACGCATCTCGCCGTCGACCCCCAGCCACACAGACGATCGCGCGTTCTACACGCCGTTGGACCCCCCGTCGAGTCTGACCTTCTGGACCAGCTTAGGTTGCGCCACGCTGAGAGCATTAGCTTGCGCAGCGAACCCCACCCATGCGTACCGTCTGGCAAACCTCTGCCTTCAATGCTGGACGAAGAGTCTTTCTGCAAACACCCCGATGCAGTCTGCGCGCGGCCAGCGTGCTGCCTTCTTCCCAAAGGCTGATGCAGCCGTCCTGACGTCCAGACATGCTGCCCCCGTCCTAGCCGACCGTCCCACTGCCACCGCCCCCATTCTTGACCCCGAGCATGCTGACGCTCCCCTGGATGCGTGGACGGTGGAGGACCTCGAGGCCGTGTATCCAGCCAAAACCGACAGCTGTGCCCCTGCGCCCATTCCCACAAAGGCACAATGTCCTCGTCACTGCCAGACCGACCGCTACCTTTTCCCCGTGCTGGCGCCCAACGAGAGGCTGCGGCTGACCATGCTCTTCTACTACACCCGCGGCTTGCTCGAGGACGAAGAGCTCATGTCCCGGCTGCAGGAAAAGGTACTTGTAGCCCATGAGACGGTAGGATGGGAGTTTGTCATTGCTGGCCTCTTGAACCACAACACCTACACGCGCCTGGTTACCGTCAATCTTCCGCTCGCAGTCTTGCCGCGCCGCGAAAGCACCTGTGCCCATACAATCAACCAGACGCCTGATGTGCGTGTTCTCTATCCCTGCACACATTCTGCGGCTAACCAGCGTAGAGCATATTTGCCTTGCAAAACATGGTTAATGACTGGCGCTTCGAAAAGTCGCCTCATGTCGAGGTCGGAGGATTACGGGCGTATGCAGGTGTGCCATTGAAGTTTGAAACCGAATTCGGGCAGCACGTGGCTTTTGGCTCTCTCTGCGTTGCCTCGAATTCGCCAGAAGAGCTGCTCTGCCCAACCGTCCAGCAGTCCCTTATCCGTCTTGCCGATTTTATCGTCGCAGACATAGTCCACAGCGCCAGGGCTAGACGTCAAAAGGAGAGAAGGCGGATGCTGGAGCTGCTCTGCGACGCTCAACGGCATTGTGACGAGCACGCTAACATGGAGGAAGAAATTCCAAAGATGCTCCAGCAAACCTATCCAGGTATGGAGGTACACATCATCCAAACCATGGATGGCCGCATCGTACTTGAGGGCGGTACAGTCATTCCTACCTGCGAACTCGAGCAGGGTCTTTGGGAAGACACGGATTACTTTGATTACGCCGTAAACAAGCTGAATCACCTGGATCTGACAGCGACTCGGGCTGTACGTGCGATTGCAGCTCAATGCGCCAGCCAACGTATTCCAACATTCCTGGTTGTAAGCTGCAATGACTTGAAAATCATCTTTGACGATGTCGATTCCTGGTTCGTACAAACTTGCGCTGTAGGTACAATCCAAGAACAAGCCATGCCCACACCACCTGCTGACTCCAGTCTTTAAACAGATGGTCTTATGTCGCTACTGGCAAAATCGAGCACTGCAAGAGGCTCTTGCAACCAAGGAGTCTTTCTTGCGCGGCATCACCCATGAACTGCGAACGCCAATACACGGCATTCTCGGCTCGGCCGAACTCCTGACGGAAGTGCTCAAAACACGGACCGTAATCCCGGAAATTACAAACCGAGAAACAGAGCAGTTGGACCTCTATACCTACGTTCAGACAATTAAGACTTCAGCAAGGGAGCTCATCTCAACGGTAAACAGCCTAATCAAGTTGAACCAATGGGCCGACATTGCTCAAGCCGAACGAGTCATGTCGCTACATAGCATTGCCGAAATTGAAACTGCCCTGCTCCACGAGGTCCTGATGGGGTTGTCCGATGATTTATCCGTTCGGCCGTCCATCATAATTTCGAATTGCCTCCCACCTCATTGCGACATGCTGGTGATAGACATGCGGATTTTCCTCGACTGCATCCAACCACTTGTAGTTTATGCTGCCCAACAATCGGCTGGCGGGGTTGTAGCAGTAAATTTGACCGTCACAGAGGATCTTCAGTTTCTGTTCGTCGACGTCTATCAAAGCGGGTGCAATATGGTCAAGTCTCCCGGCTCGACTCTAAGCGATGTTGATGGTAAAGACGGACTCAGCACCATGGAATCTGCTTTGGGTCTAACTGTAGCTTGCAAGGCAGCGACGCTTTTGGACGGGCAGGTAGCATTGCTGTCTTCCAAGCATGATTCGGCATCATACGTAAGGGCTACGTTCAACGATCCAATTTTTGCCAGCTCGATTTCAACGCGTCGTGCCTTGAAAGATAAGCCGGTCCAAACACCACAGACGTTCCATCGTCTCATATCCGATTCGCCAACATCCTCATTATCACACCACTTTGGTCTTTGGCTTTCAAATACCGGTTGGCAGGAATGCAAGGAAAAGGCCGGTAGCCTTGTTATCCTGGACTACTCTCACGATCTTCCTCAATTCTGCAAGCAATTGGCCAGTGTCGGTAGCGAGCAAGTGGTCATTTGTCTCGTTCCTGAACATGCAAGTTTTGTTGATTTTCAAAACAAACGACTCAGAAGACAGGACAACGCAGTTTACATCCAAGGGCCCTTCTTGACAGACCAGATGGTACAAGCAATGGAGCTAGTTACCGCAATGTTGGTTGAATTTGGCACATCCATCATGCAGTCAGGAGGCCACATAAGCGCCACGGACCCTACCTGTCTGTCGGTCCCTCAAAAAACGGCCATTCTGCCCATAAGTTTAGTGGAGGAAGCTTCAATATCCGCTGAAAAGTTGCGATCAGAACTCACAGAATCCTTGCAGAGCCTCACGATACAACCCAAGCCCTCCTTACCTGGTGGGAAACCAGGAGTAGTTTCGAAAAAGCCCATGACCCTGCTTGTTGACGACAACAATGTCAACCTGCGCTTGCTGGAGATGTACTGCGACCGTCGTGGCATTCCATATCGGACGGCAAAAGATGGGCGAGAAGCTGTAAAAATCTTCTCCGAAGCACTTGTCCCCAAATATGACACTCTTTTGCAACAGCAAGTAACTACACAGGCATTCGATCTAATTCTCATGGACCTACAAATGCCCGAATGCGACGGTATAGAGGCAACTCGAGAGATCCGGAAACTGGAAGAGGAGCAAGGTTGGCAAAAGAGCGTCTTGTTCATTGTCACTGGGCAAGATTCTGCAACTGATCGCAAAAATGCTCAGGAGGCAGGTGCGGATGAGTTTCTGACTAAGCCAGTAGGACCAAAGGTGCTTGACCAATGGGTTAAGAAATGGTATCCGGAAGCGGGAATTTAATCGAAGTGCGACTTTACACCACGCTAGGCTATTGAGGGCGTTTGGTACTTTGCTTAATACATTTGTGTCTAAAGATGACTAGGTTTAGGGGCTTCCCTTGGCCAGCTCACCGAATTGATTTCTGTTGTTATATATAGGATTACATAAACGGGGTTTACGCTGCCAAGGAGTTTTGTTGATGACGTCAAGTTATATATCCAACCCGTATGTCTGAATTGAACCGTATAATCAAGTGCCTTATCTATTACATGTCGTTTTGCCCCATCTGTCTTCATGTTTTGTACACTATTTCAGCATAACGCCAAGCTTAATGGCTACAGTGACCGTGCGCCAGATGGTCATGGTCGCCAGTTGGACACCCCAACAACAACAATATAATCAAAAAGATAAGGCTGTACAGCCCCCACAAATCGTGATAAAATTGCGCAAAGCTAGGATTATACTATATACAGGCCTACGAAAGTTTTAGCTTATTTAGATTTTTTTTTAGAGGGCGTTATCGGTCGGTCTCGACGACTACGCGGTACAACAGCTAGTGCACCCCTTGCGGCTCTCACCACAGCTGGAGCAACACCACCACGCTTTTAACGCTTTGTAGCTAGCTTATAAGGTTTTGAAGCTTTGCGCTTACCCTTTTGGGGCAATTGTATAGCTTTTTCAGCGTCGCGGAGGCTTCTACGGCGCTCCTTTTCAGCTTGCTCTGCAGCCCTCCGCTTTCTGCTCTCCTCCTAACCCTTCTCCCGCTTAACACGCTTCGCAGCTTTAATTTAAAGCTCATAATCGCGATTTGCCTTCTTAATCTTAGCTTGCTTAGCTTTTTAAAGCTTTTTAAGCTTAGCTTGTTGTTGTTGTGCCTCCTAACGATCGCGGGATCGTTATACACTCCTAGGCGACCATATTTTGGCTCCCCTATGGTAAACCTCGTCCTCATCAAGCTAGAGGGCGAATGACTGCTTTGGTCGCCTCTCCTTGATGGCTAGGGACTGCCTAAGGCCCCTGATCTCCTCATGAAGTATACTGTTTTGAGCTAAGATGTGGCACAAGCTTTGTTGAAGCTTCTTGACGTCCTTACTGCTCTGATCCTTCACCTCACGGCGTACGATTGATTTGAGCTTGAGCCAATCGTCTCCGGAGAGGACTGACTGGCTGCTTTCAGAATCTGAAGCCTCCTTGGCAAACCTCTTGAGTACAACGTCTGGGTTGGCTGGCTGTATACCGGTGGCTTCAAAAGACCTTTTGATGAGTTGAGGCCTGAATACAGAGGTCCAGGACCTCCAGAAGAGCGGGAAGAAGTCTCCTTTGGTCAAATTAAGCAACCCCTGGCTGTCCTGTAGGTATCCAGATAACTAAGTTGAGTAAGCTGTTGCCAGGGGTTTGAACATCACCACATCAAGTGGTTGAAGCGTATGGGTAGCGTGAGGTGGAAATACAAACAAGAGGATCTTGTTGTCGTGGCAATACTCAATAAACTCCATAGTTACATGGGATCCGTGGCCGTCAAGGATCAATAATCGATACCCAGTTGAAGCGTATCGTCTGGTCTCCCGTTCAAAAACCCCCTTGAGCCAAGCCAACCCAATATCGTTGTTGGTCCAGCTAGAGGGAGATGAGGTTACAAAGACTAAGTGCTCGTCGGCTTGTATAGCTTCAACCCAGCTTAATTAAACCGACCCATTAGATCCCTAGAAGATGAGTGTTGGACTCAAAGCTATACCATCCGAACAAATACAAGCTATAACCGTTATCCACTCAGTTAAGCCATCTTTAAGTGCTTGCCTTGCCCCTTTTTGCTCGTAGAGTCTCCTACTAAATATACGTTTTGTACTGCCAACCCAGCCAAGTTGAAACCCCTTTTCGTCCATATTGAATATATTGATAGGTTGTATATTGTACTCCTCAATCTTTTCATGTAAAAGCTTGAAGTACAAGCTATACTTAGCCCCTAAATCAGCTTTAGTCCGCTCCTTGGCCATAGCTTTGCCCAAGCGAGAGATGAGATGGTTGGGATGCCGGCGGAGATACCGGGTAACCCAGCTTTCGGAGACCAGTTTGCCAGCCAACTAGCTGGCAAACTGTTGTATCATTGTTCTTGTAGGTGGCAAACGTCGTTCGGTAAGCGTTTCGACGTATCGTACAAGCTCGGCTTCGCGTTCTAGGTGGAGGGATTGGTTGCGTAGGCCATAGTCGTCGCTTTGGTGTTTGTGTCGTCTTATTAGCGTCGTTTGTGGTACGTTGTACTTTTTAGCAATTTATTAGTACGAGAATTGTTCTCCTAGCTCTCGCGATTTAATTTTTTTAATCGCTTCTTGAATTAGGTTCATATTAGTTGAGTTATGACGCGTTGAAGTTTTGTTGTTGTTGTGGTGGGGGTGTCCAACTGGCGACCATGACCATCTGGCGCACGGTCACTGTAGGATCGGCAAACGACAGCTCTATGACGCTTACACGTGTCGTTCTCTAGCCTCCAGCATCTCCAAATGTCAACACAGTCGCCCCTTCATCATGGCACTCTCATGGGTCGCATATACCTGCATCGCCATCCTACTCGCTTCAGTGTATGTTCGGAAGCGCTTGAGCAAATACACATCCCAAATCGAGCGTGATGCGCACGTTGAAAAGCCAGGTCGTTTGAGAAACGACGATGGATTGAGTACATCTGCCCGCCAGCTAAGGGCCAGACTCGCCGCAACGGTCCCGCATATTGTCATCACGCCAGACAATCCCAGAGAATTTGAATCGTCAATGAATGCGTACTGGGATGAGAAAGCATGTCAAGTCCAGCCGTCATGTGTGGTGCGGCCGCGCAATGTATGGGAGTTGGCGCAAGCTGTCAAGATACTGAAGCAAGAGTTTGATCTACGGACCGCGCGATGCAGAGGCTCCAACGAGGATGTAGAGCCTGTTTTTGCGATTCGCGGAGGAGGCCATTCCCCGGTTGCTGGCGCATCTAGTATCAGGGGCGGGGTACTGGTCGATCTCAGCCGTTTTAACAAGGTCGTGCTTTCAGACGACAAGAAGAGTGTTGCAATGGGCGCAGGGTGCCGATGGATCGATGTCTATGCGACTCTAGAAAAAGATGGTCTTGCGGTTCTGGGCGGACGGAACTCTGTCGTTGGTGTAGCTGGCCTCACGCTCGGCGGAGGTATTTCTTTTTTCTCGCCAAAGTATGGGTTCGTCTGCAACAGCGTCATCGAGTATGAAGTTGTTCTCGCAGATGGGTCCATTGTCGCGGCCTCCGAGCAGAACAATACTGCTCTTTGGCGTGCGCTTAAAGGCGGAGGGAATAACTTTGGCATCGTAACACGTTTCACTGCTCGCACTTTTGCCGGCGCACATGTATGGAGCGGCTTTGCGTACTACGCGCCTTGGAAAGCGGAAAATATTCTCTCTGCATTTCAAGCCGTCGATGCACGACTGCCCTCGGGCGAGCTGGACCGCCGTTTTGATCCTCATGCCGCCGGACCGTTGACGTGTTTCTCCTATCTCCAGGCTGTTGGCATCCAAGCCATAACAGTCCACTTCGCGCAGACAGCACTTGAGCTGAAGAATGAGAAGTGGCCAGACAGTTGGCTCACTTCATTCTTCGGCAGTAGGTGGTCAGGTGGCTGGTTCACTTCAAGCTTCCGCAATATAGGACGTGTATGGAGTACGTGCAAAATGCAGACTTTGAGCAGTGCGACAGATGAACTGAGTGCCTTGGATCCGCGCCAACGCCGTCAGGAGTTCGCTACAACAACGGTCAAAAACGACATGGAAACTTTGAGGGCCGCACATACGGCATACCGCGATGCAATCAAGACGATTCGAAAGCACAATATCAAAGATATGAGCTGGACGCTTGTATTTCAGCCTTTACTGCCAGCATGGGTGTGCATGGGCGACAGTGACGTAATGGGGCTCAACGACAGCGACGACAAAGATGCTCTGGTCATTGTCAGTTTCACGGTGCACTGGGCGTTGGAAAAAGACGACCAGCTGGTGCTGGATATCACGAGAGATGCTATTGAGCAGATTGATGCGTATGCGCTGGAGAAGGGAACGCAGCATAGGTACCGCTACTTGAATTACTGCGCAAAGTGGCAGAAGCCATTTGAGGGGTATGGGGAAGGGAATTTGGAGTTTTTGAGAGAGGTCAGCGCAGATGTTGATCCCGAGGGGTTGTTTCAGAGAGGATGTACTGGGGGGTTTAAACTCGGGATATCAAGCTAGGTCGTTTTGAACAAAAAACACTTTGACTTTCTTTACGTATGGCTTTCTGCGGCATCTCTCTCACACTGCTACGCTCTCTTGATTCCTCAATCCCTAACCCTTGAACCTTTAGACGGCAGTAAACTTAAATGGATCTGAGACTTCAAGAAGCTTCTCGCCACTGCTTCTCCTCCACCTCTCCTCTTTATCCTTCTCCTCGCCAGCCAACAACTCTTGCTTAGTCCCTCTCCTCCACATTGAAAAAGCACCTAGCAGGGTCTTGCTAACCTCTGCCGTATACGATTGACCACTTTCAAGCGCCTCCAGCTCACCGCCATTCGACGTCTCTTTGTTGAATTTTTCCAACCAGAACGTCCGCTCATACGGTACATTGGGCTCGAGCTCTTCAAACATATTGTCGGATGGAAACGGCTCTCGGCCCTCGAAACAACCGATACCATATGGCCATTCTACCTCTTCACCTTCTTCATCGACGACATGTGCAATCTCTTCCATGCCATGGAAGTGTTTGAGGGGCGTCTTCTCCAGACAAACAGTGATGACATCGTCGCTGTGCGACACAACCTGGAGTTCGAATCCAAAGCGTGGCTCGCCGCTCAGATGACAGACGTCTGCCGTTGGAGACAGCGATACGGAGAGTTGCAGTGGCGCTGTAGCATCATCAAACACCTTGAGAGTGACGGGGCGCGGTAGGAGGCGCACTGGCAGACGCTCGGGAGGCTGTCGTTCATCATCACCGCGATATGCCCATGGCATATTCCCATCCTTCCGCCAACGAATCTCATACTTGTGGCCGGGCGTGAGAAGGTTTGTCCAAAAGTCGTCACGCGCATCGACTTTGAGATCGAACCATTGATTCCGCGCTTTGGCCTCGACAACCAGTTTCCCAGGCTCCTCTGTGCTGGAAGGTATGGAGATCTTTTCGTTGTTCTCCGTATCGAAAAGGTCCAAAAGGCCTCCTTGTAGCGCGAGATCAAGACTGACTGTGTTGCTCGATGATCGGTACCCCGGGAGAACTAGTGTGGCGGCATGTGATGCATCGTGCATCTGGACTTGCAAGGTTGGTATAGTACCTGAGATGCCTTTGTGTCCGAGTTGAAAGAAAAGGTTGCCGTTTAGGTACAGCGATATCGTGGGGCTGGTGTTGGACATTGTGAGGACTGGTAGTTTGTTGTTGCAAAGACTACAAGATACTTTGTGTATTTGAAAGATGATCCGAATGGTCTGTTTTATCAGCAGCATGAATAGATGGCCCCAGACTGAATGTTCCAGGTTGACGTAGTGAAGATACTCAAGATGGAGGCCTAAATCCGAGCAAGTTAGCGAGCTACGTCATGAACATCCTACAATGTAACCAATCGCATAGCGGCAGAACTGGGTTTAGCCGCCTTGCAGGAACCTGAAACGAGGCGCGAGGCAGACTCCCCATTCTCACATGATACGGTGCTTATTTGGTCCTCGATTCGAACCTTGCGTGTGATGGGGCCAACTCCATTGGCCCCCATCGAGTTTCTGTGACAAATCATTTTTCGCATCACCTCCTTCTTTGTACCTGCCCAAGTGCCGACTTCGTATTGGTGTTTTCTCCCTTACAGCGTAGGTACATCCAAGCGAAGGATTTGCGACATCTGCCTTACTCGTGTGCAGGTACGCAAGTGCCATTTGGATCCGTGATACTACTGAGACACTTCTAACTTTTCAGAAGATTCAACATGCGAATGTTCTCTAGGGAATACTTTGAAATATGGCTACGGTAGACGTTTTTGCAAAGGAAATGAAAGTACTCAAGAAGTCTGCATGAGAACACCGGACATGTGGATGAGTTGTTTGGCTCTTGGAATCCCATGTTTCCTGACGGTTGGCGAATATTGATCTCCTTGGAAGTCCACAGCAGTTGGATGCCTAATGGACGTTTCTGAATTTCCATGTCGTCACTATTACCACGAATCTGGGCTATACGTACAATAATTTCCATGGGTATATGCTATTTACGGCTGATTGATCTTGGCCTTATCCTTGAGATACCAAGCCTCTCACAGTCCTTCAGCCACCAAATCCTGATCCCTTCTCTACTATTACATGGATGACTAGGTATCATTATGGTATGATTTGGAAACAACAACATAGAAAATACTTCCAGAGTATGTAAAGTTGGCCTTTCACAGTGGTTACAAACAGTAGAAGTGAATAACTCAGCTAAGGGGATGTAAAAATGTACGATAGTTTCCACTAGGCTGGCTGAAAAATGGATAAACCTTGGAACATAAACAGGGGCTAATAAATGAAAAGAGACATCCGCTACACGATACGAGGGGCATACTTTCAAGCCCTTTAAGTTTCGGTCACCGAAATCTTGAACAGCCTTGGTGGTCAATGCCAACCTTCGACCTTATTTTTGTTGCTCTTGGTGCTTGATACGTCATAAGCTATCAAAAGCAACCCCTTTAAGGCCTTCAGTGTGTGGATATGAAGAGATGAAGGGCCATTGCATTCTTGGCTAACACATTGTTTGAGAATATCCCATCGAAATGTCCGGATCGGGATATCTTTTCGAAGATTTCAGGCCTTATAATCAGGCCTCCTGTTTCCTAGTCCAGGATGTCTTCCTTCAGTGTCGTTGATGCCATTCAGCCTTGGACTGGACACCTAACATGGCGACCATCATCAATTCCTTCCTCGGAGGCCAAGATGTAAACTCTCATCGCGGGCAGAGTAACGCCATCCAAATGAAAGAAACCGATGTATTTAAGTCGGTCAACGCCTTCATATCATAGCTACAACATCACTACATACTCCTAAGCTCAACATTCAAAGCCTGAAATCACAGTTTTTCTCAAAACATCCCTTGAACCATTCAGTTTCACAATGGTTGCCTTCAGCAAGCAACTTCTTGCAGCAGCGACTGTTTTCGCCGTTGTTCAGGCACATCCCCATGCGTACGTGTTCTTTACGCCTGTTCTACATCACCCGAGTCCAACTCTGTAGAAAACTCAATGAATCCATCAACCGTAGCGACATTGTTCGAGCTCATGAACACTAACATATTATACAGAAAGACCTTTCAGTTCAGCAGCCTCAACCCCGCTTGGGTCGTGAAGCGTTCCCTATACAACCTCGACAAGATCTCCGATCAAAGCCAGAAGGACAAACTAACCCAAGGTCTCAAAGATGCTGTCACCATTGCTGCCAAAACTCTCGAGAAGATGGATGACGACAAGCACAAAGACAAGCTCGAATTCTGGTTCGGTGACAAGCACTCCGACGCCAACGGACGCGAGCTCGTTCGCCAAGTCTACAAAAACTTTGTCGGCGACAACACCGATGGCACAGGCGCAGAAGTCATAGCCAATGTCATCGTCGACGAGGTCGACTACTGGAAGCCAACTGCTGCTCAGCTTCCAAACACGCCTGCAGACGGCAACACGGCGTTTTGCGACTTGGAAGTCAATGGCAAAAAGGGTACAGCGTATTTTAAGAGAAACAACAACAAGCCAGGAATGCACTATTGCGACAAAGTCTGGGATAGAGCCGATCTGGCTACTATTACGGCTAATGATTGCAGCTCGCTCAGTGGGCAAGTAAGCACTGCAACATGGTCGAAGAATTTCATCGGTTCCAACGTTTTGCATGAGTTTATGTGAGTTTTTAAGACGGACTCTTTTTGGAATTTCACTACTAACGACGTATGCACATAGGCATTACCCTCGTATCGGTAAAGAAGCTATCGGCACGCAAATCACAGACTGGATATACGACGCCTGGCGTAAGAATAGCCCACATTCTCATTTCCATCTCAAGCCCTCACTAAATCGTATCTATACAGAATGCCGCGCTCTCGCCGCAAACGAAGACGAGGCAGAAAGGGAAAAGACCTTGACCAACGCCGACACATACGTTTGGTATGCTCTTGTGAGTTCTCCTCACCTACGTTTGGATCCTTTCTGGTTTCTAATATCCACGCAGCACATTGCCTTTGAAGAAATCTGCGGTAAAAGCTTCTCCGGTCCGCGTGACGAACGCGACGACGACGCTACGAACCAGGACTGGCCTGATTCCGACCCGGACACTGATGACCCCACCAACGGTGCTTGTGATTGCGACGAGAACAGCTGCTCCCCTGATTCCTATGCTTGCTGTGCGAATGGATCTTGCCAGTAGTTGAAATAGTTTACTTGTTGCAGCTTTGGCTGTAGACTGGCTAAGTTGGATTTGTGGGTTTGTTTAGAGGTGAAAAGGTTAACGAGGTAGCAACACTTGTTTATTGAGTAATGTTCGTACCTTACTGTGCACGCATCGTTTACTACTGTCTTCATGCCTATTTGAAAACTGGTAGATATGTGTTTAAGTCAGTGATTAACCTGCGAATTAACCCAACGATTAAGATAACGATTAGCCAGGTGATGAACGTAGTAGTCAAGATGGGGCATAGTACATAATTAACCTAGGGTTTTTCCTACACAAGAAAATGAATTTATCATAGTTTCGTTAGAACGTTGATAATGCTCCATAACAGAACAGTTTGGCAGTTTACTACGATTGCAACAAGATAGGTTGGAGGAGTATTAAGAGGTGCATATTCCCGCGGAGAGCAGACGAGACTTAGAAGTCGAATATGGTATCAGAATTGGCGTAAAGGCTGTCTATGCTTGTGGGTTAGGTTGAGTCTATTAGTAGCCAATACAATAGTCATAGACTGTTGGTAGCTCAATCACTGGCTGCGCTTTATATGAAGTCCGTTTACATCCGGCTGACGAGAGGCAACCTGAACCCATGAGTACCATTGCATACCCCTGTTCCACCACCCTTTTAAGTCCAATGCTTTAGTGGCTTGAGATGAGATATCAATCATAGATGTTGCTACGGAGTCCGTAAACGCCACCTCTCATACGAGTAAGACAAACGCTGGAGGCGTCTGTTGGCCGACAATAGTCACGTTGACTATGCAGATACATTCACCTATCCTGCTTAAATCCTTCTGCTCGATACACCAACACTTATCGATTTCGTGGCGCCAAGTAATCTGCATGGACGCGCAATGATCCTACGTTGCTATCTCTGGCTTATCAGACGAATTGGTTTCGCGAGTGGCAGGGTGTATCGTGGTGCGTGATGTGGAGGGCGAAGACAGTGACGAGATGTTGACGACTCGAATCGGAATGTACGGGCAGATCCGGCCTCATGTTTGGATTTTACTTGCAGCGTGGGGATGCAAGACATGGCTACTAACTTCGTCTGCAGGTAGCCGTCCACTGTCGTATACACCTAGATTGGCACTACTGATAGTAAGGATAAGGGTCGTGTCATGGACGCTTTTCTAGCTAGTTGTGGGCCGACACGTTGTTGACTATCAAGTAATGGTCCTGCATCATACCATGAGCAGAAATAAGGTTTTCACCATCAGCCGCATGATTTAGTGCATCCACCCCAAGGCGGGGGGGCTATTACAATCTTCGTAGCAAAGCTGCTGGGTGTGCGCAAGCTAACGTGGTAAAAGATGAGCCTCGAATTGGAGGCCTCGTCATCACGTGGCTGGGTGCGGAGTACACCGACTGTTCCGACGACGGGGACCATGTTCTGAGTGGATGTTGATATGTTCAGCTGACTGTCTCAGGCCTACACGTGTGGGCCTAGAGGCTCCATTAGCACAGTACTTTGACGTTTTGTAGACGCTGGCTGCGGAGAATGCTTAAGCGTACCAGTATAGAACCATGGCATCTGGAAATCAACGTGGTGAAAGGCACATTGAAGGCTGATGAGATGAAGACAATCACCCACGCCGGCACGGAGCATAGCCAGCCAGCACCTGGTGCCCAGTTCCACGAGAAGCTGTCAGTTGCCGCGCCTTTGCGGCCCATTCGTGGCGGCATCAATGCTGGTGATTTTCTCTAGTGAGGCTTGATGCGAACTAGTGGATAATGCGGGATTTGCAGATCTTCAGAGGGATCCAGTTCCGGGCTCGATTGCACGTGTCTTGCCGGGACCCTGCCAAGCCGCTAGACGTCGCCGACTCGAAAATACCTGCTGAGTCCTCCTCACCCACTCACTCTGTCATGAGCAACAGCATTGTGGCTGCGGCCCCCGGGACCGCCTTCGTGTCCAGTCACGCTAGAACCGATTCTCTCTTCCTATTGCCCAGTACGACGCGGTCAATAACCTGTAGCAAGTCTCATCCCGCGTTGCTAGCTCCGAGATACCCACCACCAGCCTCCAAGACCGCTAATCCACGCCACTTCCGGACGCCAAAGAACCTAAGTCTTGTCGCGCACACGGCTCTCGCCATTGAGGATGGTCTAATATGGATGTGGCCGTGTTGATCAAGCGCTATGCTTGAGCTGCATCGCCAACGCAGCAAGCATGATCCTACTGGCCAAACGTTACTTGCCGTCGAGCTGCTACAGCGCGTTGCTTAGCAAACAAGAACCAAATGCGATGTGGCAGTGGAAGTCTTTCCTAAATCGCACATTACATACACGACAAGACGCCCATGGTTAGATATGTAAGCCGTCGAATGCTCGCGATGTATGGGCCATGCGCAGATCGACCCAGCTTAGTATATCAAGATAATCGTGGGGACGGCTGACGCTTACGTGCACCCGTACATACTGACGTGACAAGCGAGCCGTGCCGGACGGACGCAGAGCAAATGCCAACTTGACGCGACTTTGTTCAAGCCGCCGGCTTCCTGCCGAGCTCCTTCGACGACTGGATCCTGCAGCAGGGGTCAAAGGGAAGCTCGCTGCCCCGCCAGGCGGTAGTTGCATCGCTCTGTTCATGCGTGCGCGACTGGGGTGAGGTGAGTTGGACCTGGGACCAGGACTGCTCGGCGTCTTGCCTATGGCCGACTGTAGTAGCCGGCAAAACCTCGCTACACCTTGGCTCTGGGTTGCTATGCATCCTCCCACATCAGGTCAGTCGGTAGGCCTCCAGCCACAAGAAGCGAATGCACGGTGCATCATTGTGTTGCGTCTCCTATACGAACCCACCACTCCAGCCGGCGCATCTACTGCATGTGGAAGTCAGGTCATGAACAACTTTCTAGCCACCCGCCTCGGCGTCCCCTTCATAGACAGCCAATCGGGCCTGGAATCCGTGTTGGCCGTCGTACACAATACCGAGTCTGTCTCCATTTGGGTATGAGCAGTGCTAGGCCTACTATTTCTCCACATGATCGACTAAGTACCCACGTCTGGGACAATTTCCCGGCGTTCCATGGACTGCTCATGACCAGGCATTGCATACACCTGCAGAGCTAATGGGAAAGACGCATCAACCGTTGAGCCTCTAGTATCTTTACCATCAAGTTCAATGGCAATAGACCAAGACATGAAGCATACGCAAGACCGTTGCGGTTGACTAAAGAAGTAGAATCATGACGAATCTCTGCCGGACTCATATGTGGGATGTACTCATTGCATATATCGAATCGTGAGCTCGAATGCCGCCAAGCTTATGTGATGCTAAAGCAGAGTCGTGTAGGGTGCAGGTTTTTACAGTCAGCACGCCATACCCACGTTTGACGCCCCCACTCCGAGCCGCTGCAAGCCACCAAGGCATGGAGCTGTATTGATAAGTCAATCAGCGGGAAGTTGAACGAATAGGCGTCGAGGTTGGTGCAAACAAGGCAGGCAAAAAGGCGCACTGATGAAGGATTGAAGAACGAAGCGCCGAGATACGCCACGTTGCGTTTGCCCATGAAGACTAGACCAAAATTCGGTCTTCGATGTGTTCAATTCGTGATATCCTTCTCCATCTCATGGCCCAATAAGCGCATATCGCACCGTTTTTTGACATGCGCTACCACACCGCATATCACTATTCCCCGCTCAGCTCGTGTCTTGGTCGCACGTTTTTAATGCTAGACATGGCCTCTTTAGTCTACCAGAAGCTCAAACATCTCCTCCAACCTTCGCTCATCATTTAGTCGCGTGGCGACACCATCCAGGCGCCAAACATGTTCGAAAATATGTCTGGTCTTTCTCCTGAAGATCAACGCCTAGTCTCGACACTTGGGTCCGGCCCAAGGATCTCTGTCTCATCGGAGACTATCCATGAAGCTTTCGAGCGCATTGTGGACGAACACCCGGGGGTTGTGGCTGCTGTCCACGAAGGCCAAAGCATCACCTATCTGCAGCTGGATCTTGCAGCCAACCGTCTCGCACATCATCTGATCGGCTCAGGACTTCGCCCAAGACAGAGAGTATGTCTCGTCGTGCAAAGATCAATAGAGATGCTCATCGGCTTCCTGGCGATCCTGAAAGCTGGCTGCCAGTATGTTCCAATTGACGGCGGCGTTGCCTCTGACCAGGCCCTGGAACACATTTTCAAAGATACTGAGGCGCGCTTCATCCTGTGCCTTCCAAAGTTCTGGGATCGAGTTAAGCAGTTTGCGGACCACGAGTCTCTCATCTTGGAGTTGAACATGAACACTGGGGCCTTCTATTCCCCTGCCAGGCCGGGTATCCGGGTTACCGCAGAAGATGGTGCCTATGCTATGTATACTTCAGGTACGTAGGCGCTGTAATCAACGTTAGTGACGTACTGATGAGTTTCCAAGGAAGTACCGGCGTTCCCAAAGGGGTCGATGTCAAGCATGGGACTAAAACCAATGCCCTTCTTTCAGAACCCGGGCGAATGGGGATTACTGTTGGCTCGAGGGTTGGGCAGGTCCTGAGCATATCCTTCGCAATGGGTGAGTTGTTCGATACCTGGCAAGTCTCGCGACCTTCTTAACACGGCTCAGGAGCATGGGAGACGTTGGGCTGTTTAATGAACGGAGGAACGCTTTACCTACGAGGATCCGACTGGGATGCTACACTAAAACAGGTTCGTTCTGAGAGCCGTCTCAGCTAGCCAAACGTCAAGCTGACTAGTGGTACAGATCGACACGTTGATTAGCACACCCTCCATTCTTTCCAAATACGAACAACATAATTTTCCGAATATCAAGACCATCGGTTTGGCAGGCGAAGCGTGCCCGCAAGCGTGAGTTTATCGTGTTAGTCAGGGGAAGGCAGTATGCTAACTGTGCCTAGTCTTGCCGACGAATGGGCTCAAGGTAGATCCTTCTACAACATGCTTGGCTCTACAGAGACCTTCCTCCTGTCTGCGCATAGACATGTGAGCGGTGGACACCTATCAATCGGTCGGCCACTGCCAAATACACAATGTTACGTGCTTGATGACAACGGCGAGCCCGTCCCATTCGGTCAGAAGGGCACGCTGTGGGTTGGAGGTGCAGGCATATCAAGAGGCTACATCAACCTGCCCTTGACTACTGCAGAGAAATTCCAGCTCGACAAATTTGCGAACGATGGGTGAGTGTAACATGCGCTTTTATTAATTGTGCTAATCATGGTTTAGCTCCATGATGTACAACTTTGGCAACATCGTTTGTTGGAGAGCCGATGGTTCGCTTGATTCTTTTGGCCGAATGGACGACCAAGTAAAGATCAAGGTTAGTTTGCCATTTTAGTGGCTTTCAAGTGGTTGCTAACGTATCTAGGGTTTCCGTGTGGAGCTCGACGGTGTTACTGCTGTGGTCGAGGTAAGATTATCATACTTTGGTCACTTTCTGTTGCTGACCATTTGCCACAGCGATTTGCAGGGATCACACGGGGCGCGTCTCTCGTGATCGACGGAGTTCTCTATGGATTCTACGCATCTTCGGTTCCGGTCAGTGAGCAAGAGCTCGCTGGCTTCTTGCGAAAACAACTGCCGTATTATTCCGTGCCAGAGCGATGGATCTGCGTGGACGAAGTCCCGCTGAACCCCAACGGCAAAGTCGACAAAACCCAACTCAAGGCACTGGCTGCAGAAACAGGTCTCTCCAAGCCGGAGGCAGGAATCACTAGAAAGGGGCATGCACGAATGGACTCGGGTGTCGATTTCCTGGAAGAGCCGAAAAAGGTCGAAGCTCCTCTTGCGGCGATTATGCATGACGACCCCCGAGCTGGTTCAGATGACGTTGATCTCGAGAAAGGGTTCCGCGCTAAAAGTCTCGAACACAGCTCGATATCTGAAAGTACCGAGCCGTGCGATACACTGGCTACGCTACCAGAACCTAGATTATCGCCTGCGGAAGCCTGGATACGGCACCGTGGTCTCATTGCGTATCGCTGGCTCCTCCTTCCTGTTGTCATGGTCAACGTTGGAGTAGCGTGTTGGCTTCTCTATGACAACATCAAGAACCAGACATATCCACTCTCTTCGGTCGCAAATGCCACTGCAGCTAACCTCTGCGCTGCAATCCTGATCCGTTCGGAACCGGTGATTAATCTGCTGTTCAAGATCTTTTCATCGGTTCCGACTTGGGTACCTCTGCGGATACGGTGCATATGCGCAAATGTCTTTCATATCGGCGGTCTGCACGTCGGCTGTGCGATTGCCGCTGTCATATGGTTCATCATCTTTATTGTGGGTGCGAGTCTCGAACTGGCAAAAGGTGTCGATGAAAGAGCCATCTCGTTGGCGCTGGCGATACTGTCTTACTTTATCATGGCCTTGTTGCTCGCAATGACTTCGATGTCGCACCCATATGTCCGAAATCGGTACCACGACTTATGGGAGAGCATGCATCGATTTGGTGGATGGGCCGTGCTGATTCTTTACTGGGTCCTTGTTGGGCTATCGTCCGCAGATCTGGGCCGTGAATCGGGACTATCCGCTTCGGAAGCCTACCTCAGAAACCCGTCGCTATGGCTCATTGCAATCGCCACTTGTGCGATCATCTTTCCCTGGCTGTTCCTCCGACGGGTTGCTGTCAGGTCTGAAGTTCTCTCTTCTCATGCCGTCCGGCTACACTTTGCCGCGAATCTTGGTCCCGGCAAAGGCGTCCGCCTTGCACAACATCCGCTCGGCGACTTCCACGGTTTTGCCACAATCACAAACGGGCCGCGTGAAAATGGATACTCGGTGATTGTAAGCCGGGCTGGGGATTTTACAGGTCATGTGATTGACACTGCGCCAACGCATATTTGGAGACGCGGGATCCCCACCTCCGGAGTCCTGCGCATCGCAACATTATTCAAGAGCGTGGTTGTCGTGGCTACAGGATCGGGCATTGGCCCCTGCCTTTCCATCTTTCCCTACCAGCACATTGCCATGCGCATCCTTTGGACGGCGCCCAATCACGAGGCAACGTTTGGCAAGTCCATTGTTGATGCCGTGGTGAAGAGAGACCCAAAAGCCGTCATCTACAACACGCGTATGTCTGGGAAACCAGACATGAGTCTTTTGACGTATAGATTATACAAGGAGAGCGGCGCTGAAGCGGTGCTCGTGATTAGCAACAAGCGCTTTACTAGGCAGATTGTTTTCGACATGGAGAAAAGAGGGATTCCAGCGTACGGGGCGATTTTCGACTCTTAGGTTTGTTTTGGGGCCGCGCACGACTTGACGATTGTTATGTCATGATGTTATGAGTTGTACGTATAGAACGAAAGACCTAATGAAGAATGAAATATTGTACACGAGCAGCGAGTATGCCATTTGTTTGCCTGCGGGGAGTGCAGTACATAGGCGGTCTTCTCCGCCACAACCTGGACACGTGGGCAGTCTTGGCAGTCTTGGCAGCTTTAGCTTCTATCACTCCGAGGACGGCGGATGCTGCCTCTCGGCGAAATTCTAATCTTGCATCAAGAAAAAGCAGCGCCCAAGTGTTCCGTAATGCAGCAAACCTGTACCAACCCCCTAAGCTGTTCGGTGTCCCCGACTGTACCCCGATACACAGAGCTCATTCTTGGTTCACGAGGCTATAGAAGGACCTGATGACATCACAACAATAATGCCACAGTCATCATGCATTACCCAACAAGGCTATCCAAGTTCCGCATTCCTCTCTCGGAATGCCAAGTCGCAGATAGCCACTCTCCGTTAGCAGGCACGCAGCCTCGTTCAAGCTTTGCCCTAAAACGCTTGCTTTTTGTCGCGCCCCTAATCTATCTTATCAAACTATGCACCACAGACGAGCCAGCTCAGCCCCAGTTTCAATGCACGTCAGGATCTACTTAATCCTCCCGGGCAGGTGCATCAGGGGATTCTGCGGAGGATAGCCCAAAGGAGAAGGAGATGAATGCTAGCGCCCGGCGCATTTGGCAATCCGGGCCAATCACGGGCTTGCCACACCCTGCCCGTCCGGATATGCCAAGATATGCAAGTGTGCTCGTACAGCCGTGAGGAGAAGGTCGCTCGTCATACTCCGGGGGTGGAAAACCGTATAAGGCGGCTTCTCTTCGACGTGGATGCATTCTGAAGAGAGACATCCCATCCATTCGCTTTTCACATTCTCCTTCGCTTGCAACCATCTCAAGATGAAGTACGCTCTCGCTGCAGCACTGATACTCCAAGGTACAACCGTACTTGGCAGTCTTCTTCCTGTTGATTTCAAGGCCCCTACGCCCGCACACTTCCTTGACATTGTGAACAATGGAACCTACGACCTTGGCTGCCGACCAAAGGCTGTTGCCCACCCAGACGGCCACTACGAGCTGCACGCTCTGCTGACCGAGGAGCAAATTGCTCATTTGTCCAAGGAGTACGAAAACTCGGAGGAGGTTAGTCTGCACCGACGAGACCTCAGCAAGCGGGCTGCCGATGCGCCAATTGGCTCTGGCGACCGTTTCCAAGGCGGTGCTGTCACCCCGTCTGGTCTTGGTACCAAGGCATCGGGATCGACAATCAGCTCCATCATGAACGTCAATGAAATCAACTCGGCTATCAAGGGTCTCGTCAACGGCTACGGCATCAGCACCGTGACCCTGCCATACAAGACTTTCAACGGCGCCACCCAAACCGCCGGATACGTTGGTGCTGGCACGGACAAGACCAAGTACAAGCTCTACCTCAGCGCCGGCATGCATGCCCGTGAGCGAGGTGGCCCTGACCAGCTCATCTACTGGATCTCCGACTTGCTTGCTGCGAACAAGGCCGGAACCGGTCTTACATACGGCCGTAAGTCGTACACCAACGCCCAGGTCAAGAGTGTCCTCGCCGCGGGTATCGTCTTCTTCCCTCTGGTGAACCCCGACGGTGTCACGTACGACCAGTCGTCAGGCTCTCTGTGGCGCAAGAACCGCAACACGCGTTCCGGCACCAGCGGCGCCTCCATCGGCGTCGACATCAACCGCAACTTTGACTTCCTGTGGAACTACCCCAAGTACTTTGACCCGTCCACGTCGCCTGCGTCCAACTCGCCCCGCTCCGAAGCCTTTTACGGCACGGCCGCTGCCTCGGAACCCGAGACCAAGAACCACGTCAGCATCTACGACAGCTTCCCCAAGATCCGGTGGTTCATGGACATCCACTCGGCCACAGGCGACATCCTGTACAACTGGGGCGACGACGAGACTCAGAGCACAAACACCCAGATGAACTTCCTCAACAGTGCTTACGACGGAAAGAGAGGCCGTATCGGCGACACCACGTACAAGGAGTACATGCCGTCGGCCGATGTGAGCAACATCCGGAGCGTGGCCTCCAAGACTGCTGCTGCCAGTGCGTTATTCCCCCTTCCTTTTCTAAGACTCTTTGTGGTAGAATATATACTAACAAAGTGATTTAGTGGCTGCCGTCGGTGGACGCTCCTACTCCTCCATGCAGTCGGTTGGTCTGTACGCCACATCCGGTGCCTCAGACGACTATGCCGCCAGCCGCGTCTACGCCAAATCTGGTGCCAACAAGGTTCATGGCTGTAAGAAACCTCCTCCTCATTCACTTCATGCTCTAAATACTGACTTGTTACTCTTTTAGTCACCATGGAATTCGGCTACGCAACAAACTTCTACCCCACACTAACCGAGTTCAACCAAAACATTCTCGACACCAACGCGGGCTTCATGGACTGGGCGCTTGCCGCTATCGCTGTTGGCCTCGACTAGAGATGATAATGATGATGTCCCATGAGTACATGAGAGCATGAATACTTCTTCAAACATTCTGTAAATAGTTTTTATCTTTTATTTTAAATATGTGTGTGTATGAAGGACGCTGTTGGCGAGACAGGCAAGCGCCCAGCATATCAAAAAGTGGGAAGTTCTTTTATTTTTCTGACAGAGTGATGTTGAGACCAATGCATGAGTAGTGGGCGTCATTTTCTCTCTCTCTCTCTCTCTCTCGATTTTTAAACAATGAATTAATGATGTTGGTTTTACCTTCTCCATTACTGAATCCGGCGTGCTGCGAATGCCAAAATTAGCAGTGTCCATGACTCATACTTACCGTTCGTTTCTTTCATTCCTAAAAAAATAAAAACCAGGAAAAACTGTCTACCATCTATCCCGTCCAAGTAGGACTCCTCAGTCCCATTTTTCAAGCATGCTGCTCCCATACGACCCCATACTATTTTCATACGCACCGCATACCTCTTTACCCTATTCGTATAATCATTGCGTTCTTCCAGACCAAACTCAAGAATGTCCAATCTGCACACCCACATGCGCACTCTGTCCGGCATCATCCTCGCGCCCCAGTTCCTCATACTCAATCTCAACATAATGATATACCCAAAACGAGCAGAATACGAATGCAGCTAGCCCCGCTAAAAAATGCAGTGAGGTACATGATGGCAATCTGTGGCTTAGAATTAGTATACAGTAATGTCATCATGGTTTTGTTTCTCCCTCTTTCCTTCATTCTGTTCCTTTCCTACTCTTTCACCTCTTTCTTGTTTGGTGCGATTTTTTTCTATTTTTTTATTTTTTTTTTATTTTTTTTGCGTGCGTTGTGAACGGGGAAAACAGGTACAAAAGACACAGAGACAAAGAAGGAGAGAGAGAGAGAGAGAGTTACTCACATTATGTCCATCTCCCCACACCTTATCGCGGCGAATAAACGGCGAGCAAACAAGAATGGTGAGGCCAGCGAGAAACGCGCAGACAGAATACGACATGAACATGAGCGGTGCTTGCCACGTGAATACCATTTTGCGCCGCGGAGCGTAGCGCGGTGCACCAGCATTGTCTGTTGTGAGAGTGAAGAGTAGAGGGCGGTATTTTGCTATGGCAATGTCAAGGGTAGTGACAGGGCGTTGCTGCTGTTGCTGTTGTTGCACAAGCGGCTTTACAGGCCCCAGCAAATTCAGCACCGTGACTTCAGACGCCGAGAGCAGAATACCAAGGATAGCCAGAATCAGGCTCATATGCCAGAAGCCGTGCGTAAGCCAATAAGCTTCTGAAATTGTGGTCCATGAGAAAGCGCCGATGACAGCGGCGGCGAGTACGGTGCACTGTTTTTGTGTTTGTTTCTTCAGTTTCAGTTAAAAATAGGGGGGGGGAGTTGGGGGAGTTTCATCTTTGGATGAAGCTTACGGAGATTGTGGTGAATTGCAATTCACTTAGTTTCCGCGCTCGCCAAGACGACAGCGCGCGCTGGAATCGTTGCGTAGTGAGTGGTGTTTCCGAGGCGAGATCGGCGAGCTTTTGCAGGGGATCGATGGTGTTGAAGTGGTAGAGCCGGTAGTATGGTAGGGTTGCTATCTTGACGAATACGGTTTCGAGAAAGACCCATAAACGCTGGCCAAGAGTCAGTTGGTCATGTTTCCGCTTTGATTACGGGAGACTTCTGGCAGTAATATGAGATCCAACAAGAAGCTCAGAATCCTACCTCGAGAATCTGTGTGACAGCCCTGAAGGCGCGCACGAGCGCTGTGATGCCTTGGGCGAATAGCATCCGAATGCTGAAACCTAGACGACTTGGCGGCGGTAATTTCCCGCTCATCGGGGATTGCTGTGAGTCTTCTATGTATGCTGATTGTGCAGCACCACTACGGCATTGTTAATGCGAAACAAGATGATCGACGGGGACAAATGTCAGAACCCCCGCGGCGAGGCTCAGCCATGGTAAAGTCACCGGTAATGGCGGGGGGCACCGAACAAGCGGTTCACGGAGCAGGGCTGAGCAGAAGTATAATTGGCTGGTTGTCAGCCTCGTAGCCTAGAAGGGCGCGGCTGAAGTGCGGCTGAGACTGTTCGCTTAGCTATACCCATCTCGGGCTTGAGACAAGGCTGACGGGAGAGCCCTGATGTTTGAGTTCTGCCTTGCTTTTGGGGGTCAAAATCTACAAGTCTAGCTCACAGGAAAACCATCAGTCAATTCGACATTAAATTGCTTACATAAATTCGTGCTGCGCCTGGTGGCTACATGTATGCTGAAGAATACAGGGATATCGTAAAAAACACTAGAAAACAAGCCGTTATGCGATGGAAGATAAGAAGGCAAGCTTCTGAATGTACAAAGTCCACAACGTCTCTTCCCCATGCCCATGTTCTAACAGTGGCATGTGCGGGAGCGGCCATTCTCCACCTAATACTCCCATTTTTTATACCTCGGCTGTCTGAGCGCATCTGCATCTGGTTCTTCGCGATGGAAACTGTTCCAATGCTGGTTGAACAAGTCGAGTGTTTCATATGTGGTTTCGTGGCAATCGACATCCTCGCACTGGTATTGGGAAGCTGCTAGCGAGAAGCGTTGCCAGCGAGACCTGTCTGCCATGCGGCTTCGACGGATCTCGACAAGATGGCGCGCACAGCTCTCGATATTATCAATGTTTTCAAGCTGAGCTGCCCAGCGATAGAAGCCATCCTGGATCTTCCGTAGAGTTTTATGGCCCGGATGCTTCGTTGTCCAGCCGTTTGGCTTCCAGTCGTCCAACTCTATGTCCAGGCCTATTTCGTCGTTGAACCGCCACAAGTTCTCCAACCTCCGAGTTTCCAGCGATCGTGCGACTATGCGAGGATCAGTGGCTACAGCTGCAATGTGTCTCACTCTTCGAAGTATTCCTCTGCCCTCGCCCTTGTCATTTGCTCTCGCAGTTCCAATACTGACGATTGCGCTGAAGCAGTCACGCCCATAGAGTGCTTCAACTTCCATCATTCCAACTTCTGTAGGGTTGTTGGTGTCCCCGAAGCCGCCATCGGAGAAGTAGATTCTCTCTCTTGAATTGCCTTCGCCTAAGCATATCTTGAACTCGTCAAAGTACATTGGTGCAGCCGTGGCAGCCCGGGCCACCTGCCATAGTTTCATTTCCTCTGCCGGGCCGTAATTAAGATAACGACTCCCCAGTGATAGCCTGTTGAGATTATTGTAGGATCGGAGAATATAGAGGCTCTCTGGATCAATTCCCACATCATTTCTTGTTCATCGCAGAGTTGTCACTATTCTAGACTTCTGATTAGCACATCTGGAGCTATTCCCAGGACGTCGTGGCAGAACTCGGTTGAGGAAAGTCAGGGGCTACGAACACGTTACATGTGTCTTGCAATGTGGGGAAAAACGGTTCCCTGAAGCCATTTCGGTTGAAGGCAGATCTCTCGCAACGTCGCCGCGTAACATCTTTGAAGACTTTTTTCATAGAATTCGCATCGTATTTCGACCAGGGTACGAAGCCTAGATTGCGCTGGGAGCACCATCGCGGATGGCCAAATATCTGGTGACTGAGATCCTCGTACTCTTTCATACAATCTGCGACGCTCATTCGAAGTCTCCCCAGCATGATTGCAATAAGACTAGCGCACGTTAGCAAACCTTCTCAGCTACACAAATTTCTTTTTCGTACCCTCCTGTACTAGAACCGCACATAAAGTCAAAATAGTGGCAAGGTAGGTACTTCTGGGTAGCAGAGAGCTGCTGGTAGGGTACTGGTCGGCCTTCGCGTTGTGCAACGTTTGGAGGAAATTCATCTGGCCAGAAGCTGTCCGACCGACCCGGATGCAAACGACCAGCCTGACGAGCGTCTTCTCGCGCTATAGCTTCCATCAGTCTCCCTAGCACAAGAAGTGTCCAATACCCTCGTATTCCGCCTCCATCTTAGTAAACGTCAGCATAAGACAGTCAGATGTGCGTATGTAGAGCGTCAAAATAACTACCTAGACTTAGGAGATTGTGCCTGCTCCAGGCACCATTGCGGGTGCCGGTACTAACTCTGGCCGGGCGTGGGAAAGATTGTGCCTCTTGACTGCTATCATCCATGTTTCTTTGATTAGCTCTATCTCTAGGATAATGAAACAGTGATCTACAAAGTGCGGAGCGCTAAGTCTGGGCGCTGTTCTTTATGTCAACACTTCAAGATGCATACTTAGTCAATGATCGGGCGCCAATATTACGAGCTGAAGACACCCGTAGCGGAATCTGGATCTGCAGCAATAGCAGTCGGATATTGTGTGGCTTTGGGGGGCTGAGCCATCACATAGCGCACAAGGCTGTGAGCCGTGTCACGTGGTTGTTGGACCGATTTCATATCTCAACAAGAGATGGAATTTGCCGAAGTAGCTGATAGAAAACATGGTATTCGAAGCGAATGCGCCCTTCAAGAGTAGGATGCTGCGGCACGATGCTATGGATCTTTGTCATTTAGCGAGACACCGCGGGCGCATGACACAAAGCCCTGCTGCACCATTCGCTTGCGTATGTCAACGCATGCGTTACGCACATTCAGCTGAAAGCTCGTACGAAAAGATGGAGGGGTCGGTGGCGCTTCGATTGGCCGGCAAACTTCAGCTGCTGAGCCGGCTGCAGCCTCAATGATATGCTGACCGGTTGCCGCACATAGCGCCGGCTGCTAGGCACTGTGGCTTCTGAGGGTTCTTTCTCAAGGCAAGAACTCCCTTAACGGAGCTGAGGATGCGTGTGTGAAGCGATCGGTTAACATAAGTGACTAGAAAGACTGGGTCGCATAGCCTCACCCCTTGCAAGGAAGGTTTCACCACCTTATGAGATGCGGGCACGTAGTGGCAAGATCACCAGGTCTTGCACTGTGGCGCTTTAATGTCGTGGCTCATCGGCAGACCGACTTGTGCTTTATTCGCTTCCGCGATTGGCTGCCCGATGAATAGACCATATGACCGGAGTATGCACCGTGTCCATTATTACCGGGGGCAGAGGTGAATCTTTGCATAAGATCGAAGCCCCCTCCTGTGCCTCAGCGTAGCGTCATGTCGTATGCCGAAGTAACAACTCCTCCAAAGACATCCACCCCCTTCAACTTTGAACTCTGAATACACCGCACATTTCGCATACACTCATATCCGATACTCTGTTCATCTCAATGGGGTTTGCGACACACACACTGTCCAAGAATCTGGCCAAAGGGAAAGAGCCAGCCCCCCAAAGACCGACGCGAACAAACAGCTGGGATCGAGCCGTCATATTTGACCCCAGGAAAAACAGCGTTGATATCCGTAAGAAGAGCGAAGTCGCCAAAACGGTACAGAATGGTGAGTGTGCGTCTGTTTCTTCCTGGCTTCTTATTGACGACAGGTCAGGAGATTTCCCTTGTCGAGAGATCACATTACCCAGGAAGACGAAAGAGCTGTCGCTTTTCGTAGGGCACGACGATGAGACGGCGCTGAGGACTGAGAATGAGCGCAAAACTGATGACGTGTTCTTGGCTAGGCTCAACCTTGATCACCTCGGCTTGTCAAACCGCGCGCGGCTTCGCCTTGGCTATCTGAAGACACTGTACGTTTACAATGGAATTGCGTAACCTTGGTCCAGAGAAGTGTTTCCTTTCGGCTTCTTTTTTTTGTTTCTTCATGTAGTTTACAATCATTGTTCTCAGCGAGGACATGATTATGTATATTAATGATGGGCGAAAGTGGAGTTCTTTCTGATTGCGCAGGCGTCCTTGAGTAAGCGCGTTGGAGGCTGCTTACAATCGCTGTTGTGGAACGTAGCAGATGAATAGAGTGCAAATTTGATGTTGATAAGGTGACGCCCGATGACTGCGACGGGTTCTACTGCAGATTAACAGTGCTGAGCAGATGGTGGGGATGAAAGACAGGTGGGGGAGAAAGAACAGCAAGGCTAAGCCACGTGGACAGCAACCGGGGTTAAGATGCGTAGTCGGTACAGTGTCTCGGCGAGCCGTAATCGACGCAGCTTTTCTGTTAGCTGTGATCCGAGGCTGATACAATGGAAACAGAAGAAATATTAGGATGTTGAGATTGACGTTCAAAGATGAGGTTGAGGTAAGGCAGAGGAGGCCGGTCAGGAAGGAACGCCTAGACAGCTTTGGTGCTGAGGACAATGACGAAAGCGGTTAGCGCCATGGTCCTCCAAGTTGGCGCAACATCGCCATTATCACATCTCAGTGGTCGTCGCCAAGTCCGACGAAACATGCGCATATAAGCGCCCAAAAGACCATTTTTCAACAGACACGCATATATTGCTAGGAATGCGCTTGGTGCTATCGCGGAAGCGGCACGGCACGGGCGCCCGCTTAAATGCAATGCATAACATGCGCGCCCCCCTTTCTGTCTCCAGTGTGAGCCCCGACGTCCGAACTCCTGGAGGCCCCGGACCCTCAAGCCCCCAGATCCTCCTCCTCATCTCCATTTATGCACCTACCACATTCTGTATCCTACCTCCGAAATTCCCACACCAAAGCACTGCTCTCCATAGCCTCCGAGCGTCAGACCAATACAACCCATTCTTGTCAGAAACATTTCTCACCTTAAATGCACAACCGGTAACTTAAGCGATAACGCTGCAACGGCGCGCGGGAGTATGTACATTGACTAGCGGTCTAACTCCCGTTGATGTCTATGTCAGCACTATCTCTCACTAGTAACAACTGTTTCGAGCCGTTTTCATATAGCTTTGCGACAATTAAAACCTGTCCCTAACCTGACATGGGGTGCCTGTCTGCTTTAGCCAAAACTTTTGGCGGCTGTATCGGTTATGCGGCTGTGGTGGTTTGGTTAGCGTCGACATAGCTTGCATTCGGGGCCTATCACATACTATTGATTCTTTAGCGTCCAAGTACGCCTATGTATGGCAGAGAAACTGCACAGTGATTGAGACAGGAGACACTCGCTGTAAAGCTCAAGGCGGGTGTCCAAAACATCCAGGCTGTGCGTCTTCGTGTTAGTACGAGGGGATTGTTAGAACATGTGGAAAGCTTCTGCTGGAGCATCACGGTTACAATTGCGCCTCATGCAAATAACAAGCTGATGATTGAATTGTGAACTCGTAAAAAATTTCGTAGAAGAAATGGGTATATACATAGAAATCTAGTTCTGTTCCAAAAGGAGGAAGAGAACCTTCAAGCGAGCATAGAAAGAAGCAATACCAGGCTTCACATCTAGAGCTCGCTGTTGCCAACCCAAGGGTTGGAAGCCTTCCAGCTGACAATCTCAGGACCAATCTTCTTGAGGTCGCCCACACCGATGTTGGCAGCGTCGTTGAGGAGCTCGTACTTGAGCATGTCGGCGGCGGCCTTGACACCGTCGGCGCCATAGATGTTTGCGAACATGAAAGGCCTGCCAACACCAACGGCGCGGACTCCGAGAGCAAGCAGCTTCAAGATGTCAGTGCCGTAGCGAACACCGCCGTCGGCGTAAACCTCAATCTCCTTGAAGATGGAGGGGTCCTCCTGGTGAATCTCCATGGCGACCTGGAGAGAAGATGGCGATGTGTCGGATTGACGGCCACCGTGGTTAGAGAGGAAGATGGCCTTGCAACCGTTCTTGACAGCTTCACGGGCGTCCTCAACCGTCTGGATACCCTTGGGGATAATGGGAAGGGAAGTCATGTTGGAAAGTTGGCGGTAGAGATCCCAGGTGAGCAGACTGAGAGACGAGTCGGCAGATCCAACAGCGAAGCGCTTAGCACGATGCCTGACGCCATCACCAGCAGAGTCGACGGTCATGACAATGGCCTTGGCACCGACCTTCTCAATTCGCTTGAACAGTTCCTGCGTCTGGGTCATGTTCTCGGTCAGGTAGACCTGCTGGAAGAGGACCTGCTCGGAACCGTTGGCGCGGGCAGCATAGATGTCTTCCATACTCTTGGAAGAGAAGAGCGAAGCCATGTAGAGGATGTTGGCGTCGCCTGCTCCCTTGGCAAGGCCGACCTCGGCGATGGGGTTTGCGTAGTCGGCACGGGCGCAAGGCGAGATGAAGAAGGGCGCCGAGAAGTTGTGGCCAAGAATGGTCGTGGGAAGAGAGGCGCCGACGTTGAGGATGTCCTTGAAAACGCGGGGGCGAAGGCGGTACCGAGAGAAGATCTCGAGGTTGTTGCGGTAGGACCACTCGCCCGCTGCACCATTACGGTAGTAGGTGTAGTCCTTCACGCCCATGAAGTTGCGTGCGACCCACTGGAAGTCAGGCAGGCCGACGAGAGCCTTGAGTGGAGGTAGGGTCTTGTTGGTGACATAGCCGCCGAGCTGCTCCTCGATGCCCGTGTCTGGCTCGTCCAAAAAGGGACGAGCCGCAAGCGCGCAAGCGGCAAAGGCAAGGACGGAGAAACGCATCTTGGGTAGTAAAGACCGTGAGTTGGAGAAGAGAAAAGATCGACTGTGGTAGGGTGTGGTGTGCCGTGGTGGTGGGAATTGCAACGACAGCAAAGGCAAGACTTTTATATATCCCGTTCACGTAGGTCGGCCATGCATACATGGGGATATTGCAGGGGGCCGTGCAAGAAAGTCGCAACTAGATGGCATCCCAAGCAGGAACGTACCCATGGCTGTCAAGTTTGCACAACCCCTGCTGTTCCAGGATGCATATGTACCAGACTCTGGGTCAATGGTACTAGCGGCATGGCCTGCCCAGTTGGCGTTTTGAAACCAAAATGCGTCATCCGCGCCCGGTAGCCGGGGCCATTGTTTATATTAACAAGCCTGGCAAAACGTCAAAGGTGGAGCCGCGCCGGGCTCTAGAAGAGCCGCCAAGGTGTTGCAGGAGACTACTACAACCATGTAGGCGTTTAGCATGTATTGGGTGCCCAGAAGCTGCCACGCGATCGGTCCGAAGTGCTTGATAACAGGTTTGTCACTTCAGGCACGCGAGAGATTTACACCAAAAGCGAGTGTCGGAAGGCGCATGGCGTGCGCGTGATTGGCTGAGCTGCGCAAAAACTCCGTGACGACGTTGAGATTGCGCCGCCCGGCACGAGCGGGGACTTGGCCAGCAACGTCGCTTGCTCCGGATCCAATGATTTGTTCTTTTGTACGAGTAGTCTCGCGTACACAGTCGTCGTCGAGTAGGACTGAGCAACGGATGGATTTTATGCACGGGTTGCACTCCCCAGAGACGACGCATCGGCCAGGCAGTCGCACATGGGCGTGGGCTGCCGCCAGCCCAGGTGTACGCGGGAGCAGCAAACCAGGGCTCGTGTACGGCGCGTATCTGTCGCCGTTTCCAGGTGGTTCGTCTGGTGCATGGGGCGCGAGGCACGATTGCCTTGTCTGTCGACGTTATCAGCTGTTGCAGACCAGTGCATCAGATAATCTGGCGGCTGCGATCAAGAGGCCCCTCCGAAATAGGGCCTAGGCGGTCTTGCGCTCCATCATGGCGCGGGCTGCGAGGACGGATGCGGAAGCTCACTATGGCTGGGCCGGCGAAAATCTCTGCGGCGAGATAGCGGACAGTCTCGAAGAAAATGCTCTGTCGGGAGGCTTGGAAGGATGCAAAACAGCGCGGGAAGGAGATGCTGCAGTACCAGCTAGCTGTCTTGGCGCCCCGCCTCTGTCAGCACTCTCTTCCAAGCTCCCGCCTTGCGCGTGCCATGGCTGCTCACAATCATACACAGCCGTCGAGGATATACCCGTCCAACGCCCGCCTCTGTTTCAAATGTCCTGTATCTATTTCTTGCCGCTCCCGCTGCCTTTGTTTTGCATACATGAAAGCCCGAAGCCCGCGCGCTGACCTCGCGACTGACTCTGCTTTCCGCGCTTGCACCTGATGCGCCGACATATGCCCTTTTAGTCGTTTTTTGATCCTGGTACACTTTCTCGCCACCATGGCGCTCCGCCTCATACACACACGCACGCCTTGTCACGATGCAACCGTGGGTAATATATCACTTTTCTGGACTGACTAGCACAGGTGCTCGGTAGCCGGTACGCACAAATGCACAACCACGCCTTGTCATGTTCCGCCGAGTACCCGCTGCTATCCCAATGTATTTGGCCGAGACGTGGACATGCTTACGGCTAAGTTGCACAGCGAGCCCTTTTCCGAGGTCCACGCCGCTCTCCCTTTCCGGGTATTTTTTCGCGCAGCCAGCAGCCTTCGCAGCCTTTGTGGCGAGCCGACTCGGTGACACACTCACACTTACACTTCGCAACGGTCCAAATATCGCAACAACGCTCTTTCCAAGAAATGCGGGGAAGGCTTGCTCCGGAAGCGGGGTCACTCGTCACATCATCCGCTTGCCGTCCTGTCAGCATGCTCCATACATACATACGTAGTACTATACATACCTCATAGCACCGAGCCACGCCTCTCATGCCGACCATCCTCCGCGCCGCAGCATGCCACGCATCTCCCGTCTTTCTCAGCGCGCGCCAGTCAACAGACAAGGCGATATCGCTGATCAAGCGGGCCGCCTCGTACAAGGCCAACTTGGTAGTCTTTCCCGAAACCTACATCTCTGCATTCCCCATTTGGAGCTCGCTCCGCCCGCCGACTGAGAACCACCATCTTTTCCAGCGCATGGTGCAGGAGTCAGTCTATGCCGACGGTGACGAGATGGGAGCAATCCGCGAAGCGGCGCGCGCAAGCGGTGTGTTGGTGAGCCTCGGCTTTAGCGAAAAATCGCGCCATAGTAACGGCTGCCTCTACAACTCGAATCTCACCATCGGGTCCGACGGCGGGGTGCTCGTGCATCATCGAAAGCTCGTTCCAACCTTCTTCGAAAAATTGACATGGAGTCCTGGAGACGGTTACGGGCTGAGGGTTGCTAGCACCCAGTTTGGGCGAATCGGCACCCTCATATGTGGCGAGAACACTAATGCACTTGCAAGATACGCCATGATTGCACAAGCTGAACAGGTTCACATTTCGACATGGCCGGCAATCTGGCCTACCCGGCCGTCACCGAAGATCCCACCGAGAGCCAAGAGTGATGATCAGCCGACCACCCCAAGCATCGTACATGAGGCCAATTACAATAACGTCGCAGCCAACAGGACGCGCGTAGCAGCGCATTGCTTCGAAGCAAAGTGCTTTGGTATCGCCTGCTCTAGTCACTTGGGCCAAGACGCCATTGAAACCATCACTGACGGTGCGGGTCAGCCGGATGTTGTAGCCAACACGTTGCGTACTGTCCCGCGCGCTGCAACCTTCTTCCTAGACCCTACTGGTGCCCCACTTCCCGCCTTCACCTACGAAGGCTCGGAGAAACACTACGTCGAAGCACTTCAGTCTGAGGAAGGTATTTTGTACGCGGATATGAACCTAGACGACTGTATAGAGGGGAAACAATATCATGACGTTGTTGGGGGCTATCAGAGACTAGACGTCTTTGATCTCAAAGTCGACCGATCCAGAAAAGACCCGGTAAGGTTTACATAAAGCTATGCCCAGTCGTGAAATCTGGAATTAACAATTACGTCATATTGCAACCAAGTTACTAAGCGTCTTTGAAAAAAACGAAATTGTATCTCCTAAAGGGTGATTATGTAAATCTGTCAGATGAAAACTGTTCAAATATCCTTCTTGCACCTACCCTCTAATACAGTTGAATAAAGAAGAAAAGAAGCTTCTCTTCGTCTCCAGACTGCTGGGCCTCAAGAGAAGAACCACGCCTCCCTAAGCCAACCAAGCAACGTCAAATGAGGAAAAAGGGTCCCCCTACCCTACCAACGTATCGGTACCTATGTACATCTATAAACAGATAGCAGTCTACCCCAGAACACGGACTGATCAATCAAAAGTAATAGCCACCACATCCAACCTGCAACCTACTGTCGCTAGCCTCAAGACCCTGTTACGTATTCTAACCATTTTTTCTCTCCTGTTCTTGGCTCTGCTGTATATTCATATATAAACGGCCCAATAATCCCGGTAGCCACGTTTATTTTAGGGGGGAGGGTTTCTTGGCTTTCTGCAATGCAATGCTGGACTAGTTGCATTGTTTTTACAAGTGTCTGCAGGGCTCTACGGGCTTGGCAGAATAGTGAGTTTAGGTTAGTTCGTAACGGCTTGGTTGGTTGTTTTATGAGTGATTTTGACGTGCGGACCCAGCAGCGGCTTTCGCAACGCAGTAGAGTACGCAATATAGATTAGCGGTGAGGTACTATACCCTGTACGACTGCAATGTCCGGAAACTGGTTCCAGCCTCTTCTCGTCGTTGGAACCTTCTGCGTTTCTGAGAAGGGCCACGCTGATCGATATCCTCGTCCTCAGAGGCTGTATCAGAGGCTTGACTTACGGACGTGTGTAGCTCTCGTAGATTCAGCATGTCGTTCGGTTGTGGGCTCTTTTCCGTAGTGGAGCTGTCGTTTTTTACTGTGACAGTGGCCCTGTCTGCGTCTATCTGAGACATGACAAATGACGAAGAGGTGCCTTCCATATGAATGTTTGGAACCATCTGAGCCACAGGTACCTGATATTGTCCAGCACTTGGCCAGCTCGTGCCTCCTATACTGAAAGGCAGTGATCTATTCGTCGTGGGATTTGACGATATAAATACAACGTCTGGGTCTGGTGGCAATACACTGAATTGCCCAATCATCGGACTGCGAGCAGCTGCATATGGCGGTTCCATCTTTATGACAGGTTCGTCACCAGAACGTGATCCAGTGGTTCTAATTTCGCGAGACGTACGCTGTAGTGTCAAACAGTAGACAAAAGTTCGTATCCTACAGTGGTGGGTTAACTTTGTCTCGTGTTGTACGCATGGGCTACTGACTTCACACGATCGAATTGGTTGTTGTAGATGAGGTAACGTGGATAAATATCCTCGTTATCTGTCATGGTCAGAAAAGGACCCGTTCTGCCATCATTCCAGATAATTGGACCATATTCCCCAATGAGGTCCTCGATTTTTTGTTGCGTGAAGTTCTCTTGAGCCTCGATGTCTTCGTAGAACTCTTCCCAGGAGTTGTATCTCTGTGATAATTCTTCCGCTATCGTTTTCGTCGCTATGTAAAAGTCTCCAACTCTGCCAGGATACACTTGAGGACCGGACCGCGATCTGGATCTCGATAGGCTACGAAACCCAAGCAGGTCCGTGTATGTCTGAGTTCTGGCGGTTTTGCCGGCGGAGAGAAGTAGATGGCGTTTTGCCTCTGCCTGCGTGAGCACCGACATCTTTGCTTCAGTGTGCGAGAGAAGTACGGCTTGCACAAGGTCTGGCTGTGGAAATGAGATAAGAGATTGATTGATGGCTTCAAACAGATAGCTAATTGTGTGCTGGCCGCCACAACAACAGCGAAGACTATGTTTTTGAGAAGGTTGCTATAGATGAGCGCAAAGAGACACCTTGCTGACTCACGCCTATAAGAAATACGGCAATTCACGCTAGTAACTGTCGTCCGTGATACACTCACATGTCCGCGGACCTGCAGGCTGCACGTCGTGTAGATCCTTGCTTAGAATAAGATGAACATGAGATATGGACACTGGCAGCAGTTGTCCTTTGCTCACAGGCAGCAGCGTTATGCAGGTCGAAGTGGTCTGAGAATGATGATTTCGTCCACTCACACAAAGCAATAGTGTCCTCAACAATAGGGGCTTCTCCCGTAGAGGAATTGCTGGACATCGCTTGGAAATAACGGATGTCTCGCTTGCGCCACCTGCAGGGGAAGCAGATTATGGCGCATCACTGAGGTGATGTTAGGGGCCTTTAAACAGGACTGCGGAGCCCAATAGGCTTGGAAGCGGAACATGGTCTAAGCGCGTCTGCTTCACCGTGATGTTGCTACAGCGCAGTGCCCTAAGTCAGTTGAACCAGTTGGTTCTGTGTTCCTTTTACTCCGAATCAATGCCATTTGACAGCTCTCTTAGCTGGTACCTCACAGACTCTTTCTTGCTTTAGAAGACAGCGTGCTTAGAATGCGAAACATTTTTTTGCATCGGCAAGGCTACGACGGCGATGGAAGCCCCAGTGACTGTTGGCGCCTAGCTCTTAGCGCAGGTAATACATTTTTGCCCTGTCTAGTCTGCGCCTCGTAGGCGTGTGCATGTCAGAAAGCGACAAGGTGCATATGCAGGGGGGCGGCGCAGGTCGCAAAAGCCGCCTTTCCATTGTTCTAACCAACCACTGATTGTCTTTTCCGCCCATAAAACCCGCGTGCCCCTTTTCTCTTGGACAATGGGTTACTTTTCCTTTCGTCTTGTAGTTGGTCTTTTGAATCCGGCATAACATAAATGTGTTGAGATTGGCGATACCTCTGTTGTCGTTTATCTGTTGTGTCAGCAATGTGTCATGGCCTACTGGGGATTTTGTGCCCCTAATGTGACTAATCCATATACTATAACCGTTAAGGGATGAGGGTTGCAGGCGCTAAAATATTTTGTCTAGTAACAAGACCTTGCACTGTTAGTTTCTTTACAGCTACAGTTTGACAAGAAAGGTGTGAGAGTAGGAAGAGTGGTAAAGCACTGTATGGATAGCAGCAGTGAATATCGCCAGTAGTAATCTTGTATTTCAGGAGACGGATTGTTAGTGAGCAATACTAACGATCAGGGTACTGATGTACCACCTTGTAGTAAGAGCACGTGATTACATGCTAGGATGCTATGTTTGAACGCGGGGCCTGACAAAAAACCGTACACATACATTTTCACTTGAATAGACACCATCTAGCTGCTGCAAGGTCGACAATATACTGTTAATTCTTGATATAAAATGGGAAAATATCGTGTGGTTAATTCACGTCGCGTTATCGTAACGTTGGTTGCATATTAAAACCATAGTGTTATGGTGTAGTCACATGTTTCACATAGAGACTCAAGTTGTAAGGACAAGACGTCAAAATCGGTTCCCATCTGCTCTAAGAGGCTCTACTATCATTTGTCGAATAGATCCTAAGATGTTAGCAATATCTGTCTCAAGTCAGTCGCGTAAGCTGCTTGATTACAAAGCAGACGCCAGAGAAGCCAGAACAGCGCAGGAACAGCCAGAACAATTAGTATATCCAGAAAGAACAGAACAGCAAGAATAACAGCGAAAGCTGCACCCCTTTTCAGCTCCGTTACAGGCAGCAGGAATATTCATACTTTCTCACGTGACATGTTACTTGCTGTAAGACCCACAATTTCATCAACTGCGCAAAGGAAACATGAGATGAAAGACTTGACGAGACTAGCCATCGCAAAGCTTTTCATAGGGAATTTCGATCAATAGATCTTGCGTGCTCCGAGGGTTAATAAATCAAGTAGTTACCATTAGATGCATTCTGAGGCACCTTACACCAACGTTCATGACCCTTGAGAAGCTTGCTTGATAATAGTGTACAGAGGACTTAATTCCTCAACTCCTAGACTCACCAATGCTTGTAGTTCTTTTGTGTAATCTCGAGCGGTGATGCTAATGGTCTGGTTGTTAGTGTCGCAATATCAGACCTTTCTGGCAGTTGATGTCAACGATGTGTGGCTCGGACCAATCAGAGGCGCGCCAAGAAGAGGTAGGTCATCCATTCCGAACTTCAACGACCGCCACCACTCGCATCGACAACGCACGCTCGCCGGACCCCCGAGCATCAATTGCGCGAGACAACAGATTACCCGCACTCACGATGCTCGCAAGACACGTACCTGCTTCTACAGCGCTCAGCGCGGCCGCCCACCGAGCTCTGCCCGCAGCCTCGGCAGCCACTCGCCTTTCGACCGCTGCCCCGAGCAACCGCACTCAGAAGAGGACACTCGCAACCGTCCAGGATGCGGCACCCAAGAGGACATATGGCGGCCTGAAGGACCAGGACAGGATTTTCCAGAACTTGTACGGACACCATGGCGCGGACCTGAAGAGCGCCATGAAGTACGGCGATTGGTACAAGACCAAGGAGATCCTCCTCAAGGGTCACGATTGGGTACGCGTATACATGTTTCGATGTATACGGCCTGGACTGATGGAAATAGATCATTTCTGAGATCAAGGCTTCCGGCCTGCGAGGCCGAGGTGGTGCTGGTTTCCCCTCTGGTCTGAAATGGGTATGCAGCTCTATCAACACAGGCACGCGGAGCGCCACTGACACACACAGTCGTTTATGAACTTCAAGGATTGGGACAAGGACGACAAGCCTCGCTACCTCGTCGTGAACGCCGACGAGGGTGAGCCTGGAACCTGCAAGGACCGCGAAATCATGCGCAAGGACCCCCACAAGCTCATCGAGGGTTGCCTCGTTGCCGGCCGTGCCATGAACGCAACTGCAGCTTATATTTACATTCGAGGTGAATTCTATCACGAGGCAACTGTTCTTCAACGCGCCATTCAGGAGGCATACCAAGCTGGCCTCATTGGCAAGAACGCCTGCGGTTCCGGCTATGACTTCGACGTGTACATTCACCGCGGAATGGGTGCTTATGTCTGTGGTGAGGAGACGTCTCTCATCGAGTCGCTTGAGGGCAAGCCCGGTAAGCCTCGTCTCAAGCCCCCGTTCCCTGCTGCTGTTGGTCTCTTCGGATGCCCATCCACTGTTGCCAACGTCGAGACTATCGCCGTCGCGCCTACGATCTGCCGGAGAGGAGGTAGCTGGTTCGCTAGCTTCGGTCGTGAGCGCAACCAGGGTACCAAGCTGTTCGCTATCTCTGGTCACGTCAACCACCCTTGCACCGTTGAAGAGGAAATGTCCATTCCCCTCCGTGAGCTCATCGACAAGCACTGCGGAGGTGTCCGTGGCGGCTGGGACAACCTCAAAGCGGTCATCCCTGGTGGTTCCTCGACCCCTATTCTTCCCAAGCACATTTGTGACGATCAGCTCATGGACTTTGATGCCCTGAAGGACTCGCAGTCTGGATTTGGTACTGCCGCCGTCATCGTCATGGACAAGTCGACGGATGTGGTCCGCGCCATCACTCGTCTTGCCAAGTTCTACCACCACGAGTCTTGCGGCCAATGTACACCTTGCCGTGAGGGTTCAAAGTGGACACACCAGATCATGGACCGCTTCGCCAAGGGCCAGGCGCGCGAGCGCGAAATCGACATGCTCCAGGAACTGACCAAGCAGGTTGAGGGGCACACCATTTGTGCGCTTGGTGAGGCCTTTGCATGGCCCCTGCAGGGTCTCATCAGGCACTTTAGACCGGAGCTTGAGGCCAGGATAAATGACTACGGACTGAAGCACGGTGGCAAGGCACTGGCTGGAGGCTGGGCGCATGACGCCGTCAAGAAGGGACAACTAGTCTCGCCCGGACAGTAGGACTGGGAGTGTTTGCATTGAGCATGTTTTCTGTGGTTTAGATTCTTTTTTTTCTTTCGGCATGCTATTACTTGTAGAGCCGAACTGTAAATGTTTTCTTGGTGCAAATAAAGCAAGTTTGGAATTGACTCGCGAAAGATGTGCTCATTGGTTCTCATTGATACAGAATACGATTGCGATCAACGCCACGAACGCCTTGCAAGATTACGGTGTTGCAAAAAAAAAGATACCAAGCCATGCGTGAAGGGATCCATTCTCGTGGGTCGCTAAGTACCCATACAGATCTGAATAAACTCGTCTCTGCTAATGGCGTTGTCGTTATCCATGTCAAACTCCTCAATCATGGCCACGAGCTCATCGTGAGACAAAGCCTCGCCCAATTCCCTAGCCACCCTGGTGAGATCCTGCAGGGTAATTGTGCCCTTGCCGCCCTCGTCAAACAGTTCAAAGGCCCTTAGAATCTCGTCTCTCGGATCACGGCTCAGTATCCGCTGGGCCATGAGCGTCTGGAAAGCCTGGAAACTGAGTAGTTGGCGACCAGGCGTCGCATACTGCTGCTGCTGTTGTTGCTGGCGCGAGGGCTGCTTTGGGTTCTGGGTCGAAGGCGCAGGCGAGCCGTGTTGCTGCAAGATGGCGAGTATCTCTTGCTTGGGCAGGTCGAAGCCGAGGGCCTTCATGGCGACCTTGAGCTCGTGGTAGTCGATGTAGCCGTCCTTGTCGAGGTCAAACAGGTTGAAGGCCTCGCCGATTTCCTCTCGTTGCTCCTCGGTCAGCTCGGCGAGCGAGGCCGCGCCTGACGCTTCGATGCGCTGGGCGGCTTCGCGGGCGGTGCGCTCGCGCTCCAGGCGGTCGGCTTCCAGGCGCTGCGCGTTCTTGGGGTTCGGGGCGTAGGCCGGTGTGCTGCTGAAGCCGGGTTGCGCGGCGGGCTGCGGAGGCGGTGCGGTGCGCCCGAGGCCGTAGCGGGGGCCGGGGCCCAGCGGGTTGGACGATGTCGCCATGTGCGTTGTTGTGAGGGGATTGGAAGATGGGCGGTGCGCCGGTGGGGAGGCGTAGCTTTGGGGTGTTTATGGGTTGTGCAAGGCAGCGGTGGTGGTGGAGGTGGAGATGGTGGGTGCGCCGGCCGCTGTCAAGCCGACATATAAGGGCACGATAGGATGGTACAAGCAGGCTGGTGGAAGCAGGTCAGATTGGTCGAATTGACGCTAGGTTGGACTGCTCGAATGTGGTGAATGCGCTTCTTTGTTGGGTCAAGGTCGAGGCGGGGAATGCGGTTTGTCTCCAGGACGCGAGGCGCGTTTGGGCGTGTAAAGAAGCTTAGACGCAGCCTAGCGCGATTTTGCTTCTGGCGCAGGTGGGGAACCTTGGGCTCATGGCGTGGGTAGGGCTGAGGGCAAGCATCTTGTCTGTCTGCGCCATGGCATTGGCTTCTTGCAACCAGGATGGGATGGCTGTGGTTCACACGCTCCTCGAAGCGCAGGCCGAAGAGCCATTGCAACTGTCTGGCTGCGCACCCAGACCCTGGCTCAGCCGTGGCATGCGGGCATTGGCTCCGCAATCGCCGGCAGTGCATTGTATTTCGCGTCTTGTCTCTGCCAATGTAGACCGGCTGGGCTATCTCTGGCGGCTGGAGGGGGAGCAGCCATTGGTAAGCAAGGCGCGTGATGTTCTGAACTTTTATCCCATCACCCCACTGTACATATCTATGTATGTTACTGCATGTCTTATATATCTGTCCGTCACAAGAGGCTGGCGTCTGGATAGCCTCGGCATGGAAAACGAGTGACTTCTCTGAAGCTGAAGGCCGTTTCACAATGCGTGTCTGGACGTGAGCCAAGTCGCGAGGCATCCGCCAGACATCAGGCAGCCGTAGGTAGCGACAGGTAGCGATAGGTAGCCAAAAGGCATCTCAGCGCGCCATGTCCGCCGAGCAGCAGAAAGCAGCCCATGCGCCAATCGACGGCTGGCTTCGTCCTGGCTGCAGCGCCTAGGGCCGGGTGCACGCAGCGCTGGCGGGAAAAAGACGTGAAAAGCGTGCACGTGACGGCCATGTGAGGCTTAGCGCCATGCCGACGTGCCTTGCTCCTAAGTGCAACCTCACTTCTGCTTGTCCCACCAAACCCATCGCGCCCGTCGCTCTCTCTCTTCCATGACGGCCTATATCACTACTTAATCTGCTCCGCGTCTGAGCTCCTTCTCACTAATCTCGTTCCTTTCTTTCGACCCCGTCCGCCGCACACATTGCTGCGCTCGCTCCCGCAGCCTTTTCCTTGGCGCGTTTTCCGCGAAGCTCTCGCCAACAACTGCCTCTCGACGAGCTTCCCTGCCCCAAGACTCTGTCATCCACCCCGCGCCCACGCGACCCTCTTGCGCATTGCTAGACTTCTGAGACCCGACGCGCGCGCAACCCGCCGGACAAGCGCAAAATGTCCTTCGGTGGTGGTTTCGGGGGCTTTGGCTCCAACAACAACAACAACACCCAGTCCACTGGCTTCGGTGGATTCGGCTCAAATAACAATACTTCAGGTAAGCACAGCCTCTTATTTGTCATTCGTAGAAACGTTCGCGCGCGACTACTTCGATGCCCCTTGCGACATCGCCACGGCCTTCTCACAGAACCGTGTCTAACGTGCCTATCGCCTCAGGCTTCGGCTCCAACACGAACACTGGTTCAAGCATATTCGGCGCGAACAACAATACGGGCAGCACAATGTTCGGAAGCAACAATAATGCCAACTCGAGCTCTCCGTTCGGAGGCGGAGGTATGTGGAAAGTTTGCGCTCTGCCGTCGCGTCCATCCTTGGGCTCTCCGGGGGATACACGCTCCAATCCTTTCGCTGCCATTGGCTTCTCGATAGCGCGCATCTGAACGGATGGACAATCGCGATCCTCCTTTGCCTCGCGCGTGGATCGACCTACTGAAGAAAGACCCGGATCAGAAACTGACTCAATCCTCCAGGTGGCTTCGGCACTAATACCAACACCAACACGGCCTTTGGCTCGAAACCATTCGGCAGCGCAACGACAGGCGGTGGACTCTTCGGCGGTGGCAGCACTACCGGTACCAGCACCTTTGGAGGCTTCGGGTCAACCAACAACACCACCTCAGCTTTCGGAAGCAACAACACCAACACTGGAGGCGGCCTCTTTGGCCAGAACAAGACGACTGGCTTTGGCACGTCATCGACTGGCGGTAGCGGACTGTTTGGAGGCGGCAGCACCACTGGCGGCTTTGGAGCGACCAACACCACCGCGACAGGTGGATTTGGCTCCAATACTGGTAGTGCTTTCGGTGCAGGCGCTAACCCTCCCGCCAACAATGGTACCGCCAACACTCCTTTCCAGCCTTTCTCCGAGAAAGATGGAACGTCCGGCAATGCACAGTATCAGACCATCACGTTCCAGCAGCCATACCAAAACTACTCTCTCGAAGAGCTACGAGTAGCCGACTACAACCAGGGTCGACGATACGGTAACGGCAATGGTCAGGCTGGAGCATTCGGCCAGAGCACTGGATTCGGAGGCTTCGGCAGCAACACCAACACCACCACTGGCAGCACGGGTTTCGGTTCGACTAGCAACACCGGCGGCGGTTTGTTTGGCGGCGGTAATACCAACACTACGTCTGCATTTGGTTCAAACACAGGGTCGGCCTTTGGCTCAAACAACAACACTGCTGGTGGAGGTCTCTTTGGGCAAAACAAGCCTGCAACCGGTGGGCTGTTTGGCTCTACCAACAACACTTCGACTGGAACAACTAGTGGTCTCTTCGGAGGCGGCTCCACTACTAACACTGCTGGAGGCTTTGGATCTGGAGGTGGTTTCGGATCTTCGACGACTGGCGGAGGTCTGTTTGGCCAAAATAAGCCTGCAACTGGCGGCGGTCTGTTTGGTGGCGGCAGCACCACCAACACCACCTCGACTCCCTTTGGTGGCGGCTCCACAAACACCGGCAGTGCTTTCGGTCAATCGAACACTGGCGGCAGCGGACTGTTTGGCCAGTCCAACAACCAGGCCTCTACCACTTCGGCGTTTGGTGCCAACAACACTTCCACAAACACTGGTGGTGGATTGTTTGGCGGCGGCGCTACTGGTGGCGCATTCGGGCAGAACAACCAGGCTTCTACGTCAAACACGACTTCTGGTGGTCTTTTTGGTGGTGGTGGGTTCGGTCAGAACAACCAGCAAAACCAGCAAAAACCGGGCGGTCTTTTCGGTGGCGCAAGCACTGGCACCACAGGAGGCGGTCTCTTTGGTGGCCAGACAAACCAGAGTCAGCCTTCAAGCGGCGGCCTGTTTGGAAACTCTACTGCAAACAACAATAGCACTGGAGGTGGACTGTTCGGCCAAAAGCCTGCAACCGGCGGTACTTCTTTGTTCGGAGGCGGCAATGCCTCCACCACAGGCACGTCTGGAGGTTTGTTCGGAAATCTAGGTACACAGAACAACCAGCAAAACACTGGTGGTTCAAGTCTCTTTGGTGGTCAGAACAACCAACAAAAGCCTGGCGGTCTGTTTGGCGGCTCCACAACCAACACAAACACTGGAGGTGGCCTGTTTGGCGGTGGTCTCGGCCAGTCGAACAACAACCAACAGTCAACACTGGGAGGCTCCCTTTTCTCTAGCCAAAACCAACAACCGCAGCAACAACAGCAAAACGGCAACAGCTTGTTTGGTGCCTCTGGAAGTTCTCTGTTGAACACCTCGATGAACACCAACCCTTACGGAAACGACGCCTTGTTCGCTGGGCTGGGAACACCCAGTCAGAGCCCTGGTCCGCTTGCCACTCCGCTTTCTAGCAGCCAAAAGAACAAGAAGAATGCCATCTTGCCCCAGCATAAGCTCAACCCGGCTGCTTCCACTCGCCTTCTCACCCCGCAAGCCAAGAGGGCCGGCTATGGATTCAGCTACTCGTCCTATGGTGCCCCAGCTAGCGGCGCATCAAGCTCGACCACCACTTCAGGCTTGGGTGGAAGTCTTTTTGCCAATGGCGGCCTTTCCCGGTCACTGGGAAAGAGTATTTCCTCCAGCAGCCTGCGCAACAACTTCACTGCCGACACTAGCATTTTGTCTCCCGGTGCCTTTTCTACTACTGGACGTAACTTTGGAAACGGAGGCCTGAAGCGACTGAACATCAACCGCAACATCAACGCTGCCCGAACTCCACTGTTCGATGAACCTTCCCAGAAGCGCGTCAGTTTTGCTGCAGGTGAAGGTGTAAACGGCAACACAAACGGAGAGACTGCGTTGATTGTAAAACAAGACGAGGAAGAAGGCTCACCCAAGGCTGCTAGTCATGACGGAGGCAGCGACAGCTCTCGCCCAGAAATGCAGCAGGTCAACGGCACAGAGCTTGCCCGTGTCTCTGAAGACCACGCGCTTACGCCCAAGTCGTCATCGTCGGTCAACATCCAGCCTGGTCAGGACCCCAAGCCAGGCGAGTATTGGTGCAGCCCTTCCATGGACCAACTGAAGAAGATGAGCAAGCAGGAGCTCAAGAGCGTTCCCAACTTTATTGTAGGCCGCCAGCACATTGGCCAGATCAAGTTCAACCACGGCGAGCCTGTCGATCTGTCTGAAGTTGATCTCGACAAGCTGTTTGGCGACATTGTCCAGCTGAACGCGCGCAATGCCACTGTCTATGGAGAGACCTGCACTTGCCTACCCAAGCCACCACTTGGTACCGCTCTGAACAGGCCCTCTGAGATTGTTCTCGGCAACTCCTGGCCACGCAACAGGGCTGGCAAGAAGGACGTCAAGCACCTGGAGCGGCTGAAGCGAGTCGCCGGCACGACTTTTGTCAAGTACAACCAGGCCACTGGTGAATGGACTTTCACCGTTCCTCATTTCTCCTCTTACGGTCTGGATTACGACGATTACAGCGATGATGAGGATGATGACATGTCGAGTGAGCTCAGTGATGTTCCCGATACGCCAATGGATCAACAGCATCGCTCTAGCCAGATGACTAGCACACCACAAGACGACTCATCATTTGCTAGTCCCACGCAGTCCAGCCCCGATGACACCTTTGATTTCAAGAAGGGCATGCGCGGGCGCACCACTGTGCCAGGCGGGTTTGGAGATGATTCGATGTATGACGATGATGAAGAGATGCAAGGCACCCGAGGCCAGTCTTTTTTAGGGGGGCGCTCCGTGGGTTCGCTTGATGGACAGCAGGATGCTGACTATTCTGAAGAGAGCGAATCGGAATTGGCGCATGAACAGAGCATGGCGGATTCTGTTTCGAGCCCAATTCGCACCACGGAGCAAACCAACGCCAAAGAAGATGTTTCCAGGGGCTCCCTGATGCCCAAGTCCATTCTCAAGGCTGGCCAAATCCTCAAGCCATCCACAGGTACACCCTCGAAAGCGCAACCAATTTTCGACGACGACTGGGCCAATCAACTTCAACGCACGATTAGTCCTAAGAAGCAGGATCGACAGGCCCTTCGCGAAAGCCAGGGACATGCTTTGCGGGAACAGGAGCTCCAGCCTACCAAACTCTCACAGTCCTTTGGCGCCCGCCAGATGACTACTGCTCTGGATCTCATGGAGTCTCTTTTCGGAGAGACGGAAAAGCAACATTTCCCCAAGCGTGGTGGACACGGTATCGAGGTTTGACTTCCCCTCCCCTTTAGCGTTTTATTTTGATGCGGCGTGGTCTGTGGCAGGTTTCCTATGTGGCTTTCCTTCATAGATTGATGCCCGGACCTTACGTCCGCCCGTGTATGTAGTCATAAATGGCACAAGATTGCTGAAACTGTTTTCTCTAGTTACCCTATTCCAAGCGCCCAAAGACAGAGTCCGATCTCGACCAACTTACCGACACCGACAAGAACTTCCACAGCTGCAGCAAACCCCACTTTAGCGAAGCAAACATCTTGATTTACGGCAACAAAGGCCACGCACACCTCGAGGGCGGCGTCTTTCCTACTGCTCAAGAACCACTCATTGGTGCCACAAAGGACATCCGGTTTGCGAAGATGCCTACGTTTGACGATGTGAGTGTAGTGTGATAGTTGTGTCAATGAATGAATACTAATGACTGCAGTCTGCGCCTGAGACTCTGGCTCTCCAGAAAAAACACACCAGGATCTATACGCCAGATGGCATTCCGTCTGCCAAGCTGTTGACCGACCCAGCTCCTGTGGAATTCTCCAGCATGGCAAAAGCTGTTTCGCTCGATACTACCGCAGGCGTTCAAGAACAGCAGGCTTGGCAGTTGCTTTCGCTATTGTTCGACGACGCAGATCGAGTACCTGCAGGGATACCAGTAGAGCATATGAAGGTGTATCGAAAAGAGAAGCTTTCAGAGTTCTGGAAGTTGCTGGTCTGGGACGACGCACAAAAGCATGCCCAGCAAGCTGCAACCCCCGAGGAGCGTGCTCTTGCGCAGCTGAGTTGCAACAACGTCGCCGATGCATGCCATACTTTGCTGGACGGTCTTGATCTCCGACTGGCTACAATGGTTGCTCAGATTGGAGGTGATGAAACGATGCGGCAGAGCATGGCTGCTCAAATCGAAGAGTGGCGTCGTCTCGATACCCTTGCGGAAATGGAGGATGCACATCGCGCACTGTACGAGCTCCTTGCTGGTAACTGCACCCAGTCAGAGGGCAAGACCGGAGCAGGCAGTGAAAATCGTGCTGCTACCTTCAACATCTCCAGCCGGTTTGGACTCGATTGGCGACGGGCTTTCGGATTGCGTTTGTGGTATGGCACGCTAACTAATGAGCCCATTGAGATGGCCGTAGCACAATTTGCGGACGCCGTCAGAGATGGCAGGGAAGATGTCAAGCCAGTACCTTGGTTCGTAAAGGAAAAGACCGACATGGGCTGGAAAGACCCTGCTGCTGAGCACCGAGAAGATCTTCTTTGGGGCATCTTGAAACTCTACGCCTCCGCAAAGATGGATCTTGCTGCCAACATTGAGAATGTTCTTGCTCCTGAGAACGTTTCTGGCAACCCTTTCAATGCCCGGCTCTCGTTCCAGCTGTTCCAGCTCTTCAGGTCCCGACAGGAAGACGCCAGCGAGGCAGATGAGCGTAAGGTGGCCATGCCTACGGTCCGTGCAGATGGCGGCGACGGATTCGGTCGCTCGTTGCAATCATGGACTGCTCCAGGAGCCCGTGATGACGTCCAAGCAGCGGATCCGATTGTCGAGCTGAATGATAAGATCACGCTCACATATGCAGCCTCGCTACACACACCGGAGCATTGGACAACTGCCATCTGGGTTTACTCCCACTTGTCTTCTGCGCCGATGCGCGAGCATTACATACGCGCTCTGGTCAATCAGTTCTCTGGATCATTTACTTTGGAGGACGGCGACACCATTTATGCTCATCTTACAGCCGATCTTCACGTTCCTTCCACATGGCTCCATTCGGCTGCTGCTCTGCATGCAAAGTCGAGCGGCGATGCTCTTCGCGAAGCAACGCATCTCATCAAGGCCGACGAGTTGGAAGAGGCACACGAGGTGCTCTGCCGGAAGGTTGGGCCAGAGGCCATCATCTCGCGCGACTACGATGCATTGCGTGAACTCATGGCTGGATTCGTCGCAGAGTCCAACGTTCCTCTTCCGCGGGAGCCAGTTCAAGGCTGGGCTCAGGGTGGCCAGATATACTTTGACTACCTTGAGCTGATTGACTTGACCGGCCAACGCTCAGCATACCGCGTGGACGAGGAGCTCGAAAGCCGAGTCGAAGAGCTGCTCACCAAGCTTCAGCGCGCGCTCGAGATTGCCGGACGCGACCGACTAGGCGCATGTGGCCTGGAAGAGCGCGTCGCTCTCATGGACATTGCCGGCACCGTCGCCAACCTCGTCACAAAGACACAACAGGTACGTCCTTTTGCACTCGTTCCAAACCAACCCACACAGACATGAAGCTAACAAGTGCCTACAGCGTACAAATCGCAACTCGATTCTCAAGCTCCCCCTCACCGAGGATCTCTGGCTCAAACACTCCATCGACCTCAGCACAAGTTACTACCGCAATCTCTTGCTCACCAGCCGGTAGCATCCTCCTCTCCCCTCTCTTTCTATACGTTGTGCACATGATTCGCGCTCCGGCTCGAGTATCATGACTAATTCACTACTACTATTACGCACAAATGTCGGAAATGCGGAGTTCAATGAAACAACGGAGTGAGTATATGCGGGACGGGATGGCATGGTCTGTGTAGTGAGCTCACTGCCATATGTACATGGTACATGGTACATGGTACATGAAGCTGTTTTTTTTACCCCAGGTTAAATCATGTTCTGGGAAAATGCATTGCGCGTAGGGATATGATAGCCTTCTTCTTTTCTCTTCTTCTTCTTTTACTTTTACTTTATTTTTGAGTCTTTTTTTTTTAAACATTTCTCTCTTCGTTCTTTCTCGGGCATAATGAGATAAGATTGGCTTTCTCTCTCTCTCTCATCCATGGGTATGCGCTGCCATGACATGACATGCTTGTTCTCGCATGGATTCGTGTCTTTGTCTTTACCTATGCACTGATGCACTGATGCACTGATTGATTGACGGATGGATGGATGGATGGATGGATGGATGGATGGATATGCAAACAAAGCGCAGAGCATGTGTCTCTATTGAAACAAAGGGACTGACGAAGTGAGTGTGGTGTGAAGCAAGCAAGCAAGTAAGCAACGGAACGGAACGGGAACAAGGTCCCCCAAAAAACAAAAACAAAAAACAAGAAAAGCGTGTCAAATTTGAAAACCCCTCCCCCCCCCCCAAAACATTTGATTTTTTTTCTTTTCTTCTTACTAAATTCACTCCGTGTGTGCGTATATGTATATTATAGATTCTGGTTACTTTCAAGGTAGCTTAGCTTAGCTTAGCTTACGTAGTTAGTTATTGAGTTCTTTTTTGTTTTTTTGTTTTTTTTAAAAAAAAAAAAAAAAAAAAAAAAAAAACGTCATATCATGTGTCATGTGTTTGTACTCAGTTGTTAGTTATTCGTTGGAGTGCTATATGAAAACACGGCATTGAACTGATGCCACTGAGAATGGAGAGAGAGAGGTGGTTGTCAAGATTGATATATATGTGCAACAATTTTACATGCATGCGTGTATGTATATACAAGAAAAAGAAGGAAGAAAAGATCATCTCTGCGTTGCTCAAGACTGCGAAGTTGTAACTTGGCCTGGGGGTGCGGGTCCCGAGGTACCGTCTCTTGAGGGACCTTGGGGGCGTCCTCCTCTGGCGCCACCACGACCACCGCGGCCCATTCTTCCTCGACCGCCGCCTCGGCTGGCGCTGTCACGGCCGGTTGAGCGGCTGCCGCCTTCTTGTTTTCCTGGAGTCTCCTGTTTTGTAGGTGCCTTGGACTGTGCATTGTCGTTGGCAGGACCAGCCTTTACATCCTTGTTGTCCTGGCCCTTGGCCTTGGATCCCTTTGCATTCCTTCCTTTGCCTCGACCCTGGCCAGCAGCCTTGGCATATCGGTCTATCAGTCGCTTCGTCTGCTCTTCTTCTTCAATCACCCGCCTACTCTCCTGGTCCCACCACTGCTGGAATTCCTGCTCCTGCTGAATCTCTTGGAGACTGCGCTTGGCGGCTGCGTCACGTATCGACGCCTTTTCTGCCTCTTGCATCGACAAGATTTCCATCATGCTGAGGTGTTGACTAGGTGAAGTCGGAGAATGCTGGGGCAAGGGGATATGGCGCACAGATCGAGGCGTCGGAATTGGATCCGTTGAAACCGACATTCCTCGCTCAGAAGCGGCAGGACGGGCCTTCAAAGGGGAGGTAGCACCCTTGTCCTTTTGCTTTGATTCTACGCCTTTGTTCGCGACAGTCTGGCGCATGGTGAGTTGAGGCGTACTAGAGTTACGTGAAGGCTGCGGCGAAGGCTTTGGCGAAGGTTTGGATGGCGAATGTGTCGTTGGAGGCATAGCAGGGCTATTGCTTGGTTTTCGGTGTGCAGTCGCCTGCCATGGCGAAACGGCCGGTGGGACGGGCTGTGGCTTCTCAATCGGTGTGCCGAGTTGGTGGGCTTGTTGGAGACGCTTGCGTTCTTTCTGGGAAAGTTTGGTGTGCACAGCCTTTGCAACCTGTTCTTTCTCTCCCCGAGCGAAGCCGAGCGATAGGTTAGAAGGCGTGGATGACGAGTCTTGGGCCATGATATCCTTGAGGTCAAGCTTGGGGCCTGCCAGTGGTGCAGAGCCCCAAGGCTGGTTTGATGGCCTTGCCTCCTTGATGGCTGGGGGAGGCAATGGACTGACAGATTTGAGGGGTATGTCTGCGTCTGTCACGAATGTCTGTAGAGATGGACGAGGCTTCTGAGCCGAGCCCCAGGGCGTTTCAACGGAACCAATGGGCGTCTCATCAGGTCCAGTGAAGCGTGGGGGCTTGATTTTCTTGGGTACGTCAAGGTCTTCTTCCTCCCCATCTGACATTTCAAACATCAGGTCTTGGGCAGAAGATTTGCCTTTGAGTGCCGGAGCAAGGGCAGGACTCTTTACTTCCTTGGACACGCGCCTCCGGTTGCGTTGGCGGACGGGTGAGGCTGCTAGTTCTTCCAGACTCTGCGCTCTGAAAGAGCTCGACAAGTTGTCGCTTTCTGCATACTTGTTCGACAAGACTATAGCGTCAATCTTGGCCCGCTTTCCTCGCTCAATCTTTTCAGCAAGCTCAGGGTAACGATCGAACAAAAGTGTCTCAGCTCGCCCACTGCGTGCAAATGGCAGGTAGGCAAGCTGGTTGTCGTGGGCGACCTGGTTGAGTTCTAGGAGCAAGTCTTCGTCCAGTTCATCCAGGGAGCCGTTTTGCATCACCGCTTCTAAGCTGAGACACACATATTCTAGAGCCGCATCTTTGAACTCTGCTACCGAGCTCGGTGCGACTGCCGTAAGAAGCGAACAAACGTTGCGCGCATTGACTGCGACTTGGTCAGCGGCCATGTACAATAACAACCAGGTGTCGACATACCATAACGACCAATCAGTCTCTGGCAAATCTGCGAGAGACGGTCCAACATTAACTCATTAGCAACAGACATGACATCCATGACGTGATCCAAAAGTTCGTCAAGTGCTAGCAAGTCGTTCAAATCCTCGCTCGTTACGTTGGCAAAAATCTCTTCCCCGGCGTCGGTATACAAGTGGCGCACTATGAGCTCGAAGAGACGTGTTTCGACGTGCGTAAGGTCAATATGAATAAGCGGCGAATCTTCAGTCTGTCTTCCCGCAAGCCACTGGCCCCCAGCGCGTCCTCTGAACAGGCCCTCGAAGAAGGGACAGCGCTGACAGATGACGTCCGAGTGCAACAACATTTCGCCATCTGCAAGATCGACAATAACGTTGCCACTTTCGAAGAAGGACTGATCTTTGATGGCCAACTCCATATCCATATGTAGAGACTTTCGCGGGTTGACCATCTGTCGTACGGCCGGTTCAAGCTGCCGCATGTCGAGGCGCAGAGCGACTTTCATCAACTCAGTCCGCACAGCGCGATATCTGTGCGCCATTGTAGGGTAGTGCCGAGTAACGTTCCAAAAATCAACCAACGAATCAGTATAGGCATAGAGGACCAAATTAAAAATAGTGAGAAAGTCGAGTCCTTGGAATATGAGAACAACTTTTCGACCTTCGTGCTTTATAGTTAGAAATTCTGAAATGACATGTTCGGAATCTTTCACCCGAAAGTCAAGCATAGCATCCCGCAGAGTACGGCTGCGCCCAGCCAAGATAAACTCATGGACGGGAATGCGGACATCGGATAGGGTGGATCCAACTTCCATGTCGTAGGACCGGTCCGATGATGCCAACGAGCGTTGCACAATTTCAGTCACGTCGGTCTCTAAATCTTTCGACTTGAGAACCCGCTTGCGAAGACCTTGTGCATCTGTGGCTCTAGTCCAAAACCTCGGTGTAGGTTCCTCGTCATCCGAAGTCTCTTCGTAATTGGTCAGCTCGTGGAAAGCTAGCAAAGGAGCAAAATGCTCCCATAGACCAGCCTCGTCAACGCCGATCTGCGTGCGAGTAACATCGCAATCCTTCCGTATGGCGGCATAGGCTCCAAAGGCAGAGGCACGGACTGCAACAACACGGGTCAGTCCCGAGACCCGCTGGAATTTGTAATCCTTTGGTTTGTTCTCTACAGCAGCAGTGACGGCAGCATTTTTGATGGTTGCCCTCTTCGTGCGTCTCCAAACCGTGCCAGCTTCAGTCGTCAGTATGATGGATCCATCCTGGTCGACATCGACATCCCTTGCTGCCATGTGACTCTTCTTAGACGACCAGATGCGGAAAGGGGCAGAGAGTGCTCCTCGAATTTGCTTGGGGTTTGTAGTGGAGGTGCTAGTGTCTTGCGAGCCCTCTGAGCGTCGGCTGACAGCGACGGTAAACACTTCGCCAGAAGTCGACAGCGCACATATAGTGTCGCCACCAGACGTGATCTTGTTGATTCTGTTTGGTGCAGTGTCGTACTTTGTTGTCAACCAGCTCTCTTTGAGGAAGCTGCTTGTGAATCCATCCAAAGGAAAGCTGATCTTGGCATAGCCATAATTTGCAAAGACCCAAACTTCGCGACTTTCCAGGAGACATATGGTAGCGCCGTCAATGGCTGAGACAGAGTGGATGGGACTGGAGAAGAGTGCAGCGGCAATCTTTCGAGGAATGACCTGCATTTCTAGCGACCGGGCGTCAGAGTCGACGATGCCTAGCTGGCCTTCGTTCTTGCCAAATGTATACAATGAAGTTGCTGTATGAACGACCGAGTGTATGCGCGACGCAGCGATGCCTGTGACGATCTCGCGCTTGAGCGGGCCAAAAATCTGCCGAGGTATGGTCGAGATGGGGTCGTCATCTTTCATGGTGGGCTTGGGCAGCGTATACCCGAGTTGCCCGTAGGCATTGTTTCCCCATGAAAAGACCTCGCCCTCTTCTGTAATAGCCAGTGTGTGGTTCTGCCCCAGAGCGACCGCAGCAACGTGCTTTTGCCCCAACCCGCCGGTTTCGATACATGTAAACTGATATCTCGTAGTTTCGTTGCCCGTACCCAGTCGACCGCCAGGTCCATGGCCACACACGTACAAATTCGAGACTGGATCAGTTGTCACGACGGCCGTGTGCAGTTTGGACATTCGAACGTCTTGGATGATTAATGGAGTGTTGCGAATGTGGGTCGGTAAATCAACAGTACTGCGCGGTTGGGAGCCCGAGTCGTGCATGGGCATGCCCATGGCCGCAAAATGCTGGTTTTGGCGATCGCAATGCTCCTTGTAGAAGCGCTGCAGCAGGTGGTCTGGCCTACGCAGAGTGACGCGCTCGGGAAATTGACGGTCATCCTCGTCTCCAAAGCCAAGAGTCACATTCTTGTTACTGCCAAAGGTATAGACTTCGTCGCCATCAAGCGAAACAGGCGGGGCAATCAGCCTCTTGCGCACCTCGCCGTCGACGTCGCCAGAATCTCCATGGGCAATGTCATCGTCTGAATCCGAATCTACCAGCGGCGACTCTTCTGGGCGCAAAGTCCGATCCTTGATGGTCATGGAGAAGAGATCCAGAGGGCCATACCCTTCCTTGTCTTTGATCTTGACGAGGCCCCGCGCATGCTGGTGACTGAATCCACTAGAGCCCTGGCCTAGGATGTCCTGGGCGTCGCGGTTCAGGATAAGACGTGCAATGGCGATGTTGCCAAAATAGAAAGCTCTGTGTAGGGCCGTCCAGCCATTTTCAGCGTCTTGAATGTACAGGTCCGTCCAGGGGTGCTCGAGCAGGGCTTGTGCAAAGTCGACGGCGCTCTCAGCCACGGACGAGGCGGCATGGTGCAGTATCGTCATTCCTGCCGCATCACGACTGTTGATGTCAAACCGGGTCAAGTTGGCGGGTGCAGCGGTGCCCATTTTGCGAGCCTTTGCGCTGGCAATGGGCGAAGCATTGTAGCTACCCGGGCTACCATTTACTGGTGCGGGAGAGGTGCCTGGCTGCCAGGTGGTGAAGCTCTTGTGTGTAGCGGGGCGGTTTGTATGCGCGGGGGTTGCAAGAACATGCCGAAAGTTGTCGACATCATCTTGGAGGTAGTATTTCCAGAGGTAGCCGCTCATGTGCCGATAGACGAAGAGAGCAATCCGAAGCTTTTACGAGTAGCACCTGGCCTCAACCTCGCCGGGTCGAAGCGTGTTTAAAGGTGCTTGCTGTAAAGCTGAGGATGACTCCAAGGAAAGGGGTGCCGGGCGCAACGGGCGGGCAGACTGCGTGACCAAGTGTACGTATGCGGGTGTTTTCGGGGGGGGGGGGTGGATGCGTAGTCGGGATGTAGACGGGGTTGACGGGGTTGACGGGGGCGCGCAGAGGGAAGGGGCAACGGTGGCAATTGGGCGCAGGGAGACTGGTGATGTCTGGCGGGCTGGGTGGACGGTGGGTGGGTGGTGGTGAAGAGCAGCAAAAGGGAGAGCTGAGGCGTGGCGGGTGGGCGAGCTGGAGACGAAGACGGAGCGCGTGGCGGGTGGCGGGGTGCGAATTGGTTGTGGGAGGTGCAGTGACTACGGTGCGAGGGAGGGTTATCGATGACGAAACTATCACTGCCGAGGCGATGGAGGGGGTCGTCGCGGGCGGGGCCGGATGGATGAGTCAGAGTGAGGCAGAGTGAGGGCGAGTGAGTGCAAGCTTGGGGCGAGGATGCGAGCAAGGGAGTCGAGTTAGTTATAGCAGCAGGCGGCGAGGGAGCTTGCAAAGGGCATTGCGGGCGCCGTGGTGGTTGCGGCACGCCCACGGAGGTTGTGGCGAGCTGGCCAATGGGAGGCGGCCTCTCCTCCACAAGCCGCACTCGCACGCCGACATTGATGGGACATGGCGGGAATGGACAGGAATGGGCAGACGCGGCGAGGGGCATTCGGGTCCGCAGACGCTCGCGTACATGTTGACGAGGCTGGAGAAGCGCAGCTCGTGCGTGGACGTATGGGGGCCATGAGCGAGTACAGCTGGGTCTGTGTCTATATACCTAGTGTGCATAGTGTGCACAGCGAGGCGGTCAAGTACTAGCTGGGAACAAAGGGCGAGGACAGGGGAGCTAGAAGCGATGGCAGCGTGAACCTGTGCAGGGCCGGGCAGCAGTGGCAGCAGGGTCTCGCGGGGCCAAAAGATGCATACATAGATGCATACAAAGATAGATACTACATGAGCAGTACTGCATGTGCTGGAAAAGGACGGCCCATGGTTCCTTGCATGCACACGAGCCTGCTGGGTGCACCGCCAAGCAGCGTCACGACAGCGACACGGCAGCGGCGTCGCACCGGCAACGGGCGTGGAGACGGCGGCGACGCGCTCTGCTTGATTATGTCAGTGGGCAGGGTTGCTTGTTGAGGCTGAGGCTGAGGCCGACGCCGACGCCGACGCAGAGGTATGACGGCACATGGCGTGCTGCCGTGCGAGTGCGAGTGCGAGCAGCATCATCAGGGCAGCAGATGACGCAGCGACAGGCCATGTGCGGGTGTTGACGAAAGCCATGATGCATGCTGCTAGATAACGAATAGCTGCACAGTCGGCCGCCGATAGGCCACGATCGGCTGCATCCCGATTTGGCCATGGTCGTGGTCGTGATCATGGTGGTGGTGGTGGTGCATCATCACCCATCCTCGATGCACCACCCACACTGCTGCACCCACTCTAAGCACTGCACATGTACAGACTGCCTGCTCTACCCCAGACTGGCGCCAGCACAGAAACAAAAAGAAAAAAACACGCGCGATTCCTGTGCTGGCGGGCGGCTGGCTGCATGGTATGTATGGCCCTCGCGCGACCTGCTAATAGTTGCTGCTGCTGCTGCATCGGCTATCTGGCCCACCTCATGTCCCCGGCATGCCTGCACCCACCCACACCCGCACCCACGCCTGTCTGGAGCTTACCCTAGCTCTCCATAGCTCTCTTCCCGCTGCCCATGTGCATCGACTATGTAATAGTAGCTGCTATCTATCTCTCCTCGTGCTCGTCATTGCTCCCTCCGCCGCGTGACTGACCGGCCGCCGACTGCTCTGGCGGACTGACTGCACTGACTGACCTGACTGACCACACCACCAGCCTGACTCATTCCCTCACCACCTCGCTCTCTTTCTCCTCGGCCTGGCTACACAGTACACTCGCCGCGCCTCGCCTCGCCTCATCCCCCCGTCGCCGTCGCCCGCCGCCGTCGCCATCCTCATCAGCCAGCTGCCTGCCACGCACACTGCGCGGCTGGATCCACTTGTGCCTGGTTGGGGAGCCTGCGCCAAACCCTGTCTGTCGCCTGTCGCCTGTCTGCACATCGCGACGCTGCTCGCCAGGCCTCGCCTTAACTCCGCATCTTCTTCGCCAGAGGCCGCCTCCCAACATCCCCCCCCCCTCAACCCCCTCGACCGCGCACCATGGCTGCTGCCTGAGTCTGCCTTGTCGCCCGCCTCCACACGCCCATCCCCCGCGTGCTCCAGTCTCCTGAGAGCCTGTCCCGACCCGCCGCCAGCCTGACTCCGCCTGCGCTCGTGATGGCTACGCGCATCCATCCTCGCCTGTTTCCGCCGCAACGATAACCGTCCTACCCTGCCTTCACACGCTGCCGCCAGCCTCGCCCTCGCTCCTCCTTCTCTCTCTTCCCTCTCACTCCCATATTTCCACACGCATACACACACACACACACATACACGCCCATCTGCACCGGCACGAGGCCGCCGCCGCCGCCGCCATGCATCCCTACGTGCGCCCGCCGCACAGGACAGCCTCGCCCGCCAACAGCCTCCAGACCAACCCCACGCGAACCAACAACCAGCGGCACAATACCCACGATATGCCCCCCTACTCGACAACCCCGCCCTACATCGACCGCGCCGCCGACGAGTCCGAGGGCGAGATGATGTCGCGAGGCGAGCAGCCCGCCCACTCGGACCAGAAGCACTACCACAAGGTCAACCAGGTCATCCAGGTACCCACCCCCACCTCAACAGCACCCTGGGTACATGCTGACACGCCCAGAACTTCTTCACAAAGGCCGCCCTCGCCGTCATATCCTCCCGCGTCGTGCTGCCCCCGGGATACAACAAGGACGGCAAGCTGAAGCAGAACAAATGGGTACGTCGTGCCCGAGCCCCAACACCACCACCACCCAGCCCATGTACTAACATGTCCGCCTCCAGTTCAACGTCGTCCTGCCCGACAGCGACGTGCTCCAACGACAGCTTGGCGACTGGAAAGTCATGGACGCCATGGCCGGCCAGCATCCATCCCTCTGCATCGACATCTACCTCGACATACAAGCCCTCAGCAATACTCAGTCGCTTGCCATTCAGGACGAAGATGGGAAGAAGTGGGATGTCGCTGCCGCCCTCAACTCGGCCGATGCTGCTTCGGGACTGCCGAGTCGTGCTGCGAAGCCCACCCAGGTAGTGCTGGAGCGCTGGAGAGTGCATGTAGGAGACAAGAGCTCGGTCCAGCCCTCAGAACTCAACGATCCGCTTCCCAATGTCTATAAAAAGGCCGTTGTCACATTCCGCTCGCTCTTTGCATCCCTCCGCTTCATGCCAGCATTTAGGTACAACAAGCTCCTTGCCAAGCAGCCTGCTACTGCTCCCTCACTGAAGCTCAACTATCGCATTTCCAATGGAGACTTCAAGAGCCCTCATGTCGACACCCTGCGTCTGCCGCTCTACCCTGGCCAAAACCCGGATGAGATTACAGAGGTACAGAACATCGACCCCACCAACTCGCCCGTCGGTCCCTTGTGCGTGACGGTGGAATATCGCGCCAACTGCGAATTTACCGTGGAAAACTCCGAGTCGCTGCTGAGCTCTCAGTTTATGGGCTTGGACGATACCTACTTTGAGCAAAAGGGCCGCCAGATGCCTGGCTCGCTTCCCGTGGACAAGATGAATGCCCAAGAAAGCCCAGAGGTCGGGCAAGCCTACGGCAGTCTCTCGACATTTCACCAAGTCGGCCCACCCACCGGCACCAGCCCCATCTCAGCCCTCCGCGCCGCGCGAGATATGCCCTCGTCGTCACCAACAGAGTCGCCTCCGCAAAAACTGCCACCAAATCACCGCGTTGCCCAAGGCTCAAAATCCTCTCTACGCTCTACCGCCACAGACACGCCTCTGCACCAGCGACGAACCTCGGTTTCATTCCAGCCATTCAAAGCAGGTTCGCTCTCGTCTTCGCCTGCACTCGGAAGCGCACTCCCTGCCTCTCCAACCAGCTCGTTGGGAAGGCCAGGTAGCGCACTGAGTCGAAATGTTACCCCTAGCCCGCTTCATCAACCACGCAACCGCACCTCCCTCAACGCTCTACCACAAGCGGCCCTCCGAGCACCCTCATTACCCAATGACACTGTCGTTACTTCGTCTGCGTCCAGCTCACCCAAACCCGCACCGATAAGCCGCTATAGCAGCAGTTTTGGTCACCGGAGGAGCAAGTTCTCCACCGGAGGGGGCAGCAAAATGGAAGACGACAATCTCAGCAGCGGAAAGGCCAGTCTATCATCTTCGGTACAACGCGGCTCCGATACGCTGAATGAGGGCGCTGGCGGCAGCTCGGGAGAGGTCAAGACGGACGACGAGAACATCTCCGACTTTCTCAAACTTCTCGAGTCGAAAAAGGACTTGAAGAGCTTCACGCGCAGCGACAATGCCGCCAAGACAGCCACGATGCACAAGACGACGGCCCAATTATCAAAGTACCAGCGGATGAGAGAGTCGCACACAGGGCTTGCAGAGTCGGTGTCTTCGTCAACTATGCTCCACCGCTCATCATCGTCTTCAAGCCGCCATCTATCCAGCGTGCCTGCAATGATTGCCGGTACCTCTGTATCAACAGCGTCCTCGCCTGGCAAGCCCATCTCTCCACACACCCCACACACGCCAGCCATCCCATCTCGCCTCAGTGCAAACAGCATTATTGAATACGATCAGCCCACGCGGAGTCGGAGTCGTCCTGGTCGAAGGACACGTGACCACGATCCAATCAATGTCGAGGAGCAGAGCGAGAGCGAAGACCAAAACGGCAACGGTATTGCCATTCCCACCTCGCCACGCCCCTGGCATTATACGCGCAGGTCTAGCTCTGTAGCTCAACAAGGCCGCACCTTGCCTGATGATGAACCTGACGTGTTTGGTGTGCGCTCGGCCAGTCTTCCATCGGAAGAAGTCGACCGGGCCAACGACCTCCATCGCCTCACCAGCGCTGGTCTCACATCTAGCGGGTTGTTTGCCCAAACAGAGATGTTGGCCAACAATCGCAACAACCAAAATGCGGAGCCGGATTTTCGCGAGGACTTGCCTCGGCCAGCGTCTACATCCAATATTGCTGCAAAGCGTGATGACGCGGCAGGGCCACGAGAGCGAGGTTTCTTTTCACACAGCTCTTCCACCAGTCTGAGCACGGGTGGAACCAGCTCAACCGAGCGTCAGACTCGCTACAACTTTAATAGTCGCGCCGCGACACACCTGGACGACGATGAGCCCTTGCTCTTCCAGATGAGCGAGATTGGCGCCGGTGGATCCCGACGCAGTCTCGAGGAAGCAAGAGGCAGAGTCAGCAGCACCACAGCAGGCAGCGCAGGCAAGCGTGCCTCTTATTTTCGCTAAAAAAATCTAACAAAACAAAAACAAAGCAAAACCACATCCAACAATGACAACAAAGAAGCCAAAATGCTCGACGCAGATGCGCCCACCCCCACGTTTAACTTTTTTTCTTTTCTTATTTCGACACTTTCTTGACTATATTACTATGACATGTTGCTTGTTATTTTCGGCGTTGGTTGGCCCCCTGGAGTTGCCATGTCATTTACGCCATGTTGCTGCTTGTTTGTTTGTTTGTTTGCTTGTTCTTTTTTTTTTTCAAAGTCCTGGAGCGCAATCACATTTGCTTGTCCACGTACCTTGTAAAGTGTTTTTTTTTCTTCCTCTCTTCTCTCTCTCACTTTCTCAATTTCTCTTCCATCCTTTTTCTCTTCTTCTTCTTCTTCTTCTTTTTCTTCTTCTTCTTCTTCTTCCTCCTCCCCAGACTGAGTAACATTACATGGTGCTAGTTTTTTTTGTTTTCGCTTTCGCGTTGTAGTGGTGCTGGTGCCCTGGATAGGGAACACTACTACCACCACCACCATCTTATCAGCGTGTTCTTTTTTTTTCTTTTCTATTTTCATTGTGCTAATTTGCGCATAGTTGGGAAGAGAATCACCGCTGAGTTTGTTCGTTCTCTTAAATATATGGGATAGCGAGGAGGTGGGTTGAAGGATCTGATTCTCCTCCTTCTCCTTCTTTTTTCTTCCTTTTTTCTCTTTTTTTTTCCGGCGATTCCTCTGCTTCTCTGTAGACCACAAATAGGCTTTGATGCACGGGCGTGTCTTTGTGTGTGCGAGGCGGGGGGGAGAATGGAGTTTGGGCGGATCCCGGGGTTTTTTTTATTGGGTATTTGGGGACATGAGCAGAAATAGGTTATGCTATTAAGCTATTTTAGCTGGCTGAGACACCGAGCTTCCCAAATTAGGTTGTTTTTTATTGCCGCATAATGAATGAACATGTCGTTACTCCACTCATGTTACTCGTCTATGGATATGATACTGTATGCTGTTGTGTGTGTGTGTGTTTTTCTTCTTCTTTTGGTGAGGATGCGAGAGAGATGAAATGATGATGCATACATACTAGTACAATTCTCACCTGCCCCCTGCCCTCCCCTTACTTGCAAGAGGCTCTACGCTGTCTTGCTGCTGATAGGCTTGACGCCCTTGTGTATAGCCGCAATGCCGTTCGTCAAGTCCTCGTAGCCCTTGCCCGGCACCAGGAAGCCCGCATCGCGAATCATACCGCTGAACTCTTCCTGGCTGGGGAACCGTGCAATGCTCTCCACCAGATACTGATAGCTATCTCTATCCCCCGCGACCAGCTGGCCAATAAGCGGGATCGCACCGAAGCTCCACCGCTGGTACACGGCATCAAACAGCGGATTCTGGACTTTGCTAAACTCCAGACAGGCAAAGACGCCGCCGGGCTTCAGCACGCGGAATGCCTCGCGCAGCGCCACATCCTTGTGTGTGAAATTGCGGATCCCAAATGCGACCGTGTACAGATCGACGCTGTTGCTCGGAATCATATCCAGTTTCTCGGCGTTGGCCTCGAGGAAGTCGAGGCGCGGCGAGCGTGCATACGGCGTTTGCAGCGACCGCTTTTTGCCCTCGGCTAGCATGTCCGGGTTGATGTCTGCGACGGTGACGCGGGTAAGGGCGTCGTGGTTCACGTGCGAGGCGTGGTCCAGCATGCGGAAGGCGATGTCGCCGGTGCCGCCGGCGATGTCGAGGATATTCATACCGCCGGCGTTGTCGTTATTGTGCGAACCCGCAGATGCAAGCGGGTTCCGCCCCGGATTCAGGTTCCGCACAAAATGGTCTTTCCAGAGCCGGTGGATGCCCAGCGACATGAAATCGTTCATTGAGTCGTACGACGAGGCGACTGACGAGAAAACGGCGCCGACTATGTGGCTGGTTGGCATTGTAGTTCGTGCGGGAGAGAGGAAGATGTCTCGACGTACCTCGTTGTTCCTTGAGCGCCTCTGCAATCGTTTCAAAGCCAAAGTGCGTTGTGGACGGTGCATCTTGCGGTGATTTTGGTGGCGGCGGCGGTGGTGGCGCCGCCCGCTGTTGTTGTGCGTGGCGGACGGAGCACGAGAAACAGCGGTAGGGCTCTCTTTTCACGCTGCGCGTGCTCTGCGCGAGCAATTGGCGCCCAATTCCGTGTCGCGAGGCCTGCATGCTGGGCAATTAGAGACTGGGGGAGGGGAGTGGAATAGCAAGGTTGGAACGAACAGAAAGCGCCTGGCTTGGCGGGCTCACACTTTCTCGATGCGCCATGACAGCGCGCGCATGGCGGGGCGCGCAGCGCTATTCTGACCAAGGACTAGCGCCCGCTGCGATTGATGGTCCCGCCAGGGCCAAGTGCGTGCCGCGGCAACGCTTCTCGTCCCACTTACGCCGACGCTTGCCGCCCGGACGTACCCCAGACGACTTGATATACGGACGTCGCTCCCCCGCCCGCGACCCGAAACGATGTAAGAGACGCGACTCAAACACCATGTCTTTCCGCTACACCGCGCGCAGACTGCAGTTGCAGAGGCTGCTGAGCAGCCCGCCGCCGCGCCTCAATGCCGCCAACAGAGCAGCCAGCGCGGCGACGCCGGCTCGTCGGGGCGTGGCTTCTACGCCTACGGCTGAGCGGTAAGTAATCATGCTTCCTTTCTGTTTGATATCACAATGCAAGATTGGGTGCGCTGACAACGACCAAAATGGCCAGAGTACTGTTTCCCGGCGCGCTCAACAGCGAGTTCACCAATACCATGGAGTTTATGCATCCGTCTCGCGCAAAGGCCATCTCGACGTACCGCGTCATGGACCAGTATGGAGAGATCATTGACAAGGAGATTGGTGTCGATACGACGGATGAAGAGGCGTTGGAGCTGTATAAGAATATGGTTACGCGTTAGTGGGACTTGGGCTTCTTCTGTTTCTTGGTGTGCCGGCTGGCTAACAAGTAGGCTGACAGTGACCATAATGGATCTTCTCATGTTTGAGGCACAGCGGCAGGGACGGTTGTCATTTTACATGGTAATTCTTCTTCTTTTCTCAGGCATTTGGTGTGGCCGAGAGAACATGAAAGGCTGATTGCGCGCTCAAGGTCTCCGCGGGCGAAGAAGGCATCGCGATTGGATCGGCCAGCGCCTTGTCTCCTGCCGACGTTATTTTCTGTCAGTACCGCGAGTCTGGTGTTTATCTCCAACGCGGCTTCACGCTGTCGTCGTTTATGAACCAGCTCTTCGCCAATGCCAAAGACAATGGTCTGGGCCGAAACATGCCTGTGCATTACGGCAGCAAAGAGCTCAACATCCACACGATTAGCTCCACGCTTGCGACTCAGATCCCGCATGCAGCTGGCGCGGCATACGCCTTGAAGATGCAAAACATACAAAACCCCGATGCTGAGCCCCGGGTTGCAGTGTGCTACTTTGGCGAGGGCGCCGCCAGCGAAGGCGATTTCCACGCTGCCCTCAACATTGCTGCAACCCGTCAGGTCCCTTGTATCTTCATCTGCCGTAACAATGGCTACGCTATTTCCACGCCGACTTCAGACCAATACCGCGGTGACGGCATCGCATCGCGCGGTGCGGGCTATGGCATTGCTACTCTCCGTGTAGACGGCAACGACATCTTTGCCGTGCGTCGCGCCACAGCTGAAGCCCGCCGCCTAGCCCTCCAAGACGGCGGCCAGCCCGTCCTGATCGAAATGATGGCCTACCGCGTTGGCCACCACAGCACCTCTGACGACTCCTTCGCGTACCGCCAGCGCGTCGAAGTCGAAGACTGGAAGCGCCGCGACAACCCCATCACACGGCTTCGCAAATGGCTCGAGAGCCGCCAACTCTGGGACGAAGACAAGGAAAAAGAAATACGCAGCACAACGCGAAAAGACGTGCTCAAAGCCTTTGAAGACGCCGAAAAGGAAAAGAAACCAAATCTCCGCCATGTCTTTGACGGCGTCTGGGAAAACCTCACACAAGAGCAGAAATCGCATATCGAGGAACTCAAGGATATCCTGCAGAGATATCCAAAGGAGTATTCGCTTGAAGGGTTCGAGGGCGGGATGAAGGGGCTGGATGAGCTGTTGGAGAAGAAGTAGGCTGTCTTTATTTCTAGAAAAATGGTTTTTTTCTAAGTAGACTATAAGCCCCCGATGAATATATATGATTGAATGAAAGAAAGGAAAGAAGAGACTAGAATACAAGCGTCAAGACACCACTTGCTGCTACCATTCTTGAATCTGGTTATCCCAACTCGACGGCTGTGATCTAATTACCCCTCGCTCTACCATTTTTTTCATCGCAATCTCGTCCAAAGCCAGCTTCTATCTATCACGTAGCACGAACCCGAATCCGCGGTAGCTACTTTGTCACGTACTACATCACACGGCAGCACCGCACCACCCATCTAGGTACCCAGGCACCAAAAGAAAAACGGAACCAATCAATCACACACATAACTCTGCAGTTGTGTAAGATATCACACCCGCCCGCATCACATACCCGCATGCAACCGGGACACAAGCTCACCAACACCCATGCGATAAACGATTTTCTTACTATGTATTTAACCAACATGTGTGATTTAGATACTCAAAAAACTACTAATACGGATGATGTCTCATGTAGCATCGATCAGCCACTCCGGGTCTGCGTCCTCGTCTTCCGGGTCCTCGAGCATGAGCGATCCGGTTTCTGAGGGTGATGAAGAAGCAGCAGCAGGAGGAGGAGGAGGAGGGGGGAAAGGAGGTTCTGACTGTGAAGGTGGTGGATGCGGAAGTGGTGAGCGCATAGCAATATGCTGTGTGACGTTCGAGTCGGGCCCGGGGTCCTCGGCGCGCGTCGCATTTTGCTGAGATTCGGCGGGCGGGTGGTTTGGAGGGGACTCGTCGGGTACGCGGGAGGCGGTGGAGGCTTCTGCAGAGTCGTTGGTTGGCGTGGGTATCGGGTTGACGGCTTCGGTCGTAGCGGGAGGCTCGGGCTCGTGTGTAGGATCAGTGCGGATCAAACGACCGCTTTCGTCGTCATCTTCGGATGAGTACATCTGTGCGAAGCTGTTTCTTCGCCGCGGCCGGAGCTGCTGAGAATCCAGGAGTGAACTCTCGAAACTTTGATGTCTGTTTAGAGGTGCGGGTGCTGTGTTTTCTTCTTCTTCGGGGATAAAGCCGCCAGCGTGACTGTCGTCGAATTCGGTGTCCTCTGGTAGAAAGCCGCCGTCACCATAACTTGGCTGTGATGGAGGATGGCGGCCGCCAGGAGGCTCGGCAACTTCGGCTTCCTCAGGAAAAAATCCTCCGGCCATTTCCTGAGCTGCCAGCTCCCGATCCTGTTTGCTGATCTCGTCTTGCACGTCGATTACTGGGCCCTTTTCACCGTCGATCTCGATGGCGTTGACCCGCTGTGCAATACGGAGGCCAAGGAAAAATCGCCTCCAGAGTCGTAGTGATTCTGTCTGCCGTGCTATGGCCTCTGTTTCTTCTTGTCGATACTCCATTGCCTCAATGACTGCTTGCACAGCATCGGCATACTCTTGCGCAACTACAACACCCTGCACAATTGCCGTACCATGACGGCCCTTGAACGAGAATCCAGTGACCGCATCCGCAAAGTCAACACCAACTATGCGTGCTGCCTTAGACGCAAGCTTATGCCGGATGTGTGTGCCTCCTGCTGGACACATGGACGGGACGTACAAGTCAAGATTACCGTAGACATTGCGTGGAACGCGGCCTCGAACGACAGGAGGAGGAACATATATCTCGGTTTGAAACTCTGCAAAGAGGCCCGCTCCGACCTCGTCTGCTTCGTCTTCGGCATCCATCTCTGCACCAATAGAGCTCCTTCGCCCTTTTTTGGGCTTTGCACGTTTAAGCGGTTGCTCGCCAAACTTCACGTCTCTCCCCATGCGATACCACTTGTCTGCAGTCCTGACAACGTGCACATTCGTACGACGATAAATAGGCTCCATCTTGGGGTTCATGGCAGTGGCGCAGTTCACCTTGCCAACTTGATTGGGAGGGTGAATCACCTCGTTGTGCTTGAGATGCCGCTCAAGTACGTAGATGGGATGCCCCTTGAAGTCCTGGACATTCCTTGGTATGCCTTCCGATGCCTCTTTACGCGCCAGAGTAGCATCCTCCACCTGATCTCTGTCGAGCGGAGATGCACGCTCAAAAAACTGCATGGTGCGTCGCCACCACTTCTCTCCCCCAGGGGTACCCTCGACACGATATTTACGCGTCTTAGCATTGTACGCCTTCGCGTACCGCCGTGTGACGTCTTTGGCGGTGTAATCTTCCTCGAATGCTATTGCATAACACAGACTATTCTGCGTAAAGTTGAGTGGTGGCTCCAATTTCTCGGGTGAGTTGACAGTGAATGTAGAATGTGTATCAATCGGTACCCACTTTTGGTATGCAGGGTTGAAAGTCTCGACCCAGTATACAGGATACGGTGAGTGATAGGCTTTTTGTTTCTTAGGCGCAACACCAGTATGGTTCAAGACAGCATGCCGCTCACCCATGACACGCTCCAATCTCGATAACCTCTTGCCTCGCGGTCCCTGTGACTTTGGTTTCGTGGGACTTGGCTCCGCTGGCTTGTTGTATGGGTCGATGACAATTGTATTCTTCTCAGCACTCGTTTTTTGCGGTGTTGCGCGCTCAGCCGCAGATGCAAAGGGCAGAGGCTGCAAGGAACAGACAAGGCGAGTTTCTATGCCAATGGCACGGAGAAGCGCACAAAACAATTGTGTCCCAACATCCTGGGACCCTTGTAAAGTATGAGTTGCAGTGCGAAATTCGTCCTTATCCATGGGATCGTCGAGATCGTCAAAGTCCGAGAAGGGTCGGACGGCGGCCTCGACTTCAGCCCATCGGGGCTTGTACATGCCTTGTGCTGTAATCTTGAAACGCTTCGACCACAGCATTTTTAGCTCATTCATGCCGTCAATAAAATGTTTTGAGGCTGAATACTGCGTGAGGTCGGGGTTTGGTACGAGGTTGGACAAGGTCTTGACGGGAACAATTTTGCGCAGAGTGCTTTGAACTCTTCTGTCGTTGCACCAAGCATTTCTGCGGTGGACATGGTAAAGCAGACAGAGTACATGCATCTTGTGAATATCCAGACGGCGTTTTTTATCAACAGATGTTATTGCTCGCCGTCGCGCGGTCCTCTTTCTGCCAGCATCCTCTGTATTTTTGGTTCCGATGGCAATCGAGATATCCCCAATCTGGGGCGCAGTGTCTCGGTCCTCGCCAGCATCGTCGGTATCGTCGCCATCGCCCAGCGCATCCTCCCACTCCAGATCGCTGTCTTCCGACTCGTCTGAGTCTATGATGGTCTGTCGCACCCGTGCGTCGGTGGTCGATTGGGTTGTAGCCTTGGGTTGCGACTCCGTGTGCGACGGCGCTGGCGAGGCCGGCTCCGAGGTGTGGCCAGTTGACTCTGGTTTCTGGACGCGCTTGAGCTGAGCGACAGGGCTTGCGCTGGCAGTTGCGGGCGCCGTCTTCCTCTTCTTTGGCGGCCGACCCTCTTCGTCGACGCTAGCAGCCTTTGATGCCTGCTCCTCGCGCAGCATATCCTGGAACACGGCGGGCACCTCATCGTCGTCCTGCGCCCTCTTTGACCTGCGCGCCGACCTCCTTGGGATAGCTGGCTCAGCCGCCTTATGCAATCTCGACCGAGTGCCTGCCATATCTGCCGTCACCTGCTGGGCTGGCGCAATACGCGGGGGTTGATGAATCGTGGCGCACGAGGTCGATGATTATGAGGATCGCAGCCGATTACCATGGCGAGCGTCAGCTTGGCAATGAATAAAATCAGGCTTCCGCTCACGTGAGAGCTGCATCGCTGCAGTGAGGCGCTGTTGTGTGTGGACGATGGGGAATGACGGTGATGACGCAACACGCATGGAAGCGCGCTATCACGTGACTCTCGCCTGAACTCCATGCCGTGCTCCATCTCACTCGCACACCATCACCCTCACCCATAACTTCGTTGCCGAGACTCTGTTGAGTTCTACCAGTTTAAATTATCTCTCATGCTAGTAGCGGCAGAAAGCCCGGCTGCGGGACACCATGACCCGATACTGACAAGGCTGCTGCTATCCGTACCACAGGTGCTGACCACTCCCAGTGAACATGTAATTCTATCAGTAGCACCCGTGTACTATGCACAAAACAGCACCTCTTGGGTGCCAGTGTCCCTGTTGGTCGCCGTACAGCAAACAATCTGTGTGCCAACGAGATGAGTGCCATCCATAATGCCATCGATCGGCAGTGGCGCCCCAGCTGCACCAAATCTCGCCTTCTTGAATGTTGGAACATCGTGACTGCCGCTCTCAATCCTTGCTGCTACTGCCGCATGTCGGTAACAAAACAAGCCCCAGTGGTATACAGACCTTGACTTTGCACGCCTTCCCTCCTCTTTACACGCAAAATCCGTATCACCATCATCTTCTATCACTACCGCAACATTCAGTTACTCGTCATGAGAATTCATAGACTTTCTCCTGACGACATCACCCATGGTTCCCATCCCCCAGGTCACGCTTTCAGTAATGACCGAAATGCGTCGGAGCACACGTCAACCGGATACGCAGAGTCGCGTCCTGCGATGACTCCATCTTCTCGGGCCGAAGAATCCCTATTTCAGCCTGGTCATCAACTCCCTTCTGCTTCCCGCATACCGGTAATCAACGACGCCCTTCACAATACACCGCCAGCTGATGGAGCATCTCGCGAGACGGTACATCCGACGGTGACAGGAAGAGTGCCTGTAGCACGAGAAGAGCCTTTGGAAATATCCAATGTAGAGCACCAGCAAACTGCACAGTTGGGTGATCATTCCCAGTCATCAGATGCAGCTCCAGGAGTAAACTCCGAACAGATCGAGTCAGAACCCGCGCATCCATGGGGAAATTGTCCATATCCGCACGTTCAGAGCGCGCAAGAAGCTACTGCCTCACTCTCACAACCCGAACTACAACTGAAGGGGCCAAACCGCCATCGGCCATTCGGGGCGCTCTCAGGTTGCTGCTCAACTAGTCGCCCGGAGACACCACCACCAGCAGTGCAACCCCCCAACAAGACTAACAAAACCCTGCATACTCACTCTCTCCTGCCTGGTATTTGCTGCTTAGAGTCGCATTATTCAAGCGAGGTCTGCTCACTAAAGGATTTAGGTAGTTCAGAGACGCGCGACGGCAATGATGACATCGAAAATGGCCCTCCCAATTTCGAGCGTGTTGTCCTTCGGATCGACGGTCTCAAATGTGGATGCTGCGAAGGCGGACTTTCACGGGCCCTTGATCGCATTACTGCCGTCAAGAACCACCAAGTGAACGTTATTTTGGCTCGCGTCGAGTTTGACTTGGATACTAACCGCCTCTCTGTTGGCGATGTCATCAAACTGCTGACTACAAGAACCGGATACAAGTTTGAGGAGCAAGTCGCCTCCGACGGGCAGATACTAGAGCTCATCGTCACCGATCCTCGACTCCTGGTGCATGCTGGCCAGCCAAAGGGTGTTATCCGTATTGAAGCACCAGTGAGGGTATCCTGGCGTCCTCTAGGCCGACTCGGCCGACTTTGCAAAAGAGTATCGAACAAATCAACGAGGCCAGAGACGGATGCAGTCGTTTGCGGAGACAGCGCCAGCGACCCTGCCACAGACAGCAAACATGGATACACTAGTATTCGAATACCTCCAGTGAGGTTATACTATGATCCGAATCAGATCGGCGCCCGAACTGTGTTTGAACATTATCGAAAATACGACCCGGACTTGTGTCTGGCGCCCCCAGCAACCGACCCCAGTATCGATCTTGGAGCTAAGCAAATAAAACGAGCCTTACTCTGGTTTCTTCCTACTTTAGCCCTGACTATACCCGTACTTGTATTCGCTTGGACGCCACTAGCTCATACTCAGGATACCTACATGCACATCTCACTGGCTCTTGCCTCACTAGTGCAACTAATCGCCTTCAGAGAATTCGTCCCGGGCGCATGGAGATCACTTTATCACTCCCGAGTCTTCGAGATGGACTTTTTGATTGCCTTTAGCACTACCATGGCGTACACTTTCAGTGTGGTGTCATATGTGTTTCAGGTTTATGGCACGCCTTTGGAAACCGGGTCTTTCTTCGAGACATCGACTTTGTTGGTGACATTGATCCTGCTGGGCCGCGTCATCAATGAGTTTGCGCGCTACCGAGCTGCAAAGTCTGTGTCTTTCAGGTCACTCCAGGTTGAAGAGGCTCGTTTGGTGCTACCATCTTCAATTGACACGTGGGCCAACGTGAAGACGACCAAGATTGACTCTCGCCTATTACAGTACGGCGACTTCTTTACTGTTCCGCCTCATACCAGAATTGTTACGGATGGAATTGTCGTGTACGGGGGCTCTAACGTCGATGAATCAATGATCACTGGTGAATTCCAACCAAAGGCAAAAGGCATATGGTCTGAAGTCTTTGCCGGCACCAACAACCAGGATGGTTCGCTCGTCGTCAGCCTGAGCAAGTTACCTCATGAGAACTCTATTCATCAAATTGCAACCATGGTCGAGGATGCTGAGTTAACAAAGCCGAAAGTCCAAGCCCTTGCTGACTGGGTCGCTGGGTGGTTTGTGCCTGTCATAGCCGTCATCGGTACTGCGGTTTTTCTCACCTGGATGCTTGTGGACAGATACCAAAATCACCATATGTGGAAAAGTGCGGTCCTCACAGCAACCACATACGCCATAGCTACTCTTATCGTATCTTGCCCGTGTGCAATTGGTCTAGCCGTGCCTATGGTCGTTATCATTGCAAGCGGCGTGGCGGCGCGTTATGGGATCATCCTCAGAGACCCTCAAATGCTAGAGGTAGCCCGCAAAGTTACAGATGTGGTTTTCGACAAGACCGGAACAATCACTTCTGGCAGACTGGACGTCGTGAGTGTTCCGCGATACCGTAGTATGGACAGAGCTCGGACCAAGGGCCTATTGCTGGGCCTATTGAAAGACATTCAACACCCTGTTGCTGCCGGAATCACGAAATATCTCACACAAGACAGAATCGCCAACAAAGACTTCGAACCTCTAGAGGTCAACAATATTGTCAGCTTTCCTGGAGAAGGAGTCCAAGGCGTCTGCGCGCAAACGGGCGATATAGTCCGCGCTGGAAATGCCGAATGGTTGAAGATTAACGTAATTGGGCGTGAATCCAACACCAGGTGCTATTTTACCGTCAAGGGTGAGCTTCAAGCTAGCTTTGAGCTTAAGGATCGGCCCCGTCCTGGAGCTGAGATGGTCATTGAAAAGCTACACACTCGCGGCATCCGCGTACACATGATCAGCGGCGACACCGAAGGTGCAGTGACTGATGTTGCTAGCTCGCTTCACATTCAGAAGGAGAAGACCAAATCACGCTGCAAACCCGAAGGCAAATGTACATACGTCAAAGATCTGCAGAAGCCGGGCAAAGTTGTCATGTTTGTTGGCGACGGCGTCAACGACTCGGTTGCGCTCAAGCAGGCGGATATTGGCGTACATGTCAGTCAAGGATCGGATGTTGCGAAAAGCGCAGCCGATGTCGTTCTCATGACCACCCGTCTACATGACATCTTAATCCTGCTCGACATTTCCGGTACTGCATACCGGCGCATTATTGCCAACTTCAGCTGGTCGTGCTTGTACAACGTTGGTGCAATTTTGCTTGCAGCTGGTGCATTCGTCGAGGCAGGGAACCAGATTAGAATTGCGCCGCAATGGGCTGGGTTGGGCGAGCTCGTCAGTGTGTTGCCAGTCGTCTTGATTGCATTTCAGATGCGATGGCGCGACTACGGCAGCACGTACAGATTCATCGAGAACGACTACCAAAAGGTTGAGGCGCCGAAACGCGAGCGCGTACTCCGAATTAGGGGAAGCTCTTCAACCGACAGCGCAGAATGTTGTGAGATTTCCTCGTCTAGACTGGCTAAGATTGATGCTGTGACGAGGTAGAGCTCCAGGTATTGATGGGGAGGACGACAGAATTTGTTTTCGTGCTTCAAAGTGATCGTTTGTTCTGGGTTTCAATTGCGTAGAAGCGTTGCAGTATTAATCAAGTTTTTAATCATGGTTCCTAACGTAAGGCAGATGGTCTCATAACGTGTGCAGTATCGAAACTGTCTTCAATCCACATGAATGGTGTTTTTGCAAATACGGCTAGTCCGCAACAGGCAAGATTCGGGCATCTGTAAGTAAGTACTTTCTGAACATTGACAAGCGCTGAGCAATCACCCCACAAACTTATCCGCATCGTGTTCCAACACCAAGTACAAATGGTACCAGCAGCTTTTGCATCGATTACAAGAATTGCGCACTAATTTCATTGTTGCAGGATCAATTGAACCCCATTGCTTGCGAAAACTGCAGAGCAAAGAAGTGCAGATGCGATCGGATAACGTCAATACATTCCATCTTAGCTCAAACGTTCAATAGCTAACCATCTCAGTCCATCATGCTCACAGTGTCAGGCAATATCTGCAGTATGCCATTATCAGCAAGGCGGCAAACGAGGGATTCCTGCAGCTTATATGAAAGCCCTTGAGGGGCGACTCGCAGCAACCGAAGCTGCGCTTTCAGCCGCACTGACGGCTCTTCGGAACCAAACGGCGCAAGACTCGTTAGACCCTTACCTGTCAACCGCCATTTCGAATCCGCCCTTGTCACAGCGCTCAAAAGCCGAGAAACTGGAAGAATGGAAGCGCCTGCCATTGCAGACGGGTGACCAGTTGATGGCGTGGCTTCGTGTGCAAAACGGTGAAGACATGGCATCACCTCGAACAGATGGCCGCAGATCAATCTCGGAACCCCAAACCTATGCTGCAGTCTCGCCAAAAACAGTCATGGGGCTGTTAGAGACATGCGAAGAGCCAAAGGTCCCAAATGCTTGGGAATATTCTGCGGGATTTGGGCGATGGACAAAAAACTACTTCTGATTGTCTGCATCCACTCTGAGCTTTCCAGCTAGATGTTGTCTGACTCAGTCTGTTCGCAACATTTCCCTATTTCGAGTCATGCGGACAAAGCGGGGTTTCTTGTTCCGCAATCTCCGTGTCACCAAACAGCTTCCTTCTCAGGTACCTTTCGTGCATCTGCTACCATGGAGCATGGGTCTAGCGGGCACTCTTCGTTTGAAACACCCGCCGAGTATGGGCGGCCTGCGAAGCGTCGGCAAATCTCAGCACAGCCGGCGCGTGAAGTCGGACTGATGCGAAGCCCCACGGATAGGTTTACAGGGTTTGTGGGCAGTGCCAGCGGCATCTTCTTCATCCGATCAGTCTATGGCGCCATTGGCCATTCTCAGCCACTACATTCTGTAGTGGGCGAAACACCCGGTAGCGATATTGTGCCTGGTGAAGACGACCATCTGCCCTTGGTGAAGCCCGACTCATCCGGACGATTATGGAAAGAAGGCGAAGTCTATCTCGACTCGCCATCCGCCATATCCTTCCAAGAACTGGTTGCCTTGTCGGGCAGTTATTTCGCAAATTGGCACCCCTTTTATCCTTTCCTACACGCTCCGACTGTCCTCGAGTACTTTGATGAGTTCGCCCGCAATGGTTTTCCAGAACATGAGCACCTCGAAGATCTCCGCAAAGTAATAATTCGAGCAATCATTTCCACGTCTCTTGCAGATCACCGACAAGCAGGTGGACATGGTGATATGCGATATCCTGCCGGTCTTGTATTCCAATCCTACGATTCGGCTGTAGACAGTCTTCGAGGTGTATTGTCCCGTCCTACGACGATACTTGCGCTGCAGGCCTCGCTCAGTGTGCAGCTTTTCTTGATTTCCATGCTTCGTTTGAATGCAGCGTCTCGTCTGGGCGGGCTCATGACGCGCATGGCCGTGCAGCTAGGCCTTCATCGGTGTCCAGCTCGCTTTACATCTTTTTCCTCGAGTGATAGAGAGCTTCGACAACGCGTCTTCTGGTCAATCTACGCCCTGGACCGCTTCCTCAGCCAATCCATGGGCCTCCCGCTAAGCCTCCATGACAACGATGTCGATGTGTGCTTTCCACACACTGAACAGCATTTACCGACTGGGCTGGAACATGGTACGTTTGAGGATCGCAAATTGGACATTTCTCTGACAGTGTAAAGGCAGTAAGATCTATCTGTTGCATCTCTTGGCTCAGCAAGCCAGGCTTCGTGGCGAGATTATTGAGCTTCGTAACAAATCTATACACCATGTCCAGAATGACCCCGACCAAGCAATAGCCATCACAGCAAAGCTCAGCCAGTGGTGGAACGATGTACATGACTACATTGACCCAGGTGGCCCATATAGAGCATCCCCCTACGCTACCACTGTCCTGACTTTGCTCAGGCACGAATCTATCATCTCTTTCTATCGTCCTATTCTGGCAGCTTCACGAAAAGATGCAGCCTACGACGTGGCCTTGCAGCAATGCATTAGCTCTGCACGTAGCATCATCTCAGACCTACACAGTGCGATAAGCATTCATGCAAGCCTCAAAACATCATCTGGGCCCTTGGCGTTGCTTTGGCCTTCTTGCACATGGGCTGTATGGATTAGCACATTTATCATGTTCTACGCGGCAAACGGCAAGCATATCGCTCATGACGTTGTTGAACAGTAATCGATCTAGGCCAGTTCTCGGGTACTTGTCTGCTAACTTGTTAACACCAGATTAGCGACCAAAAGCCTGGAAATACTTCAGCATCTCTCTCGACGTGGGAGCGCATGGCCAGAAGCAAGCTCGGCCGCTATACGCGACTTACGAGCCCGCATGGCTCACCGATCAAACCATGATGCCAGCAACGACAACACCACAATCACCAATGACGCGTTCACCACAGATAGCGTTGTTCAACCATCTTCTGTGCCACCGGATACGCTGCATTCCGAGGACACTTGTTGCCGAGACCCGGATCCTTCGGAAGATGTACCCGGCGTTAATTTCGAGATCATGCGCGATGTGGGAAAGGACGGTGTTGAGTTGGGCCTCGACATCAGCTACTGGAATGCGCCTATGACAATGGGGGCTGCTGGTGATTTGATACAAGGACATGTAAACGGTCCTGATCCTTTTTCTGGATTCGATATACCGTTTTGGTTTGATCAAGAGCAACATTGGGATTTTGTGCAGTAGCAAAACAGTTTGCACAAGGAGATGAACGGTTATCGTCATGGCCGCCTCGGAGCATTCGCCGACGGGCTTTCATTTTCCGCCAGTTCCCCGCACTTGACTAAATCTAAACACCAGCGATGAGTTTCACAAGCAAACCCTACCGAACGTATCCGAACCATCTGATAACGGTGTTTCTTTTTCCGTCAGAAAGTCGATGTGAAGCAGTGTACATACATGTTGTTGTACAAAGTACATTTTGCTTAATTCACGAGGCCAATTCCAGAGCATCAACTGCACATCCTTCATAATGCCTTCAAGCACAGCTCCACGCTCCCACAGCATTGCCACCATAGGCGCAGATGGTATTGGCCCGGAAGTTATTGGAGCCGGTGTACGAGTGTTGAAGAAACTGGCACAATTAGATGGATCATTCAAACTACAATTTAAGGACTATGATTGGAGCTCAGAAACGTTTAAACAAACAGGAAAGTATATTCCTGATGGAGGACTAGACGAGCTCAAGAAACACGATGCGATTCTCTTTGGAGCTGTCGGTGCGCCAGGTAAATTGAGGTATCCAGTGTTTTAGAGGCCAATTTGCTGACTGATTCGAATATAAAGATGTTCCAGATCATATCTCTCTATGGGGCCTGCGGCTAGCTATCTGCCAAACATTTCAGCAATACGCAAATGTCCGGCCGACAAAAATCTTTCGTGGAACTGCCTCTCCACTGCGCAATGCAGAGCATGGGGACTTGGATTGGGTCATTGTACGTGAGAACTCTGAAGGCGAGTACGCAGGCCAGGGAGGCCGCTCACATATAGGCCAACCATGGGAGGTTTCTACTGAAGTCTCCATTTTCACGCGTCACAGCGTAGAGCGCTTGCTTCGCTTTGCATTCGAGACGGCGCAGAAAAGGCCAAGGAAGCACATTACCGTTGTCACAAAGAGCAACGCGCAGCGCAATGGAATGGTCATGTGGGATGAGGTTGCCGCAGTGGTCGCAGCCGACTTCCCAGACGTCAAGTGCGATAAGATGCTCGTCGATGCCATGACCTGCAGGATGGTACTGGATCCCAGGTCATTAGACACGATAGCAGCGACGAACCTGGTAAGCCGATCCCTGCCGCATGTGCGGCAGTTATACTGACCAGCAAAGCACGCGGATATCCTTTCCGACCTTGCAGCCGCTTTGGCGGGTTCGATTGGCATCGCCCCCACTAGCAACCGTACGTATTTACAAGCTTTTTAGCACTCGCAGCGATGATTGACTGCCTTTAGTGGACCCTACACGGAAGAATCCGTCAATGTTTGAGCCCATCCATGGCTCGGCTTTTGATATTACTGGCAAGGGTATCGCGAACCCAGTTGGGACCTTCTGGACTGCATCCGAGATGCTGGCATGGCTAGGCGAGGAACAGGCAGCCCAGAAGCTGATGGAGAGCGTCGAGGCAGTTACTGAGCGGGGTGTTGCGACTCGCGATCTCGGAGGCAAGGCATCCACAAAGGAGGTTACAGATGCTGTATGTGCCGAACTCGAGCGAATGCACAAGTGAGTGGGCAGCGGGGCATATCTTCTCTGCCGCAATGTGGGGGTGGGGAAATAGGTACCTGTCTGCCGCCCTAGTTGAGCATTAATGCGGAGTACCTTGTTCCGACTGTGCTGGTCGACAAGTCAACTCCAAACCCTGTTCTAAAGCTGCATAAATCAGCTCATTTTGGACACACGACATCATGAAGAGATCTCTGCATTTTGGCTTGGACGACGATGCCAGTTGTTGGTTAGCTACCACATAGTAAATGTTCCTGCATCTATGCCTCGTATAATTCAACAAACTCTATCCGATCAGGCAAAGAGCGTCTACTATACGAGCGGAACCGGTCCCGAGCCTACTTGCCTTGAATCTTACTAACGTCTTACAATATACAGTCTTCACCCACTGCAAGCCCAATCGGCACATTGTACCGACACCTCCCACGTCCAATGGTGCCTGTTATCCTCAAAGAGCCAAAAGGAAGCTAATCCCCGCACCCGGACCCCCGCACGTCACCCGACAAGCCATTTTTGCTCGGCCATTGAACAAGATGCACATTCTCGTGCTAGTATACATCCACATCCGATGATTTAGTACTCGCCTCCTTCGCCCTCTATGCTGCGTGATTGCAATTGACATTTTTGCACCCCTCTGCTGCCCACGTCGCCACCGTCCCCCGCCCACTTGGGAGATTGACTGAAGCAACCATGCCCCTGGGTATCTTGGAAGACTCCAAACTCGAGCACGTCCCGGGCACAGCTCCACTGAACGAGCTGGGACGCACCGACCTGGAGATTGCAAACGACATTGATCCTCGGCTGCTCAAGCACGATGCATCGGGCCAGATTGTCTTGATTCCGCAGCCCTCGGACTCGCCAAATGACCCGTATAATTGGCCAAAATGGCAAAAGGAGATGGTATATTTCGGTCGTGTAATAGTGGGGTCAAGGACAAGAAGGGCTGATGACATGTAGTTCACCGTCGTCATCGCGTATGGGTGCGGGTGTGTAGGCGGTAAGCTATGGGTGCTGACAATTCATGTACCAGGCTAACTATGGGGAATCTTGTAGCCGTCGGACCCCTTTTTACCTCGGCCTTTGTTCCCATGTCCGAACAGTTTGGCGTTTCTTTGCAGAGATTTACACTGGGTAATACGAGTGCCAGTACCATGTAACGAACCAATCTAACCATCAACCTCGTAGGCGCCAATGGTTCCTGTACCGCTGCTATTGCTGTTGGGAGCCTTTTCTGCAATACTTTAGCAGTCAAGATTGGGAAACGACCCATCTATATTGCTACTACGCTTGGAATGGCAGTGACGAGTTTCTGGGCTGCCGAGTCGACGACTCTTGGGTCGCTTAGCGCTGCCAGAGCTGTTCAGGGTATCTGCATGGGTAAGATGGGCTAATGGAAATTATAGTAGGTGAGATTCTGACGGAAGCAGCTCCTTTCGAAGCACTGATCCCGTCCTCTGTTGGAGACATATGGCATGTACACGAACGTGGATTCCGAATGGCAATCTTCAATCTCGGTGTCCTTGGTGGTATTGTAAGTTGTGTGGAACAAGCTATATGTACATGCAGCTAACCATATCCTCAGAACTTAGCTAGCCCCATAGGTAGGAAATCCTTCTCAGTGAATAACTTGAGAAACTGACAAGAGTAGCTGGTCCGATTATTCAATACGGCTCATACAAAGCGTGCATGCATGCAATGGGCGGTGCGTTCGTCCTGATGCTAGTTCTCGTCATCTTCTTCATGCCGGAATCGGCGTTCCACCGTGTGAATGCTTTAAACATCGACACGGGCGTCCACACCGTTGACATGGAAAAGAAGGAAAAGGAAGAAGCCGTAGCGCACATCGAAGACGACCAACAGCTCCAACACTCACCATCAGAACCTCGCGACCCTTATGTCAAGACTCTGAAGATCTGGTCCGGCTACTGGGACCAAGTCTCCTTCTGGAGGACCTTGATCCGCCCGTTTGTCGTCATCGCTAGTCCCGCCGTTATATGGGCGACACTGCTCTTCACTATCTGCATCTCCTGGCTGGTCCTGATATCCATTACGTTATCGCAGATTTTCTCGGGCCCGCCGTACAATTTTTCCGTCAGCGAGGTGGGTGCCACAAACGTCTCGTCGTTTGTCGCGTCGCTGCTAGCCACCCTGATAGCCGGGACAGTCGTTGACGGAGTAGCCAAAGTCATGTCGAAGCACAACCACGGCATTTTCGGTACGCATTATCTCCACACATATGAGCGACTTGCTCAATCGCTAATATCCTTTAGAACCAGAGTTCCGCCTCCCAGTCATGGTCACGTATCTTGTCTTCACCGCAACCGGCTTCTTCGCCTGGGGCCAGGCGCTGTACAAGGCGGATCCCTGGCCCGTTCCCGTTGTCGTATGCCTGGGCATCATCAATTTTGGCGTCCAGCTCGGCACCACCGGCGTCGTGACCTACGTGAGCGACTGCCACCGCGAGCAGTCCGCCGAAGCCTTTGCCATTATGAACTTCCTCAAGAACTTTTTTGCGTTCGGTCTCACGTTTTACTCAAACGACTGGATTGCTACGCAGGGCGTAAGAAACACTTTTTATGTTATTGGAGGCATCACCATTGCGGTTACGCTGACGACGATTCCCATGTATATTTATGGGAAGCGCGCGCGCAGCTGGGTCGCGAGGTCCGGGGTGCTGGATAGCGTTTTGGCGCGTAAGTAGTGTGCAATTATCGACATGGGGGGTGGTTGTCTTGCTCGGTAACTGGTAATGTGTTGGTGTTTCGATGTGATAACGAGATGCATCTTGAGTTATTGGCTGGGCTGCTGTATACTCGAAATCTCCACAAAGATTTCTTGCCGTCTCTATCTGGTCATCGCTGTGACATATCCGCCTCAACCAACACTTTTTTGGGGTGAATATCCAAGAAACACGCCGTTTCAACTATAAAATTACATTGATACAGCTTGCAAAGTGTTTGTCAGTGACGTCTAGTACAAACCATGGTGTCGCACGACTCAGGATCTGTTCGGTAGAAATCCATTTTCCGTTCCGTTGGCCGGATTAGTAGGGCTCTATTTTTTTTGAACGGAGATGTGAACGGCGTTGCGTTTAGTAGAACCCCCGTTTTCCACTCCGCTAGCCGTATTGGGATTCCGTCCAAAAAAAACGGAGACGGAAACGGCGTCGTGTTCGGTAGAACGGAGGTTTTCAAGCGTGGCGCTAGGAATAATAAACCCTGCGTCAGTGCTTGCATGATCTATTTGTTTTATGGTTGATTTTGCCCAGGTGAACTTTAGGCGAAACGGAGCTTTATTCGAAATTGGTACCTCAGAGGTGCCATTCTATTCGAAAACTCTGTTTTCCAACATAATGAGGTCAGATTGAGTGAGTGGTATATCACGTGGTATATCAACTGATCGATGGAACGGCGTTCTTCCAAACAGCTCTCCGTTCTCTGTCCTCTATTCTCCGTTTGATCTCGATTTGGTGAGCCTACTAGAAGCCGCTACGCCCAAAAAGGTGTCAAAAACGCAGACGGAGAAACAGAGAACTGAACACGCTCTTGAGCTCACCTAGTAGTAATTACTTTTTTTCCTCTACCCTGCTTTTTTGAGACAAACGAGGTGGCCAATATAGTAGATAGCTAAGCTGCTCTCTTCTACTAAGGAGAGCAGCGGCTGAATGCAAAGACTACCTCGAGCAGCTGTTAGCAGGTTCTCCCAGCCCTGAAAACAATTAATGTTATCTTATCATGTTCTACACTACTAGAACTAGTTAAATTGATCAAATAATCCAACAAGCTCCTATCTAACATGTTCGTGATTACTTAGATAAGGAGGCTGTGCGCATATCTGTCGCATGGGGCTTGATAAGTGATCAAACTGTTGCTGAGCGAGCTTGCATCAAAACTGTACTTGGATCTACAAAATTATCATTAGCACTGAATACTGGTCTAAGTACGTTTAAGGCTCAATAATACAATTTTATAATTGATAACTCACATAGTGTAGTGCGAAAAGGGAACGCGAAATCTAATTCACTCATTCAATACCAATCCCACCACCGACACGCAAAAACGCCAGCCATGCCAAGCCAAGGCCCCTCCCCCGGTCCTCTTTTTCCCTTTTTTTCCACTTTTTTTCTTGAAATATCTCCTCTCGGTACTATCCATAGCGCGGCCCAAACCGTTCAAATCCAAATCCACCGACACGTGGGCAACACAAGAAAAAAACCCTCCGCTTCGCGTAAATGCTCCGTTGCGACAGGCGGAAGATGTTCACGACGCTATCTTGCCTATCGCAGGGCTAAATGGAAAGTCGCACCGACGATTTGTTCAAAACAGGGAAATTCGCGCTAGCTGTTTTAGCTCTGGGTTTTCTAGTTATGGTGTAGCTCCGCCAATTGTCCAGCGTGTTCTCTTTTTTTTCTAGGGCAGTTTGTGGGTAATACCTGCAAGATATGGGGGGCTGGTAGCTCCCATGCGAATGCAGAAAAGACGCTAATTAGTGGTCTATTTCCACGTGTTTATGCGTAGCCACGTACGTTATATGCTGTCCAGTTTGGAGTTTTTCTTGTGTGATGGCAAAGGGAAAGTAGTACAGTTTTGTTGGTGAGTGTCGCTATGTAGTAAATTGCATCTTCCATATGTCGCTTAGCCTTGTACTTCTTTGTTGTGGTACTTGTTAAATACTATAAACAGCTGTTGATGGGTGACTAGCATAAAGGCAGAGCGCAGCTGGAAAAACAGCTTCATGGTCTCTAATTGACAGATGTAATTACAGTAGCCGTAGCGATAATTGCGTCAACAGGTAGTGATTGTGTAAGGAGCTGCCCAGCAAAGTCTAACTCATGAATGACGTCTCATGTTTGCTGGAGAGTCTCGCTCTTCTCAGACATGAACTGTGTTATATTACTGCCTAACTACTTGTTATGTACAAGATATAGGGTATAGTACTATCCGTGCGCAGCCAACGAGCCAGTACAGTCAACGAGCCACCCCACCAAGATCGGACGACCAAAAAGATGAGGTTATTGAGCCACCCACAAAAGCTATTATCGTGAGATCTTTTGGTGTATTACTATATAGACGCTACTAAAGCGTTTGCACTACTTGTATCTTGCTGGCGTCTTGATTTGGCGGGTGTGCAGGCTAAACTTGGGTGGGGAGGGCGCCCGAGGCGGACCCTCAACCACCTGGCTTGATGGAGCAACAACACGACGACGCTTTGCTGGTTTTTTTGCTGGCTTGACTGAGGCTTCTCGCTTACGCTTGTTTGCTGTATCGTGAGTTTTTTTTAGTGTTGCAGCTTGTTGTTGTTGTTTGAGCGCCTGGGCAGCTGCCTTTTCTTTAGCGCGCTGTTTCTGCTTGCGCTCACGCTCTATTTTAGCTTCTTGTCGAGCAACCTTTGTAGCTTCTGAAATTTTAAGATTGTAGAGCTTTGCCGCCGCCTTGAGTTCCTTATCCTTAGCTTTTTGGAGTTGTTCCTGCTTCTTTTGCTCTTCTCGTACGCTCTCGCGATACCTGGCTTCGCGGAGCTTTCTTGGGGACCAGAATACTGCCCCGCCGTGATACTCCTCGCGCTGTTGAAGGTCCAGTGTCTTGCTCTTCTTCTTGGCGTTTGTTTTGGTGTTGAGCGAGCGATTGAGATACTCGTTCTCGTGGTGGAGAAGCTCGTTTTGAACCTGTAGAGACCAAAATGAAGCCTTAAGCCGCTGGGCTTCAACTTTTGACTTATCCCTAACCGCAGCGTTGAAAACTTTTCGCAGCTCACGCCAGCTATCACCGTCGCCGTGCTGCCCAATTTCTAGAGTCTCATCTTGTTGTTGTGGGTGTTTGTTGAAGCGTTTTAGGATGACCTGAGCATCCATCGGCCACACCCCAGTAACTTGAAAACTCTTCTTGATGAGATCCGGAGTCATTGTAGAGCTCCAAGCGGGCCAAAAGAGGCTGAAGAACTCTCTTTTTGTTGCCTTTGCCGTGCCGTGGGACTCGTGGAGGTGGCGATCGAGTTGTTTCGAGTATGCTTTCGACATCGGAGCGAACACAACCACATCAAGTGGCTGCAAGCTGTGGGTTGCGTGGGGTGGAAAGATAGCTAACAGGATGCGGTTGCCATCGCAGAAATCTATAAAATCAGTTGATACATGGCTGCCGTGGCCATCAAGGATCAGAAGCCGGTAATCCCGTCTTGCTTTTGGCTTCGTGAAGCGTTCAAATACCTGTTTAAGCCACGCCATGCTGATATCATTGTTGCTCTATCCCGTCGCTGAGTTTGAGAAGAAAATCTCATGTTTTGCGACCTCAACGGCGTCAACCCAGCTCGATTGAATCCCGGCGGTGCCCTTGTAGATGATGGCGGGCGGCAATACCTCACCAGAAGCGCATACGCAAGCCAGCAGCGTTACCCATTCTCTGTTGCCATCCTGTATCGCCGCCTTGATCTCTCCCGACGCCCACAGTGCCTTAGAAAAGACGCGCTTTGTGCGGTTTGTGATGCCGATGAAGAAGCCCTTCTCATCCATATTGTAGGTATTGCGCGCGTCAACGTCGTACTCTCGCATTTTCGAATGCAACAAGTCGAAGTATAGACTGTATCTTTCTTCTGAATCAGCGTTGTGACGTTTGCGATCAATCCCGGTGCTCCATTTGATGGTGAGCTCGTCGGCATGGCGATGCAGAAAGCGGGAAACCCAGGCTGTGGAAACCTCATTTTTGACTATCGTCGCCGCGAAATTTTGTATCATTTCACGCGTAGGAGGAAGCCCTCGGCGAGTACAACGTTCTATGTGTAGCACAAGTTCATGCTCTTGTTGTGGGTTGAGATTTCGGCGGTCTTGGGCAGCTTGTTCGACTTTGGACGGTTGTGCGCCTTTGTGCCGTCGCGACAGCGTCGTTCGATCAACTCCGAATATTTTTGCAACTTGGCGGTACGAGAATTTATCTCCAGCCGCACGCGATTCGATATATTCAATCGCTTCTTGAATCGGATCCATGGTTGTGGAGTTACGACGCGTCAAAGGTGGGTGGGTTCACGATGCGGCAGTTTGGTGGGGTGGCTCGTTGACTGTACTGGCTCGTTGGCTGCGCACGGATAGTACCTTACTGCTATTCTATGTTGTATACTCTCCTGCGTTGTAAAAACTGTTGCATTACCTTTAAACTAAATAAACCAAATAGGTAGTGATCGTAGCAGGGTTTTAGAGAACCTGAAAATCTAAACCCCCGAACCCCCCGAACTGCTGAATACGCGAATTCAACCAAACGCGCTCCTCCCACAAAAGAAATCGAATAATACCAGCCCAAATATAGTTAGAGTCTGTTCGATCTCTTTTAAGGAGGTGGTGCGCGAAATACTATAGGAAATACGGTGATGCCTAACTGTACTTAGCGAGTTGCGTTCTCAGTAGTATCAAGCGACGGTAGTACGAAAGCAGCTAGAACGCATTAAGTACCGTGCAGACCGATCAGATGGATCTCAACTCAATCTGCAGCTAAAGATGCAAGCCAAATAGAGTAAAACGGTGTTGTGCATATTCAATAATCACCAAAAGCGGAATGTCCAAGTATCGTGATCAGACCAGTCGTTCTTCCGAAATCAGGCCAGCTGTAGCCTTCTTACGCCACACACCAAACCCTGAGCTTGCCAAGCCTCTTAACGCCGAGAACAAATTCATTGCGGCGAATACTAGGGCCTGACACTATATCCATTGATACTACTTGCCGTTGTAGCAGAGTGGTCCTGCTCGGATACAGCTGGAAAGCTCGTAAAAGCAGGGGTAGAGGATATGTGCTTCACTTACATGCAATATGATGCTGCATGATAGTACTATATACTTGTAGTAATGGTTGCTACTAAAACGACGTGATAACTGGTAAAAGTTTTGCGTCCCACAATCAGCCTGAACCTGAAATGGTTCCAAGCAGCGCCACAGATAACGCCGTTAATAACGCCGTTCCTGGTACTCGGTACCGAAGCTGATGATCCGAAACAATGATTTGTCCATCATTCGAAATTGGTGACGGGTGTTAGTCTGCTTTTGATGGAGGTTACAGGGTCCTCTCTATCATGGCCCTTGAGACAGGTCGCTGCATGGAGAGAGGCGCCGCCCCGGGATCCGAAGACGGAGACTTAGGCAATATTTGTTCCAAGTCAAAGTTAGTGGCGGCGGGTAATATTCATAAAACAATGTTTTTGGCAAGTTTTAGCTACTTTGGGAGCAGGTATTCGGATTTGAATGTATATTTTACCATCCATGAAGGCGCATGGCACGCTTTGCACTCAGTCAAGCAGCCAGAGGATGATGCTGAATTGGTCGCCATGCAGCATCTAGGTGCTACTTATCAGCTCGCCAAACTTGCCCTAAGTGAAGGTTTCTCTCAACTATAGGTCTCTAAACATTCGCTCTCTGATGTTATGGTAAACAATTCACCGACCACATGGGACCCCTGCTAGCTTAGCAGAACCCCATTCACACCACATTAGTGTTAGTCAGGGCCGAACATATGGAGCGTACCGCGTGATCATGTGCCCGCTTCTCGTAGAAACGGGAAAACTGGAATTAGAGAAGCACTGGCCATTTCTCTCCAAATCTTAATATTTTTGCCGCGATTTCGCAGCACTACAACGCTAATATCATAACTATAAAGTATGCATAAGAAGTAAAGATATTTATATACTTTAAAGATCGATACAAAACAATTCTACAGCTAAGCAGTACAGCTATTGCCAAAATAGCGGCCAGCGTGCGCATACTGTTTAAAGCAGGCTTGGCGGCAGTTTTAAATTCGACTTTCCTAATTCCCCGAGAGCGAGCTAACGATTTCCACGCCATTTCTTAGCTAGTGGGCGACGTGCTAGTTCCCTGCTGCTCCACTGGGACCCAAGGCCGTGAACTTGGTTGACAACTACCATTAGTCCATAGAGAAGCTGGCGATGAGCACTGCTTACAGTCGGTTCTCGTAGGTCATGTCATGTAAGCCCTACTGATGCGTAATGATATAATTTACACCCAGTAGATCCTCCAATAAGCCGCATACTCTATGCAAGGGACAATTGTGTGAATTGCCACGTGCTGCCATACCTGGTTGTATTGTGGGATTACCACCGCGATTATTGCGCTTGTACCAATGCATTCATGATCAATCACAACTCCCGAACTTGATCGACCCACTTCATAGATATGAGTCGGTGGTTATCTTGCTCCGCTGTCGGACTACACGATCTGGACAAATACCAAAACCCGTCCCAACCCCCAAAAGCCGCATCATACTTCGCCAGCTTTAGTTCCCCAGGTACACTCCATCATAGTCTTCTTTTTTTGATACCCCACGTAGCATCATGGATTCATGTAAGAAATACCATAATGAGCCTATTGGGCTCGGCTTTGCACTTCAACAGGAAGACACATCTGTTCCAGTCAGTCCTTACCAAACGAACGATGTTTGCAACAACATCCTCGAAATCATGTTTGAGCATTCGCTCAACAAATTCGATGACTCCAAGGAACGTTTGGCGGCTGGAAAGCAAACGTTTCTGTTGGTGATCAACACATATGTCCAGGCGGGCCAACGCATCGAGGCCTGTTTACCCGCCTTCCCCTTCAAGTCGGCCAACAAGGTCTACAAGGTGCTTGGATCTCTTCCAGACAAAGCGGAAGAGCTAGCGCTCGAGCGACTCAACAACATGTGTGCGAGGATAAAGCAGATTTATAAGCCTGGAGCAAGGGTAACGATTGTTTCAGATGGAATCACATACAATGGTAAGTCAAGTTGGGCCAGACCAAAGTTTGTACTGACAGACATCGCAGATCTATTTTCGATCTCGGATCGCGAGACCTGGGCTTATGGTGAGGCTTTACGTGAAATGGCTATCGACAAGAAGTTCACATACATTGCCTTTTCGCGCATGAGGGATATACTCAACTTCCTGCTGCCCGAAAAGATGCGAGAAATCACTTATGTTGCGAATTGCACAAACTTCAGGCGCTTGCTCCTGAACAAGTACGGAAAGCCTGATATGAACGTCGAAAAAGGGATTATGGACAACCCGGACACCAAGTTGACTTATCTTGGTTATCGGAAATTTCTGGAATCGGATCTGAGATACATATTCAACACTGGGGATAATGTCGGTCGAAACCAGTACAAACGGGATGTCAAGTACCTCGCGAAGCAGATGCTCATCAGGGGTTATGTAAGTACTTTTATGCAACGAACCAATGCTTCGCTGTTACGTAAAGCTAATCATCTGTAGGCGTTCGCTGGAGCGGTAAAAGATGCGTTTCCAAACTACCTCAGATTGTCAATCCATGAATCTATTGGAGAACATAAAATATCAATAAGCCTTTTGAACACGAAGACGGGCTATACCACTCCATGGCACTGCAGTGTGGCCCAGCTAGCTAATGGAGAGTGGGTCAGCGCTCCAAAGGGTGAGTTTGAGCAGGACTCTCGTCTCGAGCTCATCTACGAGAATGGCCGCCCCAGCTACTTCAAGGAAAAGCCACAAACAGCGGGTATGCCCGGCATAAGCGAGAAGAATGCGAGCTACCTCAAGGCTGCTAAGTGTTTCAACAGCACAGAGAATGGATACTCCTCGCCAAGCTCGACGTCACAGGGAAGCGGCTCCTTTAGTCCAGTCTCATCGCTTGAACGTTCGTTAACAAATTCATCATCTGGAAATGAAGATTCAGTGGGGCCTCGTTCAGTTACGCCCATCAGTGAGCCAGACGAACCATCTTATGGTCGACGACTCATTCCTCAAATCATGGACCAATTGGCAGCAACGCATCCTGATCAGATCGTCTTTTCCCTTACAAGCACTGTGGGCGACAAACTGGAATTTAAAGAAATATCCGCGAGAGCGTTTAAGAACGCCGTCGACAAGACGGCTTGGTGGCTCTACAAGCAGGTCGGGCCGTCGTCTATAGTGCAGCCAGTTGGCTACATCGGGCCACACGATCTCCGCCATATCTTGCTTACCCATGCTTGCGCCAAAGTCGGGTATGCTGTACTAAACTTATCGCCTAAGAACAGCATCAAAGGAGCCTTGGCTGTGCTAGAGGCAACCCAGTGCAATATCTGGGCCAAAGCAAGTGAATTAAACGCGGTACCTCTCGTAGAAGGCTTCCTACAGCAACGCACCATGAAACTATTGCAAGTCCCCCTGCTTGAGAATCTCTTGGACGGACAGAATACCCAGCCATTCCCATACACAAAAACCTTCGAACAGGCTGCTAACGAGCCTTTCTGTTACCTCCATACTTCGGGCTCGACAGGCGTCCCCAAGCCCATTCCATGGACACATGCACTCATTGGGACAATGGACGCAGTCCGCTTGCTACCCCCTGTCGATGGCATGCTTCCTTGGTCTCACGACTGGAAAGAAGGCGACGTAATCTATTCTTCTTTCCCAATGTGCCATGGCGCCGGCATCATCATGGATATTCTCATGCCCGCACTTCACCGTCTTCATTGTGTGCTAGGGCCACCCAATGTCATCCCTAACAATTCACTGATTGAAAAGCTCGTTGGCCGTTCAAAAATCAACATATGGAGCATGGTCCCTTCTCTAGCCGATGAGCTGGGAGAAGCGCCCGACGTGTTGGCAAAGTTTCAGTCGCCCCCGAACAAGTTCATTGTTGCATCTGGCGGCCCCGTCAACCCCACAAGTACCGGCAAAGTCAATGACGTGATTAGGGTTCTCAACCTAACTGGCACGACTGAGGGCCTTTTCATCGGCAACCTTGTTGTAGAAAGGGAGGATTGGTTTTGGTTTGCCTTCCACCCTTACTCTGGATTCGAATTCAAACAAGTGGAGCCAGGGCTGTTCGAGCACTGGGTGCACCGCAACGAGCACGCATCGCTGTTCCAGGGCATCTTTCACACTTTCCCCGACAAGGATTCTATCAACTTCAAAGACCTGTACCGGAGACATCCTACGAAACCCAATCTATGGGCCTTTAGTGGTCGCAATGATGATCTGATTGTTCTGTCCAATGGCTACAAGATCTTTCCGCAGGAGATCGAGGGGGCCATATCTGCGCACCCAGCGATCGACGGGTGTTTGATTGTAGGCAGCAAAAAGCCTCAAGCAGGCCTTCTCGTCGAGCTGAAAGATCCTCTGACGAAGACCGACGAGATAATCGATAGCATATGGTCGAAGATTCAGGAGGCCATGTCATCGTCGCAACATTCAGCCAAGATTTCACGGGACTACGTCGTATTTACTCAGCCAGGCAAGCCTTTTGTTCGTACGGATAAAAGAACAATTAAACGGAAAGACACTTTATCGCTTTATGAAGATTACATCGAACGCCTGTATAGCTTGCAGAGCAACGAAACTTCCTTCAAGGTCGATACTAGTTGCACATCTGCCTTGCAGCAGTCTGTACGAGAAATTCTTGCTTCGTCCCTTTCCTCCTTCTCGGCCGCGTCGGCAGACGGGGATTTCTTTGAGCTGGGCCTCGATTCACTCGGAGTATCGGCTTTGGTCAAAGATATACGAGCAGCCACCCATCTCGAGCAACTCGCCCCTCGTCATGTCTATGCCAACCCTACTCTAACAAAATTCACGGCCGTGCTGAAGTCAATGATTAGTGAAACTAGGAACGCTCAAACCCCCAAAGCGCGAGCTGGAGGCCCAGAGGAAACATTGCAACAAATGCTTGTGAAGCACCGAGCACACCAGTCCTTCCGGCTGAATCCTTTCGACCTCGTCCGGCCAAATCACTACTCTGGGCTCATGTTTTACTTCCCGCTGAACCCAGACGTGCGATTCGAGCGGGTCTTTGCAAACATGCAAGCAGGCCTCGACCGGACTCTGGAACTCATACCAGCGCTGGGAGGCAAAATGATGGAATGCTCCAAGGACGAAGCCGGATACAAAAGTGGTGACATGTTCGTTTCCGTGCCACGATTCGGCAACCCAAGACGCGGAATTCTAGTCTTCAACGACGTGAGCAACGAGCTTCCATCGTTTGAGGCACTTAGAGAAAGCAGATTCCCGATATCAGCATTCAAAGAGTCACAAGCGCTACGTCAAGACCCGTTCCCACAACTACCAGCCGACATAATTCGTGCGCAAGCCAATTTCCTCAAAGGCGGCTGTATTCTGGCTGTTGACTTCCACCACAGCTGTCTCGATGGTGCAGGCATCATGATCGGAATCAAAGCATGGGCCGAGAACTGTAGAATGATCCAAGGAGACACCTCAGCATCCTGCGACTGGCTGCATCCAGACAGCTTCAATCATAGCCTCCCCGAAGTCCTGCATGAAATGGAAGGGTACGCGCGGCCAGTCGAGGAGATTGATCCCATGGTGTGGGAATTCCTGCCATATGCACCGCCAAAAGACATTCTTGCAAAGCAACTTGCCCACCGCAAGGAACCCGGCCCGTTGCCACTGCGCATCCCAATTCATCCATCGTTTCCCCCGCCTTTCGCCGAGCGCAAAATGGACACGACGATATTCGCGATTCCGGCTCACAAGGTACAACAGCTTCAGCAATATGTCGCCAGCACGTCGGAAGAAAACGGCGTCGTGCCCTCCATCAGCGACATCCTGCAAGCCTGGCTGTGGCGCTCAATGCTGCGGGCACGATTCCAAGTTGCAAAGGCGAACGGCCGGGACTTCAAAGCCGACGAGCATTCCATCTTCGAAACCGCAATCGAGGGCCGTCCGTTGTTTTCGGAGCTGCTGCCCGCCACGTACATGGGCGGTATGCTCACCATGGCCCGCACCAGCATGCCGGTGGAGCAGCTTTGCAGCCCGCAAACAAGCATCTTGCAACTTGCACGTATGCTGCGTGCTAGTGCAGCGCGCATGAAGCCGTCGGTGCTGCACGATGCGTTTGCCTTGCTGCGCGCGCTGCCCGATTATTCCGAGTTCGTCATGGCCAACATGGGCATCGACACGATGAACCTGCTCATCACGAACATCATGCTGTTCCAGCCGAACAGTATCAGCTTTGGCACCCGCTACTTTGCGAACGGAGGCTCGCCGGAAATGATGCGGCCTCAGGCGGAGCGCGGCAACCGCACGTTTCGCTCCCTGGCTATCCTTCCGTTGAAGGCGGATGGCGCAGTCGAGTTTATACTCGGCACATACCCCGAAGAACGCGAGATGCTTGCGCAGGATGACGAGTTTGCGAGATATACTGAGCTGGTGGATATAGCGAGCCACTGATTGAGGGGAAAGAATGAATTGTGATATGTAATAGACATGGGATGGTTTCTGCAGCGTGTCCTCTGGTGATTGTGTTTTATTGTGAATTAGATTGCTCTTACGTCTCTATGTATAGATACCATGAAATGCTATCAAGAAAGTACAAGAAATTTGGTTCCGGTAGTAGAGAATTACACAACCTAAGACAGCCACTTTAGTTCCTCCAGCTTCTCAGCACCATACGGCAGACTAGGCGTGCTCCAAGTCGCATTTTCCGCGCCCTTGATCTGCGGAACAGGCTTCAATATGCTCAGCTTCTTGCCATCAAATGCGCTCTTCTCAAAGCTCTGGTACCACCCACAGTCCTCCTCAAAGTACTGACCAATAACCCTCTTCCAGCCCTTGTAGACTGTTGCAAGTAGGTCGAGAACGTGATGGCTTCCACGCATCTCGCCCCACTGGAACCGCTCCTGGCACTGCTTCACAGTCTCGAGTGGGTAGAGGCCCACATCTTCACGCAACGCATAAGCATTGACTCCAACGAGCGACGCGTGAACCTGGTAGCTTCCTCCCTTGACAGCACGGTCGCGCAGGGCCTGCATGGTACCGACCGCCGCAAGGACTCCCGTCGACATGTCTGAGATGGGCAGACTCGGCAAGACGGCCTCGTTCTTGGGAAGCTTCTGCGTAATCTCCAGGGCCTTGCCCGTCACGTACGCGGAGCCAGCGGCTGCATCGGCAATCTGCTGCCAGCCGGGCCGTTCCTTGTAGTATCCATCTGGGCCGTAGCAGTTTTCGGAAACGTATACAATGCCCTTGCCCCTCTTGCCGGCCATCTCTAGCAGTTCGTCCAGGCCAAGACCAAACTTGGCCATTTTGCCCATGCGGAAACCCTGGATGAAGACGTCGGCGTCGGCGAGCAGGGACTGGAGGTGTTGCCTGTCAGAGTCTTCGCGTAGATCGACTGTCGATGTGCGCTTTCCGGCGTTGAGAGTAAGCTGCAAGACGTTGAGGTCGGTAAGGTGAGGAGCATTAAGGCGGATAATGTCAGCACCAAAGGCTGCTAGGATGGTCCCAATTTGTGGACCAGCAATCACGCGGGTGAGCTCAATCACCTTTACACCAGCAAGGGGCCGGCGGTCCTGGCTGTTGAAAGGCGGGAAGCTGACGGGTGGTGTGGGAATGGCTTGCTTCTGCTGCTTGACGTTGACGAGCGGGTGCGCAGCCAGTGACTTGCCCATGGTGGATTCACGCCATTGCTGGGGCGTGAAGCAGACGGAGCCGCAAAGGCCCTTCATCAAGTTGCTCATCTCCAACTCGGCTGGACTGAAGTTCTTGGTGTGTTTGGCAATGAGCTCTGCAGCCTCCTCGTTGGACGAAACAGGTGTGCTGGGGTCGATGCCAATCATCTCGAGAGTGGGAATAGCGTTCATACTACCGTGGACAGAGTACCATGTCTCTGGGTCTTTGGTAGGGTACAGTGCAGTCGCACGGTATTTGAGTGGTGTGTCTGTCCAGCCTCGCTCCCAGTCAGGAAGCAATGTAGCGAGCTTCTTCTGTGCACCCAGAGTAGAGATATCCTCGCCGTCAAGGAACGCCGTAGCAATGCAACCAAACCACATGGTAGCGTGGGTAGTGTTGATAGTAATCTCGCGCTTGTCGTCTTTGGCGCCTCTTATCGCGAGTATCTCATCTGCGAGGACGCCGCACATGGCGTGCAGAGCAGCGGCAACCGATGTTGCCTTGATCGGCCCTGGGATAACGGGATACTCCTCGCCCGTGAACTTTACTTTGGAAAGGATGGCTTCATCTTGTGTGAAGCCTGGCGTCTGCGCTGCAAGTTGGCGGAAAATGCGTGCGGTATCTTGGGGAACAGGAGCAAAAGTCTTGTCTGTGTAGGTTCCGGGACCATAAACATCGGGGATACGTTCTGAAGAGGCCATGGTCGCGGTGTAGAAACTATTTAGGTCGAAGAAGGGCGTGAATTAATCGATGAGGAAGACTGTATGATGAAAGCTGTGAGGGTATATGATGATGGGTAGATGTTGGATGGATGTTGATATTCTTGCGTAGTTGCCGAGGCTTCTTATATTCCTGATCTTGAGTCTCTCTGGAGTCTGCGATTACATGCGCTGCGGATGTGCACATGTGTCGGATACGTCTAGGAAGGCGATAATTCGGACATACCCCAGGATTTTTTTTATTCCACTGCTCGTACGAATTCACTTCCCCTGGCAGCCCTATCGGGTGTGCTACGTAATCTCGCATTTGATCTGCGGGGCATTGCGTTGGCCAAGATGTCGCCGTGCGCCACTTCGCTGAGACGTCGCGCGAACACTGCGTCATACCTTGTGCCTTCAACTTTTTTAGACATAATTTTCCACACCAGTTCCAGCGGCTAAGATTCTCGCTATCGGACCGGTCCCGTCAAGCGATGATCAAATTAGCGTTGGATATCTCGGTGATCTATCGGTGTTGACGTCTTGTATACGAGCGGCCCAAACAGGCAACATGGGCGCAACGGAACGGTTGCAAGTGGTAAGAATTTATACATGGAGAAGATGCATCTTGCTTCGCGCCCACACTTTCCACACTTTCCATTTCATCTATAATTCAAAATGCCACACTCAACAAACTCAGCACCAGTCCAGCATGTCACTGTCATCGGCAGCGGCTCCATCGGAGCATCATGGGCTGCTCTCTTCTTAGCACAAGGCCTCACCGTGACGGCCTTTGACATCAATCCAGCTGCTGAAGCGACGCTGAGGAAGCTCGTCACCAACACGCTTCCTGTACTGCAATCTCTGGGCCTTGACAAGAGCGCCTCTGCATCTCCCGAAAACATCGCCTTTACAACCGACCTTGCCACGGCCCTGAAGGATGCCGACTTTGTGCAGGAGAATGGTCCTGAGCGATTAGATCTCAAGCAGAAACTCTTCAACGACATGGCCGCATTGGTGCGCCCAGATACCATCATCGCCACCTCATCCAGCGGCCTGACATGTACATCGATCCAGTCTGGCATGGACGCCGCCTCGCATCCCGAGCGCATTATAGTTGGCCATCCCTTCAACCCGCCGCACCTGATTCCGCTCGTGGAAGTTGTGGGCGGCGAGAAGACAGCCCCAGAGACAATTGAGCGCACCCTGGCATTCTACACAGTCATTGGCAAGAAAGCCGTGCACGTCAAGAAGGAAGTTGTCGGACACATTGCAAACCGGCTACAGGCGGCGCTGATGCGTGAGATGCTTCATATGGTGCAGAACGACATCTGCAGCATCTCAGATATCGACAACGCCATGGCGTACGGGCTAGGCCTACGCTGGGGCATCATGGGCCCCAATACACTGTTTCATCTCGCCGGTGGTGAGCAAGGTGCTCAGCACATGGCGGACCACCTGCTGGGGCCGCTAACAACGTGGTGGGCGCAGGAGGACCCTGTTCTAGACGATGATCTGAGGAAGAAGTGGGTTGATGGCACCATGGAGGCAATTAGCGAGAGGAAGTTCGATGATCTAGTTACGCAGCGCGATGCAGAGCTAGTCAAGTTGCTGAATTTGAGGAAGGACTGGGACGGCTACGCGGAAGAGAGGAAGGACTTGTAATAATGGAGAATCAAATACTTTGATACCCTGTAGTATAGACATACAAAACTATCCTATCATGGCTGTGTTACTGCATCGTGAAATCCACTGCAAGAGTACTTCGAAACCACTCATACAACATATCTCCTTTTCACAACAGCTAAAATACATCCAACTTCCATTCGATACCTCTTCACCTTGAACTGCAAGTCAATCAACTCGCGCAGGTCCATAATATCGCACTGCTGTTCCACGACAACAGCCCTTCCAAAAACCCTCAATACATACACATCCTCAAGCCCACACCGCAACCCTCATCCCCCAAACCCACAACACACGCACATGCACAAAGTCCCTGTCCCAGTTCCCTCGCGGACATATGACGCCATCCCGCGCAGATCCAGATCCACAATCCAGCGGCGTCAGCACTGGCACCGCAAAAACTCCGGCCCGAAGTACGTCCCTTGCATACAACCTACATACATTATGACGGATGCAGCTGCACGCTCGCACTTGCACAAACTCGGCCGAGCTTCCTCGTCGCAAATACACGCGACAAGCGTTGCGTCAAAAAAAGTGGGAAAAACATACATAGTTGTGTTTGGATTTTTTGGGTAGGCAAGGCAAGGGGCTGGTATGTGCGCTGGACTGGTAGACCGCGTCCGAGTTTACGCCGAAAGTGGCCGCTGGGCAAGTATGAGCTCATGGTAAAGTTAGTGGACATGTCGGCTGCTGGGGTCAAACTAAAGTGCGTAAGAGACTAAATGAAGATTATATCTGCATATACAAAAAAGGGGGGGTGGGAGGCATGAATTGACGAAGTCCAGAAAATCCATCTATTATTATTATTATTATTATTATTATTCTAGTTTAACGTCCTTTTTCAGCCCGAAGGGCTATATAAGACGTGTAGGGTTTTTAGGCCTACAAGTATCTAAGTAGGTTGTTTCTAG